GAAAAGTTTTCCTGGTTTAAAATCAAGAGAGCTGACAAACTTTAGTCTTACACATATGCATCTGGGGACCTCTAAAAAACTTCGAACTGCTAACAACTGAATTAAAAAAAAAACCTTAGAAAAATCTTCTAGTGCCTAACCCAAACTTCTGTATTTGAAACTGTAAGAACAATCTAAAATACTCCTATTTAAATAAAAGCTCTATTTTTCTAAAAATAAGGATTGTTCATCATTCTTACACTACCATTTAATCAGGATTACATAGCTCCATTCCTCAGAATGTTCATTCAAGTACACCTAAGTATCATTTTACAGTGGGGATTACCACGGAAAATTGAGAGGTCAGCTGACTCAGCTCCAGAATTAGTACTAAAGGAATGATTGATAACTTCAATCCACTCTCTGAACAAAGAATTTGAAAAAACTAAACGTTTAAGCCCAAAAATCTCATGAGCTCATGAAATCTCGGAAGAGTGATAAGGGAACTACAGAAAAACTAACAAGGATTGTCTCCTTTTTTTGTTTTGTCTTCAAACTAGAATTTCTAGCCGTTTTATATGCAGTATTACTAACTCAATTCCTGACTTGACAAAAAAAATTGGATACTTTTAAAGGTTGCCCTATAGTGTGTAACTTGAAATGAGTGATCCAATTCCTCTGGTCTCACTAACTACAAGGAAAGTGACCCCAACATATACTGCAGCCACTAATTACTGAGCACCAGTCCCTGTTCTAAACAATCCCTCCCTCCCATGAGGGCTTTGGCTAAACTTATAATGGTCTCAATTATCTTACTGAAAATTCTCATCAGGATCCCAAAATTAGAAATCACAGCTACAACAGGAAAAAAAAAAAAAAAAAAGCTCAAGAAGACAGGGTTTCTCAATCTCAGCATTCTGAAAACTTGGGGCCAAATAGTTCATTGCTGTGATGTGCTGTCCTGTGCACTGTAGCATGTTAGCAGCATTTCCAGTTTCTACTTACTAGGTGACAGCTGCAATCCTTCTCCCCAACCCCCAGTTGTGACAATCAAAAAATGTCTACAGCCAGGCATAGTGGTGCACGCCTGTAATCCTACCACTCAGGAAGTTGAGGCAAGAGGATCACAACGAGTTCAGGACCAGACTGGGCTACATAGCAAGTTCCAGGACAGCCAAAGCTACAAGAGAGGCTGTCTCAAAACAAAGTCTACAGACAGAGCCAAATGTCCCTTAGAGAGCAAAACTGCCCCCAATAGGAACCTACTACTCTAAGCCATCTCCTTTATTGCTCACTATTAAGCTGTGGAGAGATTAAATAAAACCAGCATCCACACTTCTTACTCTTACTCCCCTTTTAATTTGATTATGGAGAAAAAGAAGCAACCCAATCTTTCCTCTTCTTATCAATTGTTACCTGAAAGATCTTAGTATCCTTTCCCAGAACAAAAGAAAAGGTCATAAAAAGCCAACAAAACATAAGATACACAAAGTATCCACTTGATACTTATTCCCTTCCCCCCCAAAAAGTCAAGGAATTTCAGTGTGGTAAATTTAAGATTTTTTTCTTCCTCATACTGAAAAAGTCCTGTAAGTTTCCCCAATGTATGTCTATCAATAGAATTTCAAGGCTAGAATGGCTTCCATCCATAAGAAAACACATTTCTTATTTCTAGATCTTTCAGGGAATACACTTACTGACACTTTATGTTCAAAAATAACAGATAAATTTTGTATCACTATGCAGCTTTAGGTAAAGATCTCAAACCACTAGTCATTACTTTAGAAATACAACTATTGGGGGGCTGGGGGCATGACTCAAATGGTAGCAAGAGTGAGGCCCTGAGTTCAATCCCCAGTTCCACAAAAAAAGCTATTGGATGTTCAATCCATTACTCAATCAAAACATATTTAATAAGCAGCTGCTATATATATATATATAGATGCATCCACACAGATGCAACTATCACAAGAGTAAGTACCCTCTACAGTGCAAATTCCATCAAGAAAAGGAAAAACTTTATAAGCTGGGTCTGGCTATCCTCAAGAATGGCTAGATTTCCTGTATCATTCATCTAGTTTATGTCTACTACATGCTAGGCACTTATAGTAAAGGAATCTCACATTTACATTAAAATTCATCTATAAAAAAGCTTTCCAATGCTGTCCTATATAAAGACAGACAGATCATATGCAGATCATATTACCAGTATTTGACTTGGTTTTTCAGTAGCAGAGACAAATTTGAACTGAAAAAGACACTTAACTGACCTGGTCATTCTTATAACCAATATTTTCAAGGTAACTGCCTATTACTGAGTATATAGAAATGGCCATGAAATAAAATGAAACTCACTGGTTCATTTATAAGTCAAAACTGTAACTCTGATCTCACTGCACCTTTTCCTAAAAATGTGTAACAATAATTTTCTACTGAACATTATGGTGACTACAGTTAACAGCAATATATCATATAATTTAAAAATCGCTACAACAGTAGATTTTAAGTGTTCTCACTACAGAAAAATATGAGGTAACATGTATGTCAAATAGTTTGATTGAGGGCTGGTGGAGTGGCTCAAGTAACAGAGTGCCTGCTTAGCAAGGACGAGGTCCTGGGTTCAAACACCAGTACCACAAAAAAAAAAAAAAAAAATTTGATTGGGCCATACCACAATATACATAAAGCAAACTTCGTATTATAAGCAATAAATATATTCAATTTTACTTGTCAGTTTAAAAAAAAGACAATGATGATTTACTAAATGTTCTCCCTTCTTCAAGAATGTTCAACCCACATTCTTTTGCTGCCTCATGGTCTTGGATAGTCTCAATCTGAATTCTACCTATCCTCAAAACTCAATTTAAATCCTACTTCATCTGTCACACCTTCCCCAATGGTACCAATGCTACCATATTATCCCTTTCTAAAATTGAAAGCACATTATCTTCATTCACTTTACTGCCAGGCACTATATAACCCTTCAGTCAAATGAACAAACAATTTAAAAAAAAATGAAGGGCTGAGGACATAGCTCTGTGGTAGAGTGTTTGCCTAGCATGTACAGGGCCCTGGGTTTGATCCCTAGAACCACAAAACAAAACAAAAAAATTATATTGCCGAGTGACATTGTACCAATCTTAATTCGTGTATGTACACTCTTAAGATATTTGCACAGGGATAAAACCGCCTAACAATGCATTTCTCAGAATTTGTCCAAATCCTTAAGCAATGTATGACTACACATTGTTACTTTCTCAATGTTTTGTGTTGTCTTTCAAAAAAAAAAAAACTGAAGGGTCCTTAACATCATATTCCTCCAATATTACCTCCAGGACATACAGCAGAGAACCCTGTATGAATGAAGGTAGAACCTGGTTATATCCAATTGTGATGGCCTCAATTTACAAGAAAGGCATGACAGATAATAAGCCAAGCTCAAGAATCTCTCTAGGCATTTAAGGTTTAGAAAAGCACCTAAAAAGTCCTTCAAATTATCCCTTTGAAGAAAAGATAAACTAAATTGTAGCCATTTCGACTAAATCTTCTCCCTCTGAAAGGCAAATTAGTGAACAGCAAATCAAAGAGCAGAAGGGCTGGGCCAGGTATGGTGTTTAAAGCCTGTAATCCCAGTTATGCAGGAGAGGTAGGTAGGAGGATCACAGTCCCAGGCTGCCCTGGAAAGTGGCAGACTCTGTCCAGTAAAACAGGGCTAGAAGAGTGGCTCATGCAGGAGGCCCTGAGTACTGCCAAAAAATAAATAAAAGGTCAGAAGGGCTATGGCCAAAATATTCACAAGATAATCACATTCATGTCACTGGTTACACACACAGTCTGAATTCCAAGCCTCCTCTCTATGATGAGAGTTCTAGAGGCTCTGATGTCTGCTGACAAAAACAAGGTACCTGCTCTTCCCCAAACTGAAATATGACAGAAAGCACATCAGCACACAAGGAAAACAGCAAGCAAAACCAGGCAGCATTCCATGGAGCTATGATTATGAAGTGGCAGGTGAGGCAAATATGAAAGAAAACTACATACAGACTGTATCTGACACCATAAATAGAAAAGTAAATTGTTATGTAGTCATTTGTCTTAAAACGGAACCAGAACACTTCTAAGGAAAAGAACGACTATAACTAGTTCTAGAAAGACAAGGGGTTCGAGGTAGGATTAACATTCACTCTGGTGGATCTTCCCACGGTAGCTATAGCCCAACCCCAAACTGCTCTGGGTTTGGGGTGCAGGCAAATACCCTCGTTAAAACCAATCTTGTGTCAGAGGAAACAGTTTCCAACATTTTGTCCTGAATTTTTTTCTTCGGTGAACAGAGAACGGGGGAGGGGTGAGCTAAGGAGGCGGTACTAAGGACACTGGCAGGCAGCACGATAGGCAAAAGAAACTAAGTTGAAACAGTGAGTCCTGCCTTCTTCCTAAAGCCATTTCCTTCAACAGTGACAGGGAGGCAGGCAGTCTGCAAGTCATCAGGGCAGTGCTGTTTTCACTTTCACAAGTGCCCTGAAAACCACAGGGGAGCAAAATCCCCTTTCCAGTTACCTCCCAAGCCTCTTCCTCCGCAATCCGCTATTTTGCCTCACTGAGAATGCGGGAGGGGGAGGATCTGGTGAAAAGTGCAAAAGGAAATAGAGGAAGGTGGGAAGCAATCACGGAAGGCATACACGGGAGTAGATCATCGTGGAAAGGAAACGAAGTAGACGAGAGGGCAAGAAAATCGAGGAGAGACCTGTCAAAAAGAAGGTCTAGAAAAAGAAGACAAAAAGATGGAGGGCAAATGAGAGGCAGGTGGAGCCGTCCAGGAAATAGGGCTGGGAAGCAGTTATGGAGCCAGGGCCCTGACGCCTAAGGCTTGGGGCCAGGGACCGGAGACAGCGGATGGCAAGTATGAGGGACACTGGTGTCAGGGGATCGTGGGTGAGCGAGAAGCTTAAGACCCGGTTTCGATACCTAAGGGGCCAAGAATCAATGCGGATGCCATAGCCCAGAGGACATGGGGCTCTTACCGGTAGTTTGGGGCTGACCTCGCCCTTGCAAAAGTGGCAGAAAAAACGGTGTGCAGCCACAGTGGCGCCCGCGTCAGTCCCGGCCGCCGAAGCCTCCGCCATTTTCCGCCTCCGCCGCGACAGTCCGAGAGGGCAGCCGGACGTCCCTCGCCGAGCTGCTACCTCCCCGTCCGCGGTCACCGCCGCCTCCCGAGTGCGGCCGCCGCTCCGGAGCCCGCGTCGGTCACGTGAGCCCGCCGGGCCCGGGAGGCCCGCCCGCCGGCGGCCCAGCGACCCCACGGCCCGCCCCTCAGCGCCAAAGGGGCGGAAGAGAGTCGCCCGCAGCGGCCCGCCAGCCGGCAACTCAAACAGCCCCTCGCCGGTCCTCCAGCCTGCCAGCGAGGAGAGAGAAAGAGCGTCTCCGGAAACCACCGAGATTCGGGGCTAGAACGACGCACGTCGGCCGCCCTCCGTGTCCGTCCCGGTGCTCGCCGCTTCCGAGGAGGGCCGTGGGCTCCCCCTGTGCTCGGGCGGCCAGCCGGCCCGGGCGTCCGGAAGCCGTTGCGCCGAGCGCCGCAGCGTCAGACGTCGGAGCCGGTGAATCAGCGCCGACCCCGAGGTTAGTGAGAAACGCGGTGGGAGCCCGGCGGCCCCAAGTCTGAGGAACCCGGGGACCACGTCAGGACCCAAGCCAGCACCTCGGAAACCCTCTCTAGGGTGGCACAGGGTGTAGGGATGTTCTCTAAAGACATGTGTGGGTGATTTATCTCTTCGGTGATAGCGAGGCAGGCACTGCAAGGACTTGGCTTCTGAGGAGCAGTGTTTGGGAAGTAATCATAAAATGAACATCCGTTTCTGACCTAAATTGTCAAGGAGGAGAAATTTAAGAATTAAATTCTGCACTGCAAAGAACATAACTTCATCTCTTTCAAACACCTGTTGAGAAGCCCTTTTTTACCTCATTTGTTTTTTTCTGAATCGCATTTCATCTTTATGGATTGGAAATGACTCGTGTTTACTCCCACTGAGCTGTTAATTCTTTTAAATCGAAGGTCTGTGACAGATTGTAAAATGATCTACATCCAATCTTTAAAGAAAGAATCACACATAATCCCATTAAAACAATTTTGATATTGTCTTGCAGTCTTTTTTCCCTATGTTATATGGTTTGTTTTGTTTTGTTTTTTTTTTTTTTTGCAATAATCGAACATTGGTCTCCATTTTCCTTTGTAGTTTACTTTCATTACAATACGTTATGAGTAATTTTATGATAATACATGTTGTATTAAGTCATTTTAAATGTTGGCATAGTACCCCATTTTATCGCTTTACAGTAGAGTAAACCCTTACTTCTGGAGTATATGATTCCAAGGAGACAGGAAAAACTGTGACGGCTGAGGATGTATAGAGTTCAGTGCTGTGCTGTGGATGCTGGATTCGTTTTTCCCATAATGCAACCCAACGTTACATACTGTTTTTGGCTTGAGAGGGTTACCATAACTTTTACCTTGCTTTTTGGGCACCAGTTGCTTTTGGGGAGGCAAGGGCAGGGAAACAGCAGATCGCACAACAGTTTACCATAAGGAGAGACTGAAAGCTTCTCTGCAGCAACTTAGCTGCATAATGTACACGTGGGAATTTAAATTTTTTGTTCTTAAAATGTCTTTTTCATTTTTAATTTTTTGACAGCAATTAGTCAAAACTGTGTAATAAGTCCATAAGGCAGGCCTACTGTACCATACTTTATTGTTAGACATTAAATTGTTTCATTATGTCAGTATTATAAAGAGAACTAGTGACATCATTTTATTATTTCCTTGGAACAGAACATTCAAAATGAAATTGTTAGGTCGAATATATTTAAGATTTTAGGGCTTTTGATAGGTATTGTCAAATTGCTGTCCAAAAAGAATACAAGAATTTACACTCTTGGTTTTTGTTTTTCCTAGTTCCTACTCCCAGTATAATGACTCAAGCAGAAATTAAACTGTGTTCTTTGTTGCTGCAAGAGCATTTTGGTGAGATTGTAGAAAAAATTGGAGCTCACCTAATCAGAACTGGCAGTCAGCCACTTAGAGTAATTGCCCATGACACAAAAACATCACTGGATCAGGTATGGTAAAATAACATCAATTTGCTGTCCTTGCTTTCTTTCATTAATTTCTTTCACCTGTCTTTGAATATGGTTACTACTCACCATAGAAACTGGAAGTAGAGAAAGCCTGCCCTAGGATCAGAACAGTATTACTTAGTGGGAAAGAGAATGGTACTTAGGCCATGAAGTTTTGTGTCAAGTGTTCCTAGTTCATCGTGGCTTCTTAAGTAAATCTTTGCACTTCCCTTGCACACCTCATTTATTCACAATGAGTCTACTAATCTCAATACTACCTAAAGTAAATTGTGGTGTGAAAGATAAAAATCAGAGGAAATAGGAATGTGGTAGCAAGGAATCATCCTGCTTTCTTTCTTCTTCTTCATCTTCTTTCTGATTCTTACTGGCTACACCAATAGAGGAAATAAGGAGAGATTGTTTTCTAGCAATCTCCTGATGCTTAGTAAACTATTGGAAAAAATATTGCCAGCAATAATGAGCTATGTCTTCAGGTCTTTCCATTTTTTGGGTCTAACCTAGGTGAAAAAAGCCCTTTGTGTCCTCATCCAACATAACCTGGTGATATATCAAGTACATAAACGTGGTGTGGTGGAGTATGAAGCCCAGTGCAGCCGGGTATTGCGAATGCTTCGGTATCCCCGGTACATCTATACTACCAAAACGCTGTACAGTGATACTGGAGAGCTGATTGTTGAGGAGCTCCTGTTGAATGGCAAAATGACAATGTCAGCTGTTGTGAAGAAAGTTGCAGACCGACTCACAGAGACCATGGAGGGTCAGTATATTGTTAGCAAAAGCATAGATTAGCTGGCTGCAAAAGTAGACCCTGCTATTTTATGTCATCTCATCTGCCCTCTTTCCTCCTGTTGTACAGATGGCAAGACCATGGAATATGCTGAGGTATCAAACACATTTGTACGACTGGCAGACACACACTTTGTACAGCGATGCCCCTTGGTGCCTGCCAATGAGAATTCAGATACTGGGCCACCACCACCTGCCCCCACCCTTGTCATTAATGAAAAGGACATGTACCTGACTCCTAAACTGACCTTAGTAGGTAAGGGATTTTGATCATGGAGCTTTGACTTGCACTAATTGTGGATTCTTCTTCACTGATTGTTAAATGAATGAACCATTGATCATTTACCAAGTACTTGCACTATGTTCCAGACATTGTGGGATATAGTAATGAGAAGCCATGATCCCTTTCCCTTGGGATTTATGTCAAGCAGTCACATAGATATATAACAAAGTGTGATACCTACCATGGAGGAGAAGTATGAGGTATTACAAAGTGTGTGATGGGGGTTGGAGCGTGTTTCTTTGAAAGTGGCATAGGAGCTAAGATTTGAAGCAGGAGCTAATCAGTGAGGAACAGAAGATAAGTATTTTTGGTAAACAGGGGAGGAAAATGTCATTTGAGAAAGCAAAAGAAGGTCAGTGTAGCAAAAGCAAGGTGTGCAAAATAAAGAGAAGAATAAGATAAGGTTAGACAGATAGGCAGGGACCAGATCAAGTAAGACTTTAAAGAGCATCTGTTCTGTATCCTAAGAGTAAAGGGAAAACCACTAAAGGATTTTAAATAGGGAAAAAATTTTTGTTTACAGGAAGGATGAGAGGATGAGCCAAAGGTAAATGCGACAGCCTGGTGAAAAATTAGATACAGAAGCAGTGAGACAGAGGTATTAAGAATGACATGTGTGTCTGATTTACACATGTGGGAGGATGATGGTGCCAGTCACTGGAAAGAAGCATTGGAGGAAGAACAGTTTGAGGAGAAAGATCATGAATTTCTTTTTGAGCATACTGAGTTTTAGATGATACCATTACTGACTTGACTTTCTTATAACTTCTCAGAATTCTAAACAACTCTAACCTAGAGTCAGCTCCAGATGTCCTTAGAATGAAAGAGACACTGACTCTCATTTCCTGACAGCATATGCTATGTAGCATAACTGTTCATTTTATTTGGCAGGGAAAGGTAAAAGGAGGAGATCATCTGACGAAGATGCTGCTGGGGAACCCAAGACCAAGAGACCAAAACATACAGATAACAAAGAGGTAATGGGACTTCCTGATTAGGAATCCTCACCCTAAAGTAGGCCAGAAACACCACTCAGATAACAAAGCTGAAGAGAGCTAAGAAATAGTAGAATTAGGAAATTAACTAAACATTGACCAGGAATAAACCAGTGAAGAGTAAACTCTATTGCTATCTCCCTTCTCAGACTTAACTTACTTCATACATTGAACAAAGGTAACAACTTATACAAAAAAGAAGACCTAGAAAAAAATTTCAGTTGTTCAGGATGGCTGAAACATTCAGATCTCTGGGAGCTACTGGTGAGAAATGAGTCTATAAAGATATGCTTAGGCCTGAACTCTTACATTCAGGTGTCTTCCTGGCATCCCTGTAAAGATGTCAAGTAAACAGCTCAAAGTTAGTCTGGCCAAGATGGAATAATTTATTTCCCTTTCCCAGATACCTGCTCTCTTCTGTGCTTTCTCATCATAGTAAAGGACACCACTACCATTTGCTTAAGCCAAAACCCTTGGAATATGCTAGTCTCCCTGTAATAACCTGTCAGCCCAGTTTCCAGAATTACCTCAAATCCAACCATTTCTCATCTTTTCCACCACTAGCCCCCTAGTCTAAAAAACTATCATCTCTTCTCAACATTCTCTTTTTAATGGTCTTCCTCTTTGCATTCACCCAGTTAGAGCCAGAATTACTTTCTAAGTTTTGTTTTGTTTTTTTGGCAGTACTGGGGTTTGAACTTAGGCTACACACTTAGCTAAGAGGCACTATACAGATTGAGTCACACCTCCAGCCTATCAGTTTTGTTTTTTTCTGTTTTTAAATCACTGGTTATATTCTTTTAATAGCTTCCCATTACTCTTAAAAGAAATCAAAGTTATGGTCTATTAAGCTTAGTATGATCTAGATCTTTACATGATCTGCTGGAGAAAAGCTCTTCATCTCCAACTCTTCCCACTCTTCCTCTTGCTCACTTTGTTCTATTGTCTTTCTGTCCCTCAAATGCATCAGGCTTTTGTCCTTACTATTCCTTTGCTTCAAATGCTTTTCCCCACATCTTCATGTGGTTATCTCTTTCATCAGTTAGACCTCAGTTTAAATGCTTTCTCCACACCTCCACCCCAAACCCTCCCTGTACTGGGAATTGAACTTAGCCTTGTGCTTGCTAGGCAAAAGCTCTGCTGTTTGAGCCATGCCCCCAGCCCTTTTACTTTTAGCTTGTTTTTCAAATATAGCCTCACTAGCTTTTGCCTAGGCTGGCCTCAAACTATAATCCTTCCATTTCTACCTCCCAAGTAGCTAGGATTACAGACTATACCACCATGCCCATCCCAAAAGTCCTATTTTCTTAGAGCTCAGGAACTACTGCTAACTCCTACTATATTCTCTGCGTATTTCCCCATTTCATCTTCTTCACAGCATTTACTTTCATTGAAAAAATTATATATAATGTGTTTGTGTGCTTTCTGTAGAATAGATACTCCTTGAAGGCACCATCTTGTCCTGCCACCTAGAATACCATCAGGACTTGAGCAAATATTTCCTGGTTGACTAAGAAGTTTGGTCTTTATCTTGAAGGCAGGAGGAGCTACTGATACATTTTAAGCGCAAGAATGAAAGTGACTGGATTTATATTTTTAAAAATAACCATAGCCCAGCAGTTCACAATTTATTCAACTCTGTAGCTGGATTTCAGAGTCCACTTATACTTGTATTGATGTACATTTTTCAGTAGAGCACTCCATAGCTTTCATCATGTTCTGTAACTAAAGTGTAACCCAAAAAATTTGTTAAAAGCAGTATGCTAAGAAATGGAGAGAATCAGTGTTTTAAAAACAACACCTGTAATCTAGCAATTTGGGACGCTGAGACTGGGAGAATTCCAGTTTGAGGCCAACCCAGGTAAACAGTTTACTGGATCCCATCTCCAAAATGACCAGAGCAAAAGGAGCTGAAGTTGTGACTCAAGCGGTAGAGTGCCTGCTTTGCAAGCATGAAGCCCTGAGTTCAAACCTCAATCCCACCAAAAAAAAAAAGTGAAAACCAATTAGGAGACTATTGTAATCTGCATTTATCATGATTAGAGCTAAATGTACTAGCTAAGGTAATGACAGGGCAAAGAAAAGTAGACATTTTTGAAGTGATCGATAATGATAGTTACCCTGACCTGATCATTGCACATTATATACATGTATTGAAATATCACAAGTACTCAATAAATACATTTAATTACCATATGTCAGTTTTTGTTTTTAAAAAAGTAGATATCTGAGCCAGGCATGGTGGCTCATAGCTACTCGGGCAGAGATCAAGAGAAAGAGCTCATCTCAACCAATAAAAGCTGGGTGTTGTGATTCATGTCTGTAATTCCAGCTATGCAGGAGGTGTAGATAGGAGGAATGCTGTCCAGGCAGACCTGGGCATAAACACAAGATACTGATTTTAAAATAGCTAAAGCAGAAAAGGCTGGGGCCCTGGCTCAAGCAAGGCCCTGAATTCAAACCTCAGTACTACCAAAAAAAAAAAAAAAAGGTAGACATCTGATAAATGTAAGGAATAATCAGATTAGTAACAGGATAGCTGATAATGGAGAGCAAAGAGTTAGGGATGATTACCCCAATTTCTAGCTTAAGAAATTGGATTGGAAATAGTAAATAATTAAATCTAAGTTCTTCACCAAGAAACTGCAGTCTTTAAACGTTTTCTCTTTTAGCCCATTCCAGACGATGGGATTTATTGGCAGGTGAACCTTGACAGATTCCATCAACACTTCCGTGACCAAGCTATTGTCAGCGCAGTTGCCAATCGGATGGACCAGGTAATATCTTAAGTGAACCTGTTGGTAGTCAACTGGGAATAAAGTCATTCAATGAATGACCAGATGTGTCCACTGGCAGAGCTGGGGGCAGCAACAGTAAATTCTGAATTCCAGTTTACTTTTTATACAGACAAGCAGCGAGATCGTGCGGACCATGCTCCGGATGAGTGAGATCACTACACCTTCCAGTGCCCCTTTTACCCAACCCTTGTCTTCCAATGAGGTAAGCTTCCTGTTCTTGTGCTAGTTTTCTGACAGGCTCTTAGGTATTGTAACAATTACTGAGACCTGAGACTTGACTTGAAAAGAAAGTTTTCATTGTTGAAGTGTGGCAAGGATTACCTTCAAGTGGTAAACACTGAAATGTTTGGTCTCTTGGGATCCAGCTTTTAAAAATCTAAACCATTATCTCAGTTTAAGTATCTGTAAAGTATGACTTACTTCTAATTTTCCTAAGAATCGAGTAGTCAGGTATGGTGGTGCAGGCCTTTAGTCCCAGCTACTTGGGAGGCTGACACAAAAGGATCACTTGAGCCTAGGACTTCAAGGCAGGCTGGTCAGCATAGGAAGACCCCGTCTCCAAAAAAGAACCCCAATGTATATCTACTATTTGGACTCTGAGAGCCTTGGCATTGAGTACTTATTTGATTCTGGTTTTTTGTCAATATATTATTTTGTAATTTTTAAATTGTGTATATTTTTGAGCTGGTGGTATGGCTCAAGTGGTAGAGTACCTCCTGACAAGCATGACACCCTGAATTCCAATCCCAGTACTATCAAAAAAAAAGTTTATTTTGATATATATGTTTTTAAGGTATTAATACTTAATATATCAAGTATATTTTATCTGTTTTTATTATTTTCATAATTATATTTAGGTTTTACTATATTTCATATTAAGTTTTTAACTTGTTATATAAGAAATGTAAATATAAATTTTTTTTCTAATGATAAAAGTAACTATAAAAAGCCAGGCGCTGGTGGCTCACGTCTGTAATCCTAGCTACTCGGCAGGCAGAGATCAAGAGGATCAAGGTTCGATGCCAACCCAAACAGTTTGTGAGACCCTATCTCAAAAATAACCAACATACACACACAAAAAAAAAAGGCTGGCAGAGTGGCTCAAGTGGTAGAGCACCTACCTGGAAAGCATGAGACCCTGAGTTCAAACCCCAGTACCACCAAAAAAAACTAATTATATGACCTATATTAAAGTTTTAGCTCCCCAAGTTTGCAGGAGTGGTGGAAATGTTCTATATCATGTTGTGGCTGGTAGTTACATGAATATATATGATTATCAATGCTCATCAAACTGAACCTTTAAGATCTGTGCTTGTTTTATCTCTGTCATCTAACTTAATATAGTTTTGCATCATCCCAGCCCCAGAGATCCTTGTTAATAGCTTGATAATGTAGCTTTATTCAGACCTTTTCATTACACAGTGTAACACATATGTGGGTATGTGTTTTTGTTTCTGGTGGTACTGGAGTTTAATTCTAGGCCTTGTACTTGCTAAAAGGTGCGGTACCACTTGAGCCATGACCCCAGCTATGTATTTTACAAAAAAGAAAAAAAGAGACCATACTGTACTTACCATTCTATAAGTTGTTTTTGTTTTGCAGTGTGAAAACTCGAACCCAGGACTGCATATGCTAGGCAAACACTCTACCACTGAGTTATATCCCCAGCCCTATAACTTGTATTTTTTATATGACAGTATATACAAAAGTTTTCCTTTCAGTATAGATCTGTCTCATTCTGTAATGATTCTACCATATTCCACCTAATGACTGTAGTTTGGGGGGTTTTTTGTTTGTTTTGTTGGTTGGTTGGTTTTTGTTTGTTTTGGGGGGGCATCCTAGGGACTAAACCCAGAGTCCCACTCATGCTAGGCAAGAGCTCTACCACTGAGCTACATACATCTCTAGCCTTTTTTTTTTCTTCCAATGTTTTTGGCACAGAGTCTAAAGCCAGGATGGCCTTGAACTCACAGTCATCCTGCCTTAACCTGAGAAGCTGAGATTACAGGCATATACACCCATACCTGGCTATAGCTTACTTTTATTAATTCCTTATCACTGGACATTGGATTGTTTTTTATTTTTTTTCTTATAAACAGTGCTACAATGAATAGTTATACTTTTGGAATCTAAAATTAGGGCATCTTATTTTTAGTAATGTTAGCAACTCTTAAGTTCTCAAGCCCATTTTCAATGTCTTTTTTTGCTCCATAGATCTTCAGGTCCCTACCTGTTGGCTATAACATCTCTAAGCAAGTTCTTGATCAATATCTTACTCTGCTGGCAGATGATCCAGTAAGTCTGTTTTTGCTGCTCTGTTTATAATTTATTTCTGCCACCGATACCTAGTATCATTCTCTTATAGCCTCATTCTCTTCCTTCCCAACTCAGACAGTTTTCCCATCATCATCTGATAAGAGGGCTCCCTACTTCAGACTTTTTGCTAGATTTGCTCCATTGGAACAGAATCACTGGACTTTCCATTCAGTTAACACTCTTCTTTTTCTTTTTTTTTAACAGCTAGAGTTTGTTGGAAAGTCTGGTGACAGTGGTGGAGGAATGTATGTCATTAGTATCCTTACCAGTTATCCTTTTAGTCAGGCAACCTGAGCTTTGAAGCAGAGTGGTAACTTATAAAGGAAAGATTTTGATCATGTATAATATGCCAAATAAGTTAGGAAACTGAAGGACTTTTCTATTAATTTTTCCATGAATTTTCAATAAGTTACATTATGATAAATGAAAAGGCCAGGCGCCAGTGACTCAGGCCTATACCTTAGCTACTTGGAAGACAAGATCAGGAGGATCTTGGTTTGAGACCAGCTCAGGCAAATGGTTTGAGAGACCCCCATCTCCAAAATAACCAACTGAAATGGACTGGAGGTATGGCTCAAGTGGTAAAATGCCTGTTTTGCAAGCACAAAGCCCTAACTTCAAACCCCAGTCCCACCAAAAAAAAAAAAAAAAAAAGAAATCAGAAGGGCCTGGGGGTATAGCTCAGTGGTAGAGCACTTGCCTAGCATGTACAGGCCTTGGTTTCAACCCCTGAGGTGGGGGTAGGGGAAGGGATGAAGGAAAGGAGTAAGGAGTGGAGGGAAGGAGAGATGAAGAGAACAAAGAAAGGAAGGGGAGGAAGAAGAGAGGGATGGAGAAGAAGAAAAAAAGGAAGAAGGAACAGAGGGAGGAAGAAAATGGGGGTAGAGAAGGAAGAAAGGAAGGAAGACTTTACTGAAGCAAAATCCCTACTGAAACATCCTTGTTAATAATGAAATTAATGTGAAAAATAAAATAGCATATACAAGTTAATTGTAAATTGGGAACTTAGAAATAAAACTAAAGTCTCAATGACCAGGCCAAAACATTACTGAGAGACCTTAATCTTCTACATAAAGATCTCCATAAGGCATTAGCATCCCTAGCCACAGCTACCCTGGAGTCTGTCATACAGGAGAGGTAAGGGGGTCACTCTGATTGGGACGGGGGTCAGTCACTGCCTATCCACACCCCATTTAGCAAATAATTTGATCATTATGTAGGCAACTAATATAGGCACGCCTCGGCACACTTTGTCCCATTTTTCCGCCAGACCATCTACTATTACTCCTCACCCTAAAAAAGCCTACTGCTTAATTCCCAGTGACAAAAAATAACCAGCCTTGTAATGTAAGAACTATGGCACTCAGACTACCTTATAATAATGCCATCATCAAGCTGTGGAGCTATGAAAGAATTCTCTGATTGCTGTTCCTCTGTGATCCTGCCTCCACATGTAGAATAGAACGTCTACAATCTGGAACTAAAGCTAATCTATGTTGGCATACTGTTTGCTTTCTTCATTTCTTTCCAGATTTGGGTCTCGATGTGCCAGAATATTCCGTCTAGTTTTGCAGAAGAAACACCTGGAACAGAAGCAGGTGGAGGACTTTGCAATGATTCCTGCAAAGGAGGCAAAGGATATGCTATATAAGATGCTCTCAGAAAATTTCATATCACTCCAGGTAATCAATGTTATAATGACTGCCAACCAGCAAAGCTGACCTAGGGTAAAAGAAACCTAAGGCAGTGATCTGGGTCCCCAAGCAAACTCTATATCCAGCTTCTGAGGCAGAAAAAAAATTATAAACAAAGACATGGCAAGCACCTAAAGGACATAGAGCTTTAACTAGCCTAGTAAGAAAGAGAAAGAGCCAAGAAATCACCTCACAACCACCCTGCCCTTTTTTCCATCATTCTTGTCCTTTCCTCAAACCTTGGTTAAATCTATCTACGGCATCTATTGGGTTCTTGCAGAGCCATGTCATAGGCCCTATGAGGAAGTAGGTTGAATGGATTTTGGAGTCAGTTCACAGCTCTGTCTCTTACCCAGTTACATTGGGCATGTTATCTACCATCATTATCCCATCTGTAAAATGGTGATGGATGGTAGTAGTAAGAATAATACGGTTTTGAGCCAGGTGTGGTGGCAAATGCCTGTAATCTCAGCACTCAGGAGGTTGAGGCAGGAGAATCAAGAATTGAGGCCAGGGACTAGCGGTAGGGCTCAAGTAGAGCACCTGACTAGCAAGTGCAAGACGCTGAGTTCAAACTAAAAAAAAAGAATTTGAGGCCATCCTGGGCTATATACAGAGACCATGTCTGAAATAATAATCATCATCTATGGCCATACCACCCTGAACGTGCCCGATCTCGTCTGAAATAATAATAATCAGAGGTTGGGAGTGTGGCTCAAATGGTAGAACACTTGCCTAGCAAGCACAAGACTGAGTTCAAACCCCAGTACTGCAAAAGTAATAATAATATGATTTGTTGCAAAGATCACATACAATCTATCTTGCATGTAGAATTTGCTCAGTAAATATTAGTTGCCTTCCCTTTTTCCCCACTCAGAATGCTGACAGTCAAATGGGGAAGGAAAAAAAGAGAGCAAGTCAATCTTCATGTGGCTGATTATGCAATAAACACAGCTACTGAATGACTAGGATAAAGGAAAATATTAGTAAAAAAGAGCTCAGTAGCTCTGGATGGATGGGTGGTTTACTTTAACAATTCAGAAAAACAATAAAATTTCTCTATTTCTTTCTGTGGACAATAGGAAATTCCCAAAACGCCAGACCATGCCCCATCCAGGACCTTCTATTTATATACTGTGAATGTGCTGTCAGCTGCCCGAATGTTGTTGCACAGGTGCTACAAGGTAACCCCATGTAGATCATCTCCCATTCCCTTCACATAGACACGTCTCATCCTTAATGTCTCCTTTACCCCATTTTACCTGTACTTAGAGCTATGTGCATTTCTAGTTTTCTCTTTCCTCAGAGCATAACCAACTTGATAGAAAGGAGGCAATTTGAAACCAAAGAGAACAAGTGAGTAGCACTTTTCAAACTGAGTCATTTACATTTTTCAAGGTCAAAAGTCTGAGGGAAAATTTCCTGTTTAAATGGGCACAATAACTAGTCTAGTTGCATTGAGTCTTTAGCTTAGGTTGGCATTAGTTTGCACTTACCTTAATATACTCCCAATGAAATAATTTTGCAGATTATACTTATGAGAACCATACAAACACCTCAAACTTTTAAGTGTAACTTAAGGCAGAAAGGTTTTCAGGAATGAAGTTGTATTTGTGGTTAAGTTAGATGGTGACATTATCCACTTTGACTAGGAACATGGTAAAGGGTGGAGTTGTGCCTCATAGAAAGGATAAGAGAATCTCAATGTCAGAGAACATGCATTAGAGTTGTGCTTGTTTGACAGGCGTCTACTAGAAAAGTCTCAAAGGGTAGAAGCCATCATTGCATCAATGCAAGCCACAGGTGCAGAGGAGGTACAGCTGCAAGAAATAGAGGAGATGATCACAGCCCCTGAACGTCAGCAGCTAGAGACCCTAAAACGTAATGTCAACAAGTAAGCATCATTTCAAAATACCTTCGAGACAAATCCATCTTGATATCCTGAAATTCCTCCAATTTACTGGAACAAACCTAAGCTCACAGTCTTCTTCTTTAACTCAGTACAGAACTTGATCCACTTATTTTCCAAAATAAGCAATGTTTAAGACATCATCAGTTTCTCCTCTATACTGTTATTGTTCACTCTCTTGTTTAAAGTACCATGAATTTTATTTCAGTAAAATTCTGGCCTTTCATCTTGACCCAATTACAGGCCTTCATTATCTCTTTCTTAGACCTTCACAATGTCTTCCCCCTCCAAACCATCTCTCATAATACTCTCAAAGTTATGATCTTTTGTGTGTGTGTGTGTGTGTGGTACTGGGGCTTGAACTCAGGGCCTACACCTTGAGCCACTCCACCAACCCTTTTTTGTGATGAGTTTTTTCGAGGTAGGGTCTCTCAAATAATTTGCTTTGACTGGCTTCGAACCAAAATCCTCGTAATCTCTGCCTCCTAAGTAGCTAGGATTACAGGCGTGAGCCACCGATGCCCAGCCTGAAAGTGATTGATAACATCATTCTTGTACTTCAGATGATTTATTGACTTCTTACATTTATAGTACAAATACCAGACTCATTCACAATTTCAGAGCAGCTTGTCTCCATCTTCATTTCCTTTTACTGCTTACCACTTACCTTAATAGGGATTACTTTGAATCTGTAGATTGTTTTGGGGGAATACAATATTAGATCTTTCAACCCAGGAGCACAAGAGGTCTTTCATTTATTTAGGTCTTCTTTAATTTATTTCAACAATATATTACTATTTTCTTTAAGTGAGTCTTACACATCTTTTGTTAAATTTATTACCAAGTATTTTATTCCAGTTTAATGTTTACTTATTTCAATTTTAGATCACTCATTACTAGTACATAGGAAAAAAAGATTTTTGTGTTTTGATTGTATATCCTGCAGCTTTGCTAAGTATATTAGTTCTACTAGGGTTTTTTTTGTAGAGTAATTGATTGATGGCAATATTGGAGGTTGAACTCAGGGCCTGACACTTGCTAGGAAGGTGATCTACCAGTTGAGCCACTCCACCAATGCTTTTTGTGGATTCTTTGAGATTTTCTATGTTACTGGAACCAGGGACACTCCAGGGCAGAGGTTTCCAAAAGGGAGGAGGCCTCTTCCTGGCCCTTGTATGAGTTGGTGATGTTGTCACAAAAAAGGGTTTTCTGACACATAAGAGGTAGAGACCAAGAAAGTTTGTTAGTAAAGCAAAGCAAAGATAGAAACATAGTACACAGCTAAGGCATGGGTACAGGCACATCTGATAACAAGTACAAGAGTTCCAGCATCATGGGTATTTATGGTAGAAAAGTGGGTGAGGGGTTTGGTGCAAATTTACCTTAGGAAAGAGTGCTTCTCTTTGTTCTGACATCAGAACTTTTTTTATCATTTTTATTGTTACTATCTTATCAAATGGGCACAGAGACTTCAAAGGATACTCCCATTAAGACAGGTGTCATTTTTGTAAATACTTCTTGTGCCTGGAGGAGTCATTTTCCCAGGAGTTCTTTCCCAGGATAAGTGTCTTTCTTTAAGATATCCGTGCTTAGTTCTCAGAGCCACACTAATTATTTTTGGGCAAGCAGCACGGTCAGAGGGAAAGAGATGCTCTCCCTTCTCCCCTTATTTTTTTCTTTTTAGCAAATGTTGCAGTTTCTTGAGGGAGTGTGAAGTTTAGAGCAAAGAGTACCTATATGCTTTTAATAAAGTCATTTATTATTACATTGTTTATCTCTAAATTCCTGACTGCTGTTTGCCATGTCTTATTTTCCCTGATCTGTCCTGCCTCATTCAATATGTAGGAATCTGTGAATAGAGATAGTCTTATTTCTTCCTTTTCAATCTCGATGCCTTTTATTTCTTTTTCTTGCCTAATTGTCCTGGCTAGACCCTCCAGTGAAAGTGCAAGAGCAGACATCTGGGCTTGTTCCACATCTTAGGAGGAATGCTTTCAGTCTTTTACCATTAAGAATGATGTTGTTAGCCGGGCGCCAGTGGCTCACGCCTGTAATCCTAGCTACTCCAGAGGCAGAGATCAGGAGGATCAAGGTTTGAGGCCAGCCTGAGCAAATAGCTCGCAAGACTGTATCTCAGAAAAACCCATCACAAAAAAAGGGGGGTGGGGGTAGGTGGATTGGTTCAAGGTTCAAACCCCAATACCGCAAAAAAAAAAAACTAAAGGCCTTTACACATGCCATTCTTTTTCGTGGTTGCAAGTTAGACTGTTGACTTTCCCCAGGACAGAGGCTCTGTCTTTTACATTCTCAGCAGGTTCCCTGGTGCCTGGCATGAAAGGGATGCTCAGTAAATGGGAGAATGAGCTCTTGGTTCTCCTGCCTTCCACCTATTCCTGTCAAGGATAACCAAGCAATTCTCCAAGGCCACACACACCCCAACCTCTAATCCTGAATATGCTGGGCAAATGCTCTCTTTTTTACTCAGGTTGGATGCCAGTGAGATCCAGGTGGATGAAACCATCTTCTTGCTGGCGTCATACATCGAGAGCACTATGAAGAGACAATGACCCAGAGAAACATCTTCCTCAAAAGATCTGGGGGATGGAAAGAAAAAAAAAGGAGGTGTCTGGATGCACTCATTGCAGTGGGATAAGTTGCAGATTCTTGTACTGAAACCCCCTCTCTGTTCCAAATGCTCTAGATACACCTAAAAGAGTTTTGACATTTTTAAAAAGTTTGCTAATTCTCCCTTCAACCCATCACTGTATCCTCCCCTCATCAAATCTTGGCAGTGGAAAGATTAGTCATCTATCATATGCATCAGTTGTCATCAAGAAGTCAACTAAATGTGAGGCCCTAAGTTCAAACCCCAGTACCACCAAAAAACAAAAATAAATAAAATAAAAAAGCCTGTGTTTGAACATTCCTCAAAGTAGGAAACTACTTCTTAAGCAGTCAATCGCATTTTCAAAAGTCTATATCTAGTCTTTATTTTGTTGAGCTGTAATTTTTAATGCACACATTGACTAGTATGGAGAGGGGAGAGTTCTCAGTCTTTTTCAGAGTTAGCAGGTAAACTGGCCCAAGAAGTCACACTGAGTCTGTGGCTAGAATATGAATTTGCCAGCTCCAGACTTCCAGGATTTCTGAAATTATGTCTGTAGAACACTTAACACAATGCCTGGCATATGGTAAGTACACAACAGATTATTGCTTTCCTCTTCATAGTCCCTTAAAAGTGGCAAATCTAAATTTCCATATCATGGATATAATCTATCCAAATAGCTTCAATTTATTTAAGGCATTTAGGTCTAGTTTATAATCCCTTCATTTTCCTCTTGCCAATGTTCTAATTATTTTTTTAATTTTCTTTCATTTGTTCTAATTCTTTAAACATAATATATACAGAAAATAACTGGCCATCTCTGGTCTCACCATCATTTAACACCTATAATGTGCCAAGTATTGGGCCAGGCCTTAGGGGCACAATAATGAATACACCTTGAGCATACAGTCTAGTGGGAGGACAGAAATAAGTACAAGGAAGTATTGGGAAGCTGTACTGGAAGAGAATGTCTTATGTACATAAGAAAGGAAAAAGTTCATGCAAGAAAGGGATCATAGAAGGTACAATATGCACTTTGAAAGATTTTCCAGGGGAAAAGAATCCCTGAGGGGAACAGCCTGGTTCTTGCAAACAGCATATGACTAGAAAGTAGGGCAAGGTCTGTGCACCTAGCTACTTGAGAAGTGGAGAACAGGAGAATCTCAGTTCAAGACCAGCCCAGGGAAATATTTTGAGAGACCCAGATCCCCACCTCCAAAATAACCAGAGCAATATGACTCCAGGTGTGGCTCAAACAGTAGAGTGACTGCTTTGCAATCACAAGACCCTGAGTTCAAAACCCAGATCCATAAAAAAGGAGAAAAATAGAACAGGGGTCCTACCAGATTTCCAGGGCAAGGACTGGTGGATCTCAGCCATGCTGGAATTACCTTCTAAGAGCAGTGGGCAGCAATATGACCAGACTTGTGTTTTAGAAAGATCACTCTGCTGGCACTGTAGAGGATAATTTGGTGGGGGCAAAACAAGTCTTGCAGAATACAAGGCTTAAACTTGGGCAATGGATCTGGGAAAGCTTAAGGAGGTAAAATCCAGTACACTTGGTTGCCATTTGAATGAGATGAAAGAGGAGAGTGGGTGTACGGCTTTGGAGACACATAATTTGCTAGTTCAAGGTGATAACCTGCTGTGGAGGGGTGCGCACAGGCAACCCCACGGCTGGTGAGAGAGATCATGTGAGCCCAGACAAGTACTTTCTGACAGAGAAGTCAGAAAGTACTCAAGAGGAACTGGGGTCTAGAGGTATTCTTTGTCATTTGCTAACATTACCCAGGGATCATCCCCACAGTTATGTCTACGCACCTGGCTTGCACCACGCCGAGAAGCTCCAAGGAAAGTTCCTCCGCCCCCTTGCGCCGCCAGAGGGACCCAGGCGCGCAGCAGCGAATACGGAGCCAGCCCCTGCCCGGGTGCTGTTGCTCCTGTCCCGTCCAGGCGTCAGGAGCCCGCAAGCTTCACGTGGAGTGTGTGTGGCCTCCTGGGTGCCCGGCCAGCCCCCGGGCCGTGGTCCACGCACTGCCTCTGGGAGCAAGGTCGGCTTGTCCTCTCGGACAGGCCGTTCCCGGGCGGCTAGGCTTCTGCTCCAGGTCGGGAGAAGGCCCCCCAAGGAACCAAAGAGCGGAAGATTGGGGGTGACGTGGGATGGGATGGGATGGGGTGAAAGCCAGCTGCAGGAGGACGGCCCCAACGCGGCCTTCCTCACCACCACCGCGCGGTAACCCCCAGTTCATGGCAGTCCCACCCGCTTCAGAAGTCTTAACTCATCCGCTCCCTCTTGTCAGCGACTCCCTTTCTGCCCTTTTGAGGCCCCAGACCAGCAGCCCTGGGTCCCCGGGGCTGAACTGCCAATGAATAGAGGTGTAGATCTGGGTATGGCCGTCATCCAGCAGCCCAGTGGCCAGACTGTCTTGTTGACCCAAAGGACTCTCGCTGTTTCCCCAACCTCTAGGTGCCCCCAGGTGAGTACTCTGGGGAAAAAGGCGTGGGTAAAGTTGCCCTTTCTCCCACAGTCTCACAAGTGAGCCCAGAACTGTCACAAGAGGCTGCAACTGCAGCTGCCAACTGGAGGAGGGTGGTGTAAACAGGAATGGGATCCCTGGTGAAGACAGCCACCATTCACTTACTGGTCCCACTTTTGTTGCAAGTGGGCATGTGGAACTTGACCAAGAAGTACCAGTCAGCTGACCCAACCCGCATCCCGCCCAGAGACCTACCAGTGGGATCACCTTGGGTGCAGAGCTAAGGGAGGGGCACACAAAAGGGCTTGGAAGTGTGAAGCTTTGACCACTCTGACCTGCCCTCTCACAGCTGCTGGATGGAGGGCTTCCAGAACTAAAGGAAAGTGGACTACTGCTGCCTCAGGGCAAGTTCTCTTGGATCCCTCTGGGGTTATGGGAGGTGAGACAGGAGCCTGGGAATGGTCCAACTCTGTTTAAGAGACATCAACGACTGCCCTCCCCCCCCCCGCCCTCCCCCCAAAAGTCCATAGAATTGTCCTTATCTGCCTTGGCCACTGGGGAAATTTTAGTATGGGGGGACTGGAGTCCCCAAACCCAGGACCCTCACCCATGTCCTTTCTATACTGAATCTACCATCCACTTCCCACTTTGGGCTAATATTTGTTTCATTCTAAAGCTGTATTTACAAAGTTTCCAAAACAAACAGTAACTTCTCACTTTTGCTGTTTTCTTCTTAGTCTGCCTACCCTCCTAGGCTGAGCTGGGGTTTCCCCAGATACCATCACCTTGTACTCTACCTGCTTCTGATCTCCCAGGAGTCACAGCAGCAGCGGCTGTGGAGAAAGAAAATGGGACACAAAAGAGCCCAAGCAACCTGGCTCTGACTGATTAAGTGTAGGAGGGTGGGAGGGAGGGGTGAGTGATAACCAAGAACATCCAATAGCCTCTCTACTGCCCATGCCCCGACCCCATGTCTCTCCCCACTCCACAGGTAGATAGGCTGTGATCAAGAATAGCCCTCCTGAGCAGGGGCACCAGTGACTCATGCCTGTAATCCTAGCTATTTGGAAGCTGAAATCAGGAAGATTGCTGTTTGAGGCCAGCCCTGACAAATAGTTCACAAGATCCCCATCTCCAAAATAACTAGAGCAAAATGGACTGGACTAGCTCAAGTGGTAGAGTGCCTGATTTGCTATTGCAAAGCCCTGAGTCCAAACCCCAGTCCCTCCAAAAAGAAAGCCTCCCAGAGAGAAGCCATGACTGAAGGATCAACATGTCTATTCCCAGGCCCGGATCCAACCAAACCCATATGAAGTGAGCACTTTTGTGGCTGGGACCAGATGTGGTAGCTAGCATGACTGCCACAGAGGATGGGACAGACACACATCCTTCTCCCCCAGATCCTGCCACCCTCTGTCCTGTAAGAACTTCTCCCTTAGACTCCATTATACCCCCTACACACACACACACACACACACACACACACACACACAGAGAGAGAGAGAGAGAGAGAGAGAGAGAGAGAAATTCGGTTTCTTTCCTCTCTTCAGGATGGAATTTTGTGTTGTAGGAGGTATTTGGGGAGTTGTGATAATTAAGACCACATGCACTGGCCAGACTTCTTTCTCCACTGGCTAGCCATGAAGACCTATGTTTGAGTCTCAGTTCTCCCACACAAGCAAGTCATTTATAAAATGAGGGTAACATCCATCCAGCCACCTCCCTCTACAGTAGGAAGAAAGATTAAATGATCTAACATTAAAACTCTTTGTGAGCTACAGGGCACAACCCAGACAGGAGTTGTAATAATCCAATGCAGCAGAACGAGAGGGTGGAGGAGGCCAACCTCTGGCCTTGCCCATGTTCACACTGCTGCAGACAACCCCAGCCACAGCGGAGAACAAAGAGAGGGTCAGCTCCAGAACCAAGTTTGCCCTTAGACCTGGCTGCAACATCTGTGCAAGTAAAGTTGAGGAATGACTTGAAGACTCCACGTGGAATGAGCTAGTGTTCTTACGGGCACAGAGGGGAGGAAGAACTGTTCTTGGAAATGCTCGGTGCAAACACACCCCCACCCCACCCCAAGACCAGGTGAAAATGGAGTGCATGTTGACCCTGGGCCAATAAAGAAAGGACAGAACATGGATTCCTTGCCCCAAACCAGAGGTCTAGAAAGTGAAGTGCTTAATTCCCTCCATAGCCCACCTTCATGACACTCACAGAACAGTCACAATCTTTATTATGTGTGAGAACTTTGCTACAATTTTGGGTAGTAAAATTACAACATAGGTCCTAAGTCCTGGAGAAGCCTAAAAAAAGAAATCGGGAAGGAGGGCACAAGGGTCTTCTCACCTCCCAGCAAAGGTGCAGAATGAGCCAGGCCTAACACAGGGCCAAAGATCTCTAGAAGTTTAGGCCTAGGCTGTTTGGTATAAGAAATACTGTGAACTTGAGCCGAGTGTGGTAACACACATCTGAAATTCCAACTACTTGGGAGTCAGAGGCAGGAGGGTCATGAGTTCAAGGCCAACCCAGCAAATTATGAAGATCCTATCTCAAAACAAAATACACACAAAAGGACAGGGGGCATGGCTCAAGTTAAGGAAGAGCGCTTGCCTAGCATGCACAAGGCCCTGGGTTCAATCCCCAGTACTGCAAAAAATATATAGATAGATAATATCTATTTGTCTATATATATTTGCACTTAAATATACCAATAGGGAGAGATGCAGGCAATAGGCTAGGCCCTTCCTGCTTCCAAACCCCTGGGGATTACAACTAAGACCTTATCTCCTCCTCAGTCATACTGGGACACAGAGGCAGGGGAAGTCATCTTTGGAGTATTTTGGTTTTTCTTGTTTATATACAAAAAAATCTACAACCTAAAATAGAGTTCTCTGTCCATCTCTGAAACTGCCTGTCTCGATTTTGCCACCTGTCTACATGGCCAAAGGGAACGGAATGGACATGAAAAGCACAGATGTTTAGGTTTGGGAAGTGAGGGCATCTTGGAAACAAGAAAAGGGCCCTTTGCCCAAGAGGCTCTAGATCTGGTGAAGCTCTCAAAACTCACATCCCATCCCATTTGCCTCCCATTGCCTAGGTGAACACACCTAAAGGAATGTGCCACCATCTAAAGAACACTTGCAAAAATAGGCCCCAATGTCCTTTAAAAGAGGTTAAATATTAACCCTTTGGGTGCAGACCTTGTTAGGCAGATGAGGCCAAAAATAGGTATCCATGAAGGTCTATCTGGCCTTTGGCCAAAGACCCCTGAGGGGTATATATTTGCTCAGTGTTAGGGGCAATGCAAGTTCTGTAATCCAAGGAACTCAGTCCAAAGAAATGATGTCTGATCGACAGCCAGTCAAAGAGGGACCTGAAGGTACGGGACCTCCATGTCCCTCCCTCAAGGCCCCCCCAGGAGCCACAATACTGCTGACACGGCCAGCAGGCGGTGCTGGAGTAGAGCTGCGGTGAGAGCTCCCCAACGTGGGGGCCAGTGGGCCCAAAAAGTGGGAAGGGGTTCCCCGGTACTGAAAGAAGTGGCCAAGGGCATCCTGTTCATCCAGTGAGGTGATGACGGAAGGACCATAGTGCTGGGAGGAATCAAGAGCATAGTTTAAGATTTCATCCTGACTTACCACCTCCCTTCACTCACCTCAAAAACATTTTATTGGTTGAATAAACCCCTGTTGGTCTCCAGGCATTCTCAAGAAGCAGAAGGACCTCTTTGACTCAGCTCTACTTCTCCATGCCCCTCCCCTTTGCCTGCTTTGAGACAACCCCAACAGCTTCTGGGCATTATGGGCGTCTGAAATGTGTGGAATGTCCGGTTGGGGTGGGCCTGGTGCTCTAAGTGCATGCGGGTATGTGGGGGTGAGTAGGCAAGGGCAAAGCTACACTGAAACTCTTGAGAGAATAGTAACAAGGGAGCTTAGGAGACAAAGCTGTGAATCAGAGGAAGTACCAGTGGGGTTGAGGAGGAAAATTAAGCTGCTATATCCTCCCTTCCCTTACAGAAAAGCAGATTTAAGTCTCTGGAGAAAATGGGAGAGAGAAGGGATGTCATCAGTGCCTAGAAAGGAAGCTTCAGAGATCTTAGATCTTCCTGGGAAAAGAAGCCACCACTTACCTGACTCTCAGTCTGAAGGAAAGAAAATAAATCTAAACCTATAGGGGAAAAAAAAAAAAATCAAAATCAGCCTTTTACCTGACCCCTTCACCTCTAGAAGACAAAATTGCCTGTGCTTTGGAAAGGAGCAGGGGTTCTGGGGAAGGGCTCCACCTTAGGATCAGTGTCATACCTTGAATATCAGCCCCGAGTGGGAAGGCAGGTGGGTACTCATGTAGTGGGAGACTGGATAAGAAATCGCTGCCCAACGTGCCCATTGCAGGGCTCCGCAGCACTGAGGATGGCTGGTGACCAGACGTCAGAACTCTGGGTAGAGAAGGAAGTAAGCTAGTGAACCAGAGATGCCTGTACTCAGCTCTGCTGCCCAAGCTCCCTCCATTTTTCCCTTGCCCCAGGATGTGCCCAATGATCAGAAAGCACTCTGACTTCTTCCCCGTCCCTTTTGCTAAGGATTCAGCCATTTTCTCATACCCTTTGCTTCCAGGTAGGGCTGGGATGGCAGCGGAGGTGACAGGACAGTGCTTCTTGGCTGGGGGCAGATCCTCCTCATCTGACGAGCTTTCTATTGTCAAGTCAATAACTTCAACTTTCTTCTTATTCTCTGATGGATTTCCCTCTTGTACTGGGCTATACTGGAGGCCTATAGGTGGTAAGAAGACTGTCTCAGAAAAAGGGCCATCAATGATTTAGCTCAGCTGGGGGACAGGGCGTCACTCACCATCCAGCCCATACCCTGGTGGGGGGCAAACCTCAGATGCCTCCTTCTTGGGTTTCATTGGACACCAGGATCCATCTTCCATGAATTGGATCTCATCACAGTCCGAACAGGAATTAAGAATCTCCATGAATAAACTACGGGAGGGGAAAGATGGGAATTAATGAGGCTGGGAAATGGCTGGAACAGTAGTCAGAGTTCTGTGATTCGTCTGCCGTACCTCAGTTTCCTCATCTGTAAAACAGGGATCTTATCCACCCTACTGTACCTGTCTGAGTTGTTCTTGGAATCAAAACAAGTAAAGTAAGGGCTAGGGATATAGCTTAGTGGTAAAGCACTTGCAAAAAAAAAAAAAAAGTATGCGAAAGATCTTCACAAACTTTAGGTGCTAGATTTTAAAATAAATACAACCTGAGCACCTGTTACATGTAATTCCAGGAACAAGACAGATAGACAGATACAGAACTCCATAAACATCTCAAAAAGAAGATGCTGAGCAACAGCAATAATGAAGGCTCTGAATGCAGGTTAAGACTAGCTAAGAGGGCTGGACACATGGCTTCAGTAGTAGGCAAGCACAAAACCCTGAGTTCAAACTCCAGCCTCACCGCCCACCCCACCCCCCCAAAAAAAAGAAAGAAAAAAATTGTTTGCTTGTGGGGGGGGGGGGAAAGACTAGCTAGATCAACACAGCTCAACACACCCAAGCCCTTAAAAGAACCTTACTGGTAAGTTCAGGGGGAGGTCACACAGTCATTACAGGCAATATTAACTGTTTAATTCCTTGTTCTGCCATTTAACAATATAACTTCAATCTCTCCAGGCCTGTTTCCTCAGCAGTGCATGTGTGCGTGTGTATATGGACCACTCAAGGAGATAGAAAGGGTGAGAGCTGGAGTTCATCTCAGGGAAAGGAAACCATATATATTACAAGGGGGTCCTAGTGAATGTCCTAGATAAGACAAAGCGAAATGTCCCTACCCATCAATAATAAGAGACTCATAGGGAGCCTTCTTGTCACACACAGGGCATGTCCATGTTGGCTTCTTTTCATTCATCTGCAGATAAAGGGCAGCATCGAAGCTCTGTAGGTGGGCGCAGGTGAGGGCACGACATGGGACAGTCAGGCGCATCTTCCCTAGCTGAAGAGAGGAGAGTTCTCGAGTCAAGTCTTCATTGTGGTTCCATTGCAGAAAAACTCACTCAAGCATCCCTAAAAGCCCTCATCAGAGTCCAGAGGTTTAACACAACTATCCTTTCCCCTTTTCTTCCCCCTTCTACCTACCGGGCACATGAGTGACACCCGGAGACTTGTAGTAGCCACCTCACTGTCAGGGTCAGCGGTCAACTTCTCCTTGACTGAAACGAGAGGCCAGAGCCATGGAGTCAGCAAGGCTTAAGGAAGCCTAGGAGTTGGGAAGACCAGAAGCAGATGGCCCTTGTTGAGAGGCAGCTGGGTAGTGTTTTGGGGGGCCAATGGATTTAGAAAACTAGATATAGGGGGAGAGAGTCCCTATCCCTGGGTAACACACTGGCTATATTAGAGACAATCTAAAAGGAAGTGAAGCATCATGTGAAGATTAGATTAGATGATCTTTAAGACTCCAGTATGGAGAAACCATAATCTAGCAGGACCACATTTAGGGTCTGTGAGGTACAAAGCAGATGCATGATGGGAATGCAAGGGCATCCCTCATAGCCTGAGAGCAGTCCAACTCCTCAACCACAAAGAAAGGTAAGGAGCATAGTGCGACCACTGGGTTTCACGTGAGAGAAGAAGCAAGTTGTCACAAGAAACTAGAGGACCAAGACTTCCATGCAGATCCAAGAGAGGAAGCGGGGAAGGATGCTACTCACTCAGTGCCCGGGAGTGGTCTGGGTTCCGGATACCCTTTGCTCTGAGTTTCTGTAGCAGGGTCCCTGCAGTCAACTGCCTCACCAGGTACACAGACAAGGAGTAATTCTACTTGTTGGGGAAAAGGGAGGAGAATTAGCCTCTGCTTCTCATACCACCACACTTTTGTCCCATGAAGACCAGACACATGGATTTAGGCAGACAGACCCATGAAGAGGAAGATGATTGCCCAAACTAGAACCCTGGATGACTCCCCTTCAACCCATGCAGGACTTTCCAAACACCTGGTTGAGCTATGCTCACCCGTCCAAACTCAGATGACCAATTGACCACGATGGTGTTGGGAACAGTGGCCGAGAGTCGAGCCAGCGGTGTGATGTTGATGGGGCGGCTGGGCCTCTTGGGCTCAGCCCCATTCTTGGTGGGGGGAAGGTAACCCTGAGGAAGGAAAGGACTGGTCAGTGAAGAGATGGCTCTGGGAAAGGGATGTGCTCTAACAACAAAAGAAATCTTGTCTCAGTTTACTTACTCCCCAGATGGAAGGTCACCCATAACCAAGGGGACAGGGATCCACTCAGTGCTACAAAAAACTAGGGCACTACCTAGGGTTGTGGGAGAGGTTCACTTCTGAGGAAAAAGGGAAGCTTATTTATTGATCAAGAAAATAGGAACCGACTCACTGAGTCTCTGAAGAGGAGCAACAAGGACACCTCACTTCTAATTTTCAGCTCTGGGGTCATGACTTTTTTTTTTTTTTTAACAGATTCAATATGATTTTATAGGCAACCAATTAACAGATTAATCAATCATTTAGCCTCCTTTAGTTAAAACCAATATTCCACTCAAGAAAGATGAATCCAAATGGGGTCATGACTTCTAAAAAGTTCCTCTTTCAGGTTTATTCAGCTTTATTTTAATATTCTCTAGATTATATTGACTCAGTAAACAGAGCAGTTACTGTGTAAGAGGCACTGTGCTAGACATGTCTCTTTCATGATCGGTTTATAATTACTATTCATGAACTGAAACAGGAAGGGGTGACTGCCAGAAGGGAAGAGCATTTACCGGCAGGGGGCACAGTTTCCCATTGACCTTGACAAAGAGGTTGGGGGGGAAATAATCCTCCTGGGGGCAGCTGGTCTCACAGAGACAGAACCTGGTGAGAGACGACAGAGGATGAAAGGGTGGGAGACAGCTTCTTGAGTTTATCTGGCAGAGAGTCAGAAAACCCAAAAAAATCAGTCATGGATATCTGAAAGCTCTCAAGATTCAGGAAGAGTCACAGGGCGGGAGTGGGCAGTGGTAGAGCAAAGACAAGAGTATCTCCCACCCCTAATGGGATCCCAGCAGGGTAGAGGGAGGACCAACTCACCTTAGCTGCACCTGTATGGTATAATCGCATTTGGCTCCTGGCAGAACCTCTCTAAAACAGGGAGAGGTAAAAGAGGTGTCAGTATATGGCCCTGAGAGGGTTGGGATGAATGGAAAGATAGATGTCCAGAGGATAGAGAGGAGAAATGAGATAAAAGAATGAAAGACTAAGCAGGGATAAAAGGATACATAGGGAGGAAAGCAGAAGAGAAAGTGAAGTTAGGGAGCAACTTAGGTAAGTGCCCAGGGACGAGGCAGGAGGACTAAAAGAGACATACCTAGATGTGAGAATCTGCTGCACTTGCTGGGGTGTAAGGGCAAACGTAAAGTGTGCTTCCTCAAACCGCTGACTAGAAGTGGATGCTGAGGACAAAAAGATGCGATTATTCCCAAGCCCATGCAAGGCAACCACAGAAGTTGCCCCCATCCTAGCTTGCTGATCCCCATAAGACAAAAACCTAAGAACGGAGTCCAGCCTAAACTAGAGTCCAGGACACTGAGGGATAAGAAAGCCATACCGAGGGTGGTAGGCCGGATGAGCTCCCCGTAGACTTCATAGAAAGGCAATGGTTTCATAGTGACATCAGGGTGCACAGGCTGGGGCAGAGGAGGGTGTATGTCCACCTCACGCTTGGGGCCCAGCAAAGTGCCAGGGGCCAGAAGGGCAGGAGGAATGGGAGCTAGAGGGCCAGGGGAGCCTACAGGAGAGGTGCCAGGGGGCAGAGAGAGCAGGGAGAGATCAGAGGGGCCCAGGGTCTTTCGGGGAAAGCGCCGGCGGTATAGCTCTTTGATCTTCATCTGGACACTGGGGGCACAGCTGGACTTAAGAAGGTGCAGGGCCTTGGCCAGGAGTTCGTGCTTCCGTCCACTCTTGTTCCGGCCAGCAAAACCAAGGAGCACTTGGAGCTCAGACACCCGGAAACTCATCACCATGTGCTGTGGAGAACAGAAAAGCTTGGGAATCCCACTTCACAGTATCCTGCCAAGGACATTGGAGCTGAGCCACCAGAGAGGTAGCACTGAACTGAAATGTTCTTCACAACTTTTAGATTATTGCTGGGCAGCTGGCCTGGACATTGCAGCCCCATTGCAGCAACCCTCAGGTCAGCCTCACCACCACCTCCCAGAGCTTGAGCAACCCTATCTCCCGATACCTGGAAGTTGACCAGTGTGGGGTCAGAGGATGGCAGGCAGCAAGCCATGCTCTGACATACCTCTGAGTCCACCACAGACTCCTAGCCCCAACCCTGCCCCTAGTCAGGAATCTCCTGTAAGATGTTTACCTCCTCTCCTGCTCTTGCTCAGACTTTCAGACTCATCCTACCCTCCTAGAAAGATGATAGTAGATAGAGAAGAGGGGATTCAGGCCAGACAGCCCCACAGGCAAAAAAGGGGCCAGGTGGCTAGAGGATTGGGCCCCATGGCCCACCCCTCCCAACATGGGCCACCCCTCCCAATCATCTCAATTCACCTTAGCTATTTTCCCCAAGCCTCTGAAGATTTCATAGCCAGGGTTTTTAGGTTAGAGTTCAATGCCCTAAACTCCCCCAAATCCATTTTTTGGCATAATTTTACATAACCACCTTCCTTGGTCCTATTTCTCTGGGACAGAAATAGGACCCACACTTGTGGAGGAGGAGGGGCTAACAGTGATGTATCCTTCCTACCTGTTTACTCCATCTGCCAGAAATTAATACCCTATTACTCTCCTACATGAAGAAAAGAAGTGATTACACCCACCCCCACCCCCACCCATAGGGGTGGAAAAGAAAGCAAAGTTCTGAGCAGAGGCCTTGGAAGAATAAGGGCAGGGCTCCTGGGCCAGAGTGTCTGAGCCCACTGGTTCCAACTCAAAGGATGGAACAGTAAGGAGGCAGGAGGTTGATGTTCTGTGAGATGTCCTCTGATGTGGTTACCTGGAGATTGTGTGTGGTGGTGAGAAGAGAGCTCTCTCCTCAAAGGGCTCCCTTCTGTGAATCTCTGCCTTGCCAGCCCCCACAAGTGGACTCCTTTTGAGGAATGATGAAAAAACTTGCTCCTCTACCTTCCTCCCCATCCGTGTCTCTGCTGACTTGTCTTCATTGCTCTGTCTATAACTCCCTCCTTCCCATGCCATAATTTCACACTCCTCTGCCTCAGCCAAGAGACTAAGGCTGGACCTTCCTCTCAACCTCCAGGATGCTCCTGCCCCACCCCTCGAGGCACCGGCCTGCACAGCCCCGCCCCTGGGACTCGGCCGCCTAAGGAACTTCCCAAGGCTCAGATGCCAACAGCAGCCCCAAAGTTCTACCCACCTGGCTGCATTTCCCTCGGGGACTCCCCTACATTTGCCCTCCCCCCCACCACCGTCGCATCCCTACATCTCCCCTTTACTGTCGCATCTTTCAGCCTGATCCACTGGCCCTCTGTGCATCTACAGCAGCTTCTCCCCAACTCTACCCCTACAACGACCCCTACTATTAAATACGACCTCCACCCCGCGTCCCCGCCCCCTGCGCCGCGGCCCCCAACAGCTGCAATTCCCTCGGCCCCACCCCTACATCTGCCCCGCAGCCCCGCCCCCGGAGCCGGGCCGCAGCCCTGCCCGGCCCGCAGCAGCTCCTCCCCGGTCCCCAGCAGCCAGTCCCTGCCACGTCTCCGGCGCCCTCCGCGGCCTTCGGCGCCCGGCCTCAGTGGCTCTGCTGAGTCGGCGTGCCGCCCGGCTCAGCCCAGATGGGAATGGGGGAGGGGGCCGGTACCTTTAATTCGCCCAGTTCCGCCATCTTGAGACATCGCAGGCACCCCAGCCTGAGCCCGAGCTCAGGCCCAGGGACCGGCGCACAACTCTCCACCCCGGCGCCGGCCGCAAATGCCGCCTGCTCCGCCCCGTCCGGCCCCCTACACCTCCCCTTCTCGGCCCCGCCCGCCAGGCTTAGGACCCGCCAGAGCCTCAGCCCCTCCCTGCACAGTCGGACCGGCACCTGCATGACTTCGGCGGGTTGGCAAGACCGTAGACCCGGAGGGAGGGTACCGCCCAAAGATCGCGGGGTCCCAGAGGGTAACGGAGAGGGGGCGGGCCGAAGTGCCTGGGGGAGGGGGCTTGCCACGCCAGAACTGGGAGGAGAAGAGCTTTTAGGGAGCCGTAGATACTTGAAAGATGGAGGGAAAGTATCGGGAACTGCTAGGTCTCCGAGAAATATGGGGGAGGGGTAACAAGTTGCAATAAATACCCTGAATTTCCAAGTTTAACCAGCTAAACGCAAAAGTTCTACCAACTCGGGGAGTGAGCTTTGATCCATTTTAGGGAAGTTACGGAGTCGTGAACAGTTCAAGACGGCTATTCCCAGTCTTCACTCCTCCCCCCAACACAGACTACAATGTAGCCCCTGCTTCGGCCACAGGACTCAAAATCGGCCGCAAAAAGTTTGGTGCGGAGAGCGAGACTTACCAGCACAGTTGCGGGGACAGGGAGGGGTCGGGAGGCTCACTGGGTGGGCTGAGCGGGCGGGCGAGCGGGGAGCTCGGCGCTGCTCCCGCAGTCCGCACCGCAGGTTCGGTCCGGCAGCTGGACGCCCAGCCGCAGCTCCGCCCCGCCAGCTGAGCGCTCGGGCTGAGGCCGCCCCCTCCAGGGGAAGCCCGCCAGCACCGCTGGGAGGAGACAGGGGCGGAGCCCCAGGAGGGAGAGGGAGGGACTCGAAGCTGGCGGGAGAAATTAACTCTTCGTGTGAGTGGACCAGGAGAGACGATGTTATCGGCCCTATGCGCTGTCTCACCCCTTCGCGCTAATGTGCGGGCTTGGAATAAAGGCACGCTGCTAAGACGGTGGAGACCAGGAATCTGGCCCTAAAGAGATTCTTGGGGTTAGAGCTCTCCCTCTCTAGGGGAAGGCCTAGCCTACTGATAGGGAAAGTAGACCTAGCCTTAACTTTCCAGGTTTCCCTGACCCCCTACCTCAAATATACAAACAGCCACCAGAGGTCCTACACCTTCGGTGTACCTGAAAGTAAACAGAGGGGAGGTTTTCTTACCCACAAAGGAGATCTTTCTGCCCCTCTGACTCCTTCTTCCGGAGCTTCCCATAGCACTCTGCAGAGGCCGTGTCAGCCAAGCTGATCACTCATATGCAGGCCTATACTAAATCCGTTTCTATATCCGTGAAGATACCAACTTTAGAACAGTCTACCAAAATACTCAGTATTTTATAGTTGTCTGGGGCCTAATAATAATGTCATTTGTTCAATAAATATTTGACAACGGGGGAAGGGAAGAATAAATATCTGAGTGCTAATAAGAGGTCGTTACATGATGAGGGCATAAATGCTTTGCAAGAGCTCACAGTCTAGCAGCAGAGACATGTTAAACCTATAATTAACATGAAAAAAAAGCTTTAATAAACACTAGGAATAATCCCTTTCCCCTCCCCCTTTGGTTTAAACCTTCAGTGTACTCCTTCCCATGAGACCCAACCCAGTCTGAAGGTGCTGCCCATATTTCCAGGTACCTGTTAAAAGAGACCTTGGAACTGGAACTACTTTCTGGGTTTTGTTCCTAGGCAAAATGGCTACCTTCTCTGACACTCAACTTTCCTTTCTGCTTGCTGCCTGACCTAATCAAGCTAAATTTAGGAAGGCTAAGTATTTGGTTCTAAATCTCATCTGATGCCTCCCAACACCTGAATCTTCATCAGGCCTGAGCTAATGTTGTTTTTTTGTTTAGCCTCTAGATCTAAAGTTACTATGGATTACTTTGTATTTCCTAGAATTTTCAGTCATTTCAGGGGTGGGGAAAGATAGGGAAGTTTTAAGTGACAGGTTCATTGTCTTGTGTGGTAGGTTTGTGGGTGTATATATATAATGACATCAAGTTGTATACTTCAAAGACATGCGGTTTATGTATGTCAATCATACCTCAGTAAAGCTGTAAAAATGTAACAGGCAGAAAGCCAACCTCACCTTGATTTCTATTGATTTCATGCAGGTGGGATCTCCTTTAAAAGTTCATTGAAGGTTGGGACTTGGGGGGTGGGGTGTAGCTCAGTGGTAAAGTAAGTGCATAGTGTGTTTGAGGCTCTGGGTTCAATCCCTAGCACTCCCTCCCCCCCTCCCCTCCCCACATATGCACAAAAAATGTGTTAATTTGAGGTTGTAAATCACAGCATACCAAAGAGTAACAGAAAACTGGAAACCAGAGCACTTGAATCTCATCTTACTTGCATGTTCCCTAAGGGCAATCACCTGTGCTGGGGAGGTAGTTCAGTGGTAGAGTGCCTGCCTTTTATGCTTGAGGCCCTGGGTTCAGTCCCCAGTACCAAGAACCTTTTCTGTGCTGTTTATACTGTAGTCCCAGTCATGGCACATGGTAAGAGTCCTTAAATATCTATTCAATAAATTATTTAATAGAGGGAAACTGTCTATCAGGACCAAGTTCCAGATTGAGGGCATTCCCATAGTGTGAAACCCATCATGATGCACCAAGCACTGCCCACTTTCACCCATTCACTCCCCCATTCTGAAGCCTGGAGGATGAGGAGGAATTGAAGCAAAAATGCTAAGTCCTAGGCTGGACACCAGTGGCACACAGCTGTAATCCTAGCTGCTTAGGAGGCAGAGAACAGAAGGATCAATGTTCAAGGCCAACAGGTGGGAGGGGTGGGCAAATAGTTCTTAATATGGCTGGCAGAGTGGGTCAAGAGGTAGAGCACCTGCCTAGCAAGTGTAAGGTCCTGAGTTCAAACCTCAGAACTGAAACAAAAAAAAAAAAAGAAGAAGAATGGTAAGCCCCTGCCAAACAGACAGCCTGTGAAAAATATAGGCAACATTAGGATTATTGTACTTTGGAGGGAAAAAAAGATTTATGATATCAAGCTTTGGAGTTGGGGTGACAATTTGTGAGGTTGTACAGATTACTTCAGGAAGATGGGGGGTTGGGGAAAGTTCCACTCCTGTGTTAAGGATATCACTCACCACTCCCACAGCTGAGCTGTCTGGGATCGTTTCCAGGAGCTCCAGAGGGAGGCAAAGGCCTGGCTTCCATTATCAAAACTGTTTCCTGACACACCACTTGAGTTTAGCTAAATGATTTTCCCCTCTCTGGACCTTTCTCTCCACAGTTTCTTCATTCTTCCCACCCCACACCCCAATTATAAAGAGAAATGTAACAGTCCTTTGATATTCAAAGGACTCTCTCCTTCAGAGAGCAGGAAGAAAAGTCTGTTTCTCTTAATAGAAAGGACTCAAACCTTTTTGACACCTCCCCTTTAGCAGATGCACCCCTTCATCCCCTCCTTCAATCTCTTTCCATTTTTCTCAGCCTTAAAGCAGTCCAGTGCCCATTTACACAAACCCTAAAGCTGATCTGCACCTTCATTAGGATCTGATCTACGTATCTCAGAAGCTCTCTTTCGCCTCAAACTCTGGAGCCAGTCTCTGCAGCCCTTGCTTGTTAGCCCCAATTCCCACAATAGCCTCTCATTCTCCTTCTCTCAGCCTTGGCTCTTCTGCCATACTGTTGCTGTTGACTCAGTGTAACCCAGCAGAGGGCCGGCTGAGAGAAGGAACTTGGATTCCAGATTTTGGAGCAACTCATTCTCACCTAGTAGCAAGCCTGGAGGAGGAGCAGGAAAGGGCTTCAACCCAGGAGGGGACTAAGAAATACATTCTTTCAGTCCCAATACACAACAGGGGATAGAAGCAGACTAGGTATCCCTCCCTCCTTTTCTCAAGAATCAGACATGATAGAATATTTTAGATTGACCATCTTGAGGAAAATCCAGATTTCTCAGTCTGCCTTTAAAAAGATCATGGGTTCAGGAGGTAGAGAAAAAGGAGGTATAGACAGGTTAAAAAAAATTAGAGTTGTGTTGGTGAGAGTCAAGATTTGAAAGCCAGGTGCCTGGTGGATAATGCCCATAATCCTAGCTACTTGGGTTCAAAGTTTGAAGCCAGCCTTGGCAAATAGTTCACAAGACCCCATCTCCAAAATAACCAAACCAAAATGGACTGAAGATGTGGCTCAAGCAGTAAAGTGCATGCTTTATAAGCACCCAGTCCTGAGTTCAAACCCCAGTCACACACATACACACACAAAAAAAGTTAGATTTGAAAGGAATTCCATTTTAACTAAGAGTGTGTTTCAAACTGTGGATCTTGACCCTTTAATGAATAGACTGACATTTTTTCAGTGGAGTATACCAGTAGAGACTAGAAGAGAAATAATAAAGGTAAGTACTATTTCAGGTATGTACACACAGGATGTAAAATGTATTTCTTACTATGGATCACAAATTAAAGTTTGAAACCTGTTGGTTTATGGGATTGTTTGTGTTCAAAAAGGAATGAAATAATTGTCCAAACTTGGAAGCAACCAAGATGTCCTTCAAATAAACTGTGGTACATCTTGACAGTTACTCAGTGTTAAAAAGAAATGAGCTATCAAGTCATGAAAAGACATGGAGGAAACCTGAATGCATATGACTAAGTTAAAGAAGCCATCTAAAAAGGTCCTGTCCTATATGATTCCAACTATATGGCATTCTGAAAAAGGCATAGAAAGACAGTAAAAATATCATGGTTGGGCTGGGGGTGTGACTCAAGTGGTAAAGTGCCTGCCTAGCAAGTGTGAAGCCCTGAATTCACACCCAAGTAACTACAAAAAAAAGATCATAGTTGCTCCAAGTTAGGGGAAAGAGAGGAATGAATAAGCAAGGCACAGAGGATTCTAAGGACAATAAAACTAGTCTGTAGGTTTCTGAAATTGTGGATACATGTCATTACAAATTTGTCTAAACCCATAGAATATACAATACCAAGAGCAAACCCTAATGTAAACAATGGACCCTGGGCAATAATGATATGTCAGCACAAGTTCATCGGTTATAACAAATGTACCACTGTGGTGAGGGTGCTGGCAATGTGGGAAGCTGTGCATTTGTGGAGAGCAGAGGATATACAGGAAATTTCTGTACCTAGTCAATTTTGCTAAACCTAAAAATGGTCTAAAAAGTTGTTTTTTTTTAGAGGTTCTGATGTTTGAACTCAGAGCCTTGCTCTTGTTAGGCAGGTGTTCTACCACCTGAGCCACACCCCCAGTCCTCTATTTTTTAAATTGTTATTAAAAAGGAAAGGGAATGAAAAAATTTCTTCCCCACACTACCCATTTAGGCAGAAAACACAATGACACTCAGAACCATCTGCCTTCTACTTTATTTTCCACAGAGCTGGGTTCCATCCACACCTCTGGTTTCACCTATGCTGATTCCAAGGCCCAGCTCCTCAGCTCTGGGGTCCATATGTCAGGTGAAACCCCACCCACATCACCCCTAGTGACCACCCCCCCCATCCCTCCCACACACACAGCTTGATGGAGCCTCTGTAAACCAGGGATGTTCTTATTCCCTGAAAGAAGAAATTCGAGGATAAAATGCACACACTTTCATATCCTCAGTCTCCTCCTACTCCGTCATCTTTCTGGACTGGAGGAGAGGTCCACATGCAAAAGGGTTAGGAGAAGACTGGGGATGACTGCTCTTTGAATGAATGGTGTAGTAGAGGAGGGGAAAATCTGCTCTAGGGAATTTATACCACTATCTAACCATCACTCATCTTTCACTGGCACCTCCCTACGGGCAGACCTTAGGAAAAACACCCTAGCCCTCTTTTCAGTCTCCATTCCATAAGTCGTCCTCATAGACTCACTCTACCTGCTCATCGATTCCTGACTCCACCCTTATTCCCCAATTGACCTTACCTCAAATGCTCTATGGGACTCCCCAGGGTCAGCCACCATAGGAGTAAAAGGAGACTCCTATTTCCTCCCATAAGCTTTCTTTCCCAAGTGCTTTCTCCCAAGTTCCATCCATTCCTCATTACCCTCAACCCACAACTCACAACAGAGAAACCCCATTATCTGAAGGCACACAGTGAGGCTGCCTCACTCCTCCTGCATGCTGAGGATTCGAAGTAGGATATTGTATACATCCTGTTCCATGTAGCCCTGTAGGTGACAGGAAAGACATAAAAGGAGATGAAGAACAGAAAATGGAGAGAGGCAGATTTTGTAGTAAAGTGGAATACTATGCACTACTACATATCACTTATAACTTTAGCAAATTTTGTTTGGTTTTTGTTTGCCATGCTGGGGTTTGAACCCAGGGCCTGATGCATAGTAAGCAACTGCTCAACCACTGAGCCACATCCCCAGCCCTCACTTAAAACTTTAATTTTTTAACTTTTCCATGGCTGTTTACCTATCTTCACAAGGAAGATAATGAGTCCTACTTTTCAGGATTGCTATGAGGGCAAGAACTGTGACTGTGAAGCAAAGCACCTGGCACACAATTGATGTTCCATTCTTTGGAGTTTTTATTATTCCTAATAAAGGAACAAGCCACCCACCTTTTCTTCCTTGGTTAAGGCTAAATTGCCTCAGGAAGAAACGGATAAAGAGTAAGGAGGCAAGAAAATTCCCTGATAGTAGGTCAGGGAATTGAAAGAGATGTAAACGCTTCACTGTCTTTCACATTCATGCACAACCCCTCCTTACCTATCTAAAGAGATCCAGACCTAGCACTGGGTCCAGTGCTCTGAGAAATGACAAGTGTGTATAGTAAAGTATAGCAAATGCAACATCCCTACTGGCTCTATGTCTCTACCTCCCCCGAATCTCCACCACGCTCACCTGAGCAGCATTCAGCAGATGATCCCTATAGGTGGAGATGATGTCTTCATGGTTCTTCTGAGAATCCTGGAAGGGAGCATCAATGGGAAGGTTACGCCTACCCTTCCCACTCTCACCAAGCATAAGGAGCTGCTGCCTGGCCAGCTTCTACCACTTCCAGGCTTCCCTCCCATATATCCATTACTTCTACTGCCCACCCTCTTTTTTTTCCATGTTTATTTCCCTAAGGCCAAAACATACCTTCAGCTGCAGGGCAAGATGAGTGTTTTCTCCCCGAACTGCTAGGAGTTCCTCTGAAAGTTGCTCCAACTTCTTCAATAATTCCTTGATCTGAGGTTAAAAAGAAAGAGAGGAAACCAATGAGGCCCAAGTCATTTTTTCCCCAAACATCACCCAGGGTTAAGGTCAGCTTACTTTTATTGGGTATTTAATATGTGCCAGATATGTTTACATACATTATCTTATGTAAAACTCAACTCAGCCTTTCTTCTAAGAACAATACTTCTCTGAGAGAAGCATGACTATCCACATTTTGTAGGTAGGAAGCCTAGTTGAGTAATTTGTCAAAATGACACAGCTAATAAGGAATTAAATCATTATTTGAACCAAGATCTCTTTGATTCCATAATCCATGCTCTCAATTCAGTACTTCCCACTTCCCCTCACCACTGACAGAAATGAAGGTAAGTCCTGTGGCTTATGAGGTGGAGGCACAAATGCAGCTAATGGTACTAACAATAATAGGAATGGTGGAATAACGGTAGTAGGAATAATAATTTCACTTATGTAGCCTAGGCTGGTTCTGGAACTTGTCATCCTCCTGCCTCTACCTCCCTGGTGCTGGGATTACAGAAGTGCACCACCATGCCAGGCCAATGCCTATTTTTTATTGAGTACTTATCATGTTTCAAAAATTGTTCTGAGTATTTTAAATAAATTTAATATCTATTTAGTGAAATCCTTACAACTACCCTATTATTAACTTCATTTTATACATGAGAAAACTAGGGCTTACAATGTTAAGTAATTTGCCTAAGATCAATCAACTAGTATGTGTTTTTCTTTGTTTTGTTTGTAGTGTTGGGAACCCTCAGCCTCACACATGCTAAGCACTCTACTACTGAGCTATATCCCCAAGCCTCAGTCTTGAAACAAATTCAAATCTAGGCAATCTCATTTTGGAAAGCACTGTCTTTATTATCTTTCACCATTTGTATACTTTCATCAAAAGGACACAGAATTACTTTTTTTTTAAATTAACCCCACTCCACACTGATTCCTATTTTGGATAATATATCTTCTATTTTTATTCACTCTATACTAGATAAAACATATGCTCTTTATTTTTTTAATCATTTGAAATTTGATCTTGTATATAAGTTTTAATGGGAAGTCTGAATTCATTCATTTCACAGTACTTCTAGAACTACTAAATTCATTTGTAAATTAATCATTTAGAATGTATAAACTATGTCTCACACTCACTATAGAACAACTATACTTTTTTTTCTTTGCTTTGGTGTCCTTTGCCAATTGGAAATCATTTGTAGAACCCATTCTGAAGTAAAGGGGAAGAAGAGCGCTACAGCTGGGTACACTTAATCCATCAGACCCTCAGCAAAACCATTATACCATTAGGCCCTTTTTTTTTTTTTTCCGGGTATGGAGTTTGAACTCAAGGCCTACACCTCGAGCCACTCCACCAGCTCTTTCTGTGAAGGTTTTTTTCCGAGATAGGGTCTCAAGAGGTATTGGCCTAGGCTGGCTTCCACCACGATCCTCCTGATCTCTGCCCCCTAAGTAGCTAGAATTACAGGCGTGAGCCACCGCAGCCCGCCTACCATTAGGCCTCTTGTCAGGCCTAATGACAAATCAAAATGGTAATAAGCTAAATCAAAATGGTAATAAGCTGTGGTGTTTGCTTCATTGGTGGTGGCCCTGAAGGCACAGCTTCTGAACCCTGAGTCCTAAATTTTGGTACCTAAAGCCCCTCTCACCCTCCTTCACTTACTTCCTTCCTTTTTTTTTTTTTTTTTTTAACTCCCTTCTATTTATACCTTACCTCACCTCCAGTCTCAGCCCCAACCTCTCCACCCCAGCAGAGTATATTGTGGTCCCTACAGGTGATGGCTCCTCTGTTTGGGGCATGCATCTGACCAAACAATGGTTCTGAATTCAAGTTAGCAACGCCTCAAACACCCAGAAACTTCCCGCTGTGCTCCCAGGGCTACCTCTGCTGCTCACCTTGGCCTCCTTGTCCCGGCAAGCCCCAATAAGATGCTCTGTCTTCTCCCTCAGTACCTCGGCTGTCTTCTCAAAGTGCTCGCAGCGCGCGCGCATGTCGCGGGCCTGGCACTCCTGCTCAGCAGCGCGAGCTGCCAGGTCCTCGCCCCGGCGCCGTTCCTCCAGCACAGCCTCCCGCAGCTGACTTATTTCCCAGCAAGCTGCATTGTACTTCTCCAGCACAGCTTTTAGCTCCTGGCCCCAAGCCTGGGCCTGAGCCACCAGCGAACTCCGAGTTTTCTCATGCTGCCGCAGGCTGGCCGTCTCCCGGGCCCTCACCTCGGCCACCTCCTCAGTGGCTTGGTAGAGCAACTGCTTCAGCTTCGCGATCTCCAGGCTCTTCCCGCTCATCGTGGCCTGGACCGCCCGCAGCTCCTCCTCCAGCTTCCCCAGGTCTTGCTCCAGGGCGGCCACCTGGGGGGATGCTGGAACCTTAAAGGAGGCACCTGGCTCCCCGCAGGGGCCCAGGGAACCCCGCAACTGCTGGTTTTCCGTTTCCAGCCGCGTCAGCACCTGCTGGGCCTCGCGGTGCCTGTCCACCAGGGTGCTGATGCACACTTGCAGCTCCTGCAGGGGCTCGGCAGCTGTGCTCCGTGCACCATCCCTGCCCACCAGGTCTGGGGGTAGGCACTCCCATAGCCCTCGGAGGCCGCTGCTTTGTGAGGCCAGGCGCCTGCGCAAGTTCTCTGTGGCCTCCTTCTCCATGGCCAGTTCGTCAGTCAGCAATCCCACACTCCGCCGCAATTCCAGTAGCTGGACCTGCTCCTTGGGCGTGGGTACGAATTCCTGCTGTAGCCGCTGGCTCAGGGACTGCAGCTCACCTTGCAACCGCTGCCGCTCCCGCCCCAACTCCCCCAACTCCTCCAGCAAGTTACTGTTGCTCAGTCTCAGGGCCGACACCTCCTTCTCCAGCTGCCCCTTCACCAGGCCTGCTCCTGGGGCCTGTTCTCCTTCAGGGGCCCCTAGAGGTTCTCCTCGGGCCCCAGGAGTCCTTTTCTTCTCTCCATGCTCTTTGGTGCCCTCTGGGGCTGCCTTTGGGGTTCCCTCTCTGGACTCCTGGGCAGGAGCTTCATGTTTTAGCTGTAGTCCTGCCTTTGCCCTATCCAACCTCACCAGCACCCGCTCCAAACGGGCCTCCATCTTCTCCCAGGCAGCTGCTGCAGCCTCAGCCCTGGGAGTTCCCAGGACTCCCTCCAGGACTGGTCTTGACAAAGCCCCTCGGGCAGCATCCTTTTCTCGCCACACTGCAGCCAGTTCTTCCCTTAGTTGTAGCAGGAGCTGGCTCATGGCTGCTGTGCCCACTAATGGGTTTGCTGTTTCAACTCCTGGGGCCTGAGGTCTCTCCTGGCCACCAAACAGCTGGTCAGTGTGATCAGGGCCAAGTGTCTGCCCTTCATTGGTGGTCAATTGCTGTCCTGTGGCTTTCCCCAGGCTCTCAGGCCTTGGGTGCTGGACTGGCCCCTGCTCCGATTGGGACCTTCCATTTACTTCACACTGGATCTCTGCTGCAGCTAATTTCTCAATCCTTGTGGGAGCAAAGGTAGAGTTTACTGTGGCTATTGTCTGCTGCTGCTTCTTTAGCTCTTGTATATGCTCAACCAGCATATTCAGGGGACAACCCTGCTCCATACCATCCCCTTCAGGCCGCAGACTAGGGTCTGGTCTTCCTGGAGCTCCAGGCTCATGGGATAGGAGGAGCCCTAGCTCTTGCACCTGCTCTCGAATCTGGTTTTCCAGGCCCAAGTAGGCTGTAGCTTGAGCCTTGCATTCTTCTGCCTTTCGCACCAGCTCCTGCTCTAGCTGAGACACTTTCCTCTGTTCCTCTTCATACTTCCACCTCCACTCTACTGAGCATGGGTCTTCACCCTCCTCTTCCTCCTGTTCCTCCTCAGGCTCTGCTTTCCATGGACTCTTGGGTGAAGAACCCACCAGGGGCTCAGATGGAGAGGTCTAGGTCAAAAGCAGAACAATGAAGTGAGGCCATGCAGCTCACTTAGCCCAAGGAGGGCCATCTCTTAGAATGTCTTGATGCCAAAAGGACAATTGAATTGTCAGAAATAAAAGGGGAAGACTCTTAGGATCATACCTGAGATGTAAGATCTGGGTGCTGAACCAGCCCCTGACCTATAAGAAAAGACATGGGGCAAATGAGAAGACAGGTCTTACATACTTCTAGCCCACACCCTAACTTCAGATTTTGTTTAAGAGGAATGCCCCACTCAGTGTGATAACCCTCACACCCTTCTGGTGCCAGGAGCAAAAAGTCCGTAAGTATCCAGTAACTTTGATTTCCTAACCCAGAGAAACCAGAGATGGGACTGATCCTTCATTTATTTATTGGTCACTGTGTCAAGTACTGTTACAGGCACCAGGACCTCAATAGTGAGCAAACAGATGGCCTGTCATTTGAGGGGTGCACAGTCTAGTAGAGGAGAGATTGACCAGTAAATTATGCAAATATATGTACATACATAGCTCAGAAATCCTAGCAATAGCACTAGCCAGAGTTACCCTCAGTAAGACAAGGCTGCATTGAAGAATTTAGTAACTATGCTTTTGGGAATTTGGGGTCATCTTGTAGTAGCAACTAAGGTAACAATCATTTGTCAGAGGAACAAATGAGATACTAAGAAGTTTCTTTAATTTTTTGACTATTGAGGAGAATCTTGAAATTTACAAAAGGGCATTTTTGGCGGGGGCTGTTGTTCTTCAGATAGGGTATCACTGTGTAGCCCAGGCTGGCCTCAATCTCAAGATCTTCCTACCTCAGCACCATAATCCCCAAGTACTTGATTATAGGTATGTACCCCCATGTGTGGCCTACAAGAGGCTTTAAAAAAAAAACCATATATTAATTGTACAAAGGGGTTTCATTGTGCTATTTGCATACATGTATATAATGTACTTGGATCTAATTCACCCCCTCTATTACATTTTCTAATTTCATACATGCATATAAAGTATGTGGATTTACCTCCTTGCCGCCGCCGGTTCAGGGCCTGCCGTAGCAGCCTCCACAATGCTTTGTCCTGTGTACACAGAGCATAGTGCAGAGCATCATGGCCCATGCTGTCCACTGCCCCTGCATCTGCTCCGTGGCTCAGGAGCAGTTCAGCCACCTCAGAGCTGCCTTTCTCACAGGCCAGGATCAGAGCTGATCTATGGGCAGAAACAAATCTGAATACAGGCTTTTCCCCCATGGAATCCAGGAGTCCTGGTTCCAGAAATTCTACTTACAGGGGAAGCTCTCATTCAGTGGTGTCAGGACAACAGTCAATGACAGAGCATTAGACCAGACCAGAACTTTTCAAATATTGCTTCTTGTAGCTACAGAAAGTAGAGGCCAGGAGCTGAGGCATGGCTCAAGTGACAGAGTGAGGCCCTGAGTTCCAACTCTAGTACCACCAAAAAGAAAAAAAAAAAGATAGGGGGTCCATTTTTATCTACTTTATATAATGTTAAGGTTCCGTATAAATTTTGGGAGGTTGTTTTGTGGTTTTGGGGGGATGGTTTTTTGTTTTGTTTTTTTGGTGGGACTGGGGCTTGAACTCAGGGTGTTGTGCTTACAAAGCAGGCACTCAACTGCTTGAGCAACTCCTCTAGTCCACTTTGTTCTGGTTAGATTGGAGATGGGATCTCCTGAACTATTTGCCCTGACTGGCCTCAAACCATGATCCTCCCAATCTCTGTCTCCCAAGTAGCCTGGCTTATTTATTATTTTGAGACAGGGTCTTTCTATGCATCCCAGGCGGGCCTTAAACTCTAATCCTCCTGACTCAGCCTCCACACCTGGCTTTTGCATAATTTTTTTATTGGAAAAAAGGATCCTATTATTTAGAAGATAACTTGAAACCAGTAAATTAAGTCAATGGTTCCCAAAGTATCCATTCTACTTCTTGGATCATCTATGCTGGGAAGACAGTCATGGCAGCAGGCAAAATTCTTTTGAACCATCACTAGGAAGAAAGGAGGCCCCAAGAAGAGATACCAGCCTGTCCCCCCTCTTCTAACACACACACACATGCACACAGTCAGTGCCCATAGGCTCCTTTCTAGATTGTTCAAGGTCTGAAAATTGGGGTGGGAACATGGGGAGGGCTCACTTGTCATCCTTGTCTGTGACATTAACTCGGGCACCTCTCTGCAGCAGCTGTGAGCAGATAGCTGCATGACCACCCAGCGATGCAATCATCAGGGGCGTTCGTCCATCCTGCACAGATTGTAGGAAGGGGGAGGTTCACAAGGAGCCAGGGGAGCAGGGACTTGACAGCAACTCCCCTTACCCCACACCTCTATAGAAAAAAAGCTCAGATTGTAGGAGTAAATACTGTCTTTGGAGGATTAGAAGTTCTCCAGAAGACAAGGCTTAACTTCTATGTGAGGAAGAAGAGGAAGAATGGGAGGACAAAGAATACAAGGGTGGTCGTACTTAAAACCAATAGCCAAATGGCCCCTCACTTCTCCCAATAAAAGAGCTGATAACCATTTATTTATTGTTCATGCACATTCACTTAACACCTACTCTGTGCAGACACCATGCTTGATACTACCCCAGGTCACAGAATCTGGTTAATCAAGCTCATAAAGATTAGCATCCTCCCTGGGTAGGATACTGCCCAGTTGCCCAACTCATTGCTGGATACTCACATTATCCAGCACATCCAAGAAGGCTTCATGGTCACACAGAAGGAGGACACTTGAGGCACAGCCAGAGGAGGCTGCAGAAAGTTTAAGAAAGGTTAGTTAAGAAGTATGAAGGACACCTACTCAGACCATGACCCAACATCCCTTCTTACCATTTCAGTGGTTTGCCTGGCTATTCTTCCCACCAAATGTTATCTTCTCCTCCCCATCCTACAATCCCTGTAGCCCTGTTCCCACCAGTCCCCAGCACACACCTGCCCAGTGCAATGGACTACGGTTTTCTGTATCCACAGCATCTTCATTAGCACCATGCTGTAAATAGCCACAAAAAAGCAACATGGAGCTTAGCGTTAACAGCCTCATTCCATACCTCCTGTTGTGTCACCAATTTCCATGGTAATGTGGAGGAGTAGGGGGGAGCAGGAGGACCATAGTTCTGAGGGAAGCCAACTACTAATCCATTCCTTGCAGATAATAGACAAGCCTGGAATTTCAGCCCTGGTTCCTAAACCTAGGGTCTAAGAAAAATCTAATAAACATGTTAAGGAAAATGACACCTGAATCCATGGTTGATACTTTAGGATCCTAACTGTGAGATTTGGAAAGGATCAGAAGAACAAAATCAGAGCAACCATGTGCTCAATGGCCTATTGAGTGACTGTGCTTTTTGTACTTTGGATACTTATTTATGAATTGTTCACAGTCATTTCACTTATATGTTTTTCTTCATGCTACTTGACTATAACTGCCCCTAAAGAGACAGTAGGACTTTGGTTTAATCTGAATACTTCTGCTCTCCTTCCACCTGCCCATCACCATAGCAGATAATCTCTGCAATGGATCTGCCAATGGCAGAACTCAATAGTCCCTAGATAATCTGCTTTGTCACTAGCCCTCAAGGGCAGTATTGATCATGGTGCCTGCACAGAATAAATGGTTATCAGCTCTCTTACTGGGGACAGAAAGGTACATTTGACTAACTATTGCTTCTCACTATGAGACAAAATTAAGACTCCAAGGGCTGGGGTATGGGGATCTTATGTGGTAGAGCACTTAGTTTGCAAGCTCAAAGCCCTAAGTGCAAACCCCAGCACTGAAAAAAAAAAATACTTTGGGCCCACTTCTTCTCTTCTCAGGACTAATATCAAGAGATTGCTTTTACCTGAAGCAAGACCTTTACACATTGTGGCTGACAGGAGATGGTGGCCAAATGTAGGGCAGTGCTTCCTGGAAAGAGGAAGAAAGAGGGAGTGAGGTAGGATGGGTGGCCCCATGCATGTGGATGACTCACAGGGAGGGAAGGCAAGAGACGCACAGATAATCAGAGGGAGATTAGTGAGAGAAGCTCTCAGCTACACAGGGCCAGAAATTCCTGTTTCCCAAGCACCTGGTACTTGTGGTAGAGTGAGAGTAGGGGTAAGGTGTGCCCAGCTTATAGGGAGGTGAAACTTTGGAGGGATGCTGGCCAAGACTTATTGAGGAGAGAAGCAAGGATCCATAGAGCCTTCAGCAGGGCCCAGCACTGACTCCCACTGCTGCTATAAAGGGAGAAGGAAGTGTCATAGCCCAGTGCTGTCTAACTCACCGTCTTCATTCTTGCTGTTGATGTCAGCCCCATTTGCAAGAAGTACTGTCAGACATTCGGTCAGCCCTTTGGAGGCAGCCAGATGAAATCTGTCAGAATTAAAGCCAAAGGTAGAAGGATGAAGGAACCAGGTGATGAAGAGGATTCTTCTTCTTTTAAGTGTGTTTAATTTTCCAATAGTTATTCTAATCTATTTAAATCCAGGATTTGTTTTCTTTTCTTTTTTTGTTTTGTTTTTGGTTTTGGTTTTGTTTTTTGACACAAGGTTTCTCTGTGTAGCTCAGGGTAGTTTCAAACTCTAGACTCAGCCTCCTGAGCGCTAGGATTACAGGTGTGCACCACCACAGCTGGTGAAAGGGGAGACTCTTAATAAGCAGTACTTGTTATGCTCCCTAACCCAAAGCCAATCCCAAAAGTCAAGAGAGAAGTTCCTCAGAAAGGGAAGACCATATGGCCTACAGTCATGAAGTCAGAAGAGGCTAAAGAGGGAAGCTACAGGTCTCAAGAAATTTCAGACTATTGCAGGGTGTCCAGGAGACACATCATTATCTGACTTTCTGGGAACAGAACGTTTAGCACAACTGAAAGTGTCACAAAGAGTCAACAGGAGCAGAGCACAGGGTGGGCATATGAAGATGATTGGGACAGACAAGGGATAGTATCCGCTTGTTCTAGTCACTCCCTCTAGTTCTGTGACTCTCATGGCTACCACTTCATTCCTAATTTCCCAAGTGCACATACCCTCCTATTTGTGCAGTGAAGAAACCATTTGCATATATTAGTTTACTGTTTGTTTAATGAGCTTTACATCCTTTTCAAGCCGATGTTGTTAATGTGCATTGTGAGGTGGATGGAGCTGAGACTATCTTCTCTCCTCCCTTTGTGCTGTGCTTGATACATGGCAAAGATTTGTCTATATGTCCCAATTAAGACAACACAAAGGGCTCTGAATTTGTAGGCATTCCCTGGTCACACTGGAGTTTGAAGTTTTCAAAAGGAACCACATACCAGGGTGGAGTCAAGAGGACTTACGGGGACTGGCCATTTGAATCTAGCTTGGTGGGTCGGGCCAACTTCCTGGAGGCCAGGGCAGCCACGCGTCCCACATCCCCCCGCTGCACTGCCTCCAGCAGCTTCTGATCACGACGGTTCCATCTCTCCACCTAATCCAAAGGCACAAATTGTATAAATGGGGGCATGGGAATGGTGTGGAGAAAGAAAAGGGGCAGATAGTTAGGTGCCAAGCAAGGGAAAAAAGGACCATCCTCAAGGTCCTCTGACTGTTTTGCAGATCACTCAGCCTAGATCATTTGGTCCTTCTTTGGTAGACCAGCTAACTATTAACCAATTCATATGCCACCAAGTACTATTACTGGTCACTGCCAGCCCTTGACCTAAAGGTGCCTGGACCACTGAATTAAAATTATTGGCCAAGAGTGCTGTCACAAGTCTATAATCAAAATACTTGAGAGACTGAGACAGGGGCATCTTGAGTTCAAGGCCATTCTGGGCTATACAGCTGAACTTTGTCTCAAAAAACGAACAAAATATTATTTATGAGTGCTGAATGTATTCTATTTCAAGTTTCTTTTTATCATCATTATGATTACTGTTATTGTTAGGTGCCCAACCTCAGAGCAATTCTAGCTACAACTCTTTTCCTGCTCTCTAGGTCTTGCTGGAGCAAAATGAACCAACTCTGTCTTTTGACCTTAGTTATTTGAGAAGTAAATCAGGGCATCTAGCTTAGGTCATAGCTAGGAGTCCAAATACCTAACCATACCATCTCTGCCCATTGGCTTTGGGCTCCCAAACTGTGAAGGGAATCACAGTTTGTTTCCCTTTATCATGGCTATCTATGCACTTCAGCAAGTCTCTGTTCCCCTTCTATGGAAACAACAAGAGGCAAAAGACAGGTCCCTAGCCATGCTTAGGGAGACAACAAAAGGAAGAGGCAGAGAGGACTCCCTTCCTTCCCCCTCTCCTCCCTCCTAGTTTCCCTGGCAGGGAGCAGCTGTCCCAGACAAGAGCCACACCTCATGCATTGTTCTATGGTTGCAGCTTGAGTTTTGCCAGTGGAGGAGTAGTTACAATAATGGAAGTATTATGGGGCATGAAAGAGAGAGTTGTGTAGAAACACCTAGAACTGAAACCCCAGAAAAGCTTGGTTTGGTCCAGAGAGAGAAAGGAAAGGAAGAAGGGATGAATACAAAGATCTTTGCTATGGTTAAAAGGACTCGATAAAAATGTTTTCAGCTGAACTGAGTTTGGGACCTGGTTCAGCTACATTCTCAGCTATGTGACCTACAGCAAGCCATTAAACACCTCTAACCTGTTTCTTCATCTATAAAATGTGGGTAATAACTACCACATCACATTGTATTAAACAAGCTAATGTATATAAAATCTCTTTGTAAACTGTAGAGCCTTATGAATGTATGGCATTCTTATAACAAGGAAGTTGTGAGAAATTGGTGGTGGCACATTGCATTTTATGAGATTTAATCTCAACAAGAAAGAGGTTATAGGAAGAGGTGAAAAAATAGGGTCCAAGGAAGCCCAATAACTCATTTTCAAATATTGTTTATATAGTCAGGGTAAATTATTAGCCAATGACAGGAAAGATTTAAATGCCCAAACCATACAATTATTTAGGGTAGATGGGTTCTGAGGTAATATTCATGCTGTTCCAAGTGTGCAACACTTGGAACTCTTCATGATCCTTTCAAATACTATTTCAGTTAGCCTCTCGCTATCCCTGGAAAATAGTTAGGGCTAATATTATTGTATGTTTTGGACAGAAAAAGAAATGGAAGCAGACTAAGATTAGACAACTGTCCAGGATCTCATAAAAGAGTGGTAAAATTGTAACTGGAAACCCAGGCTATCTGATGCCCAATCCTAACTCTCACCATCAGAGCACACTACTACAGAGCTATGGAAAAAGACTTATTTACCTCCAGATAAACACTCTTCTGAGTTCCTCCAGGGTAAAGCTACCCACCCTCAGATGCTGCTCCCTGTGTGAAGAGTCTCCAAACAGGTTCATTCTCAAAGAACAAAATAAGCAAAATGCCTCCTCCACATGTTAACAGACTCTGACAAGTAAGAACACATTTTGCAATGCCCCTTGGGAATCAGGTCATCCACTGGAGAACACAGAACAGGAACTATGCCTCTGCCTCACAGTACTGCAATCAGCTTACCTTAACCTGAAGTTCACTGTTTTAAAATCTTTTTTTTTTTTTTTTTTAGGCAGGGTTGCTATGTGTCCTGACTAGCCTAGAACGTTTGTGATCCTCCTGCCTCCACCTCATGAGTACTAGTATTACAGGGGTGTACCACCATGCCTGGCTCTAAAATCTATTGTTTTAAAATCATCTGGGTAATTTTTTCATATGATAGTTAAAATATTTGTAATGGGTGTTTTTGGATGGTACTGGGACTTGATCTCAGGGCTTCACACTTAGTAGGCAGGTGGTCTACCACTTGAGCCACTCTGCCAGCCCTGCTCTAAAATCTTGATTCTAACACTTTTTGTCTTTGTGCATATGAGGCATGTAAAACTTCATTGAACCTGTTTCTCAATAATATAACAGCAAATAAAGAATCTAGTTCTGGGTCTGTCACATAGGAGGTACACATAAATGTTAGTTTCCAATCCCCATCCTTCCTGGCTTTTCTGGGCACACTTTTATTCCTGGACTCAGAATTCTCCAGCTATGGGAATAGAAGGAAGGGATTTTGCTCACATCAGCCAATAAACAACAGCCAGGCTGTGTAGGTGGGAAAGACGCTTCTTAGAAATGTGAATACATTTCTTTCCAGCTAGATGGCTATAAATTCACCCAATCCTGTAATCTCATCATATGAAGAAGGGTTTAAAATAGGTAGAAATTCTTCACGACCAAACCTCTACAGAGCTAAAGTAAAAGACAAATTTTAATAGCCAGGCCATTGCTCAACTTAGCACCTCCTTCAAAGGAGACTCTGGATTATCATTGCAGCCCCAAGAGAGCAATCACCAAATTAATCAACAGACTCAGTAATAAGGATAAGCTTTGTTATTTGTATAGATGAGATTAGGAGGCCTTATTAGAAGACACTGTATCCTCTCCTATCACTGGCTATGTGCCTATAAAGTGTCCTATCAAGAGGGGAGCACACCAACTGATAAGAGAGTAGCTACTGATGTAGAACAAGTGAATGAAAATGGAAAGGCTGTCCTCAGGAATCAAGATCTCGCTCTCTTTCTCTCTCTCTCCCTTCTCCTCTCTGCTCTCTTTTTTGTGATATTGAGGTTTGAACTCATGGCTCATGCTTACTAGGCAAGTGCTGTACTACTTAAGCCACACCTTTAGTCCCAGGGCCTGACTCTCAACATTTTAAGTGAAATACATGTTCCTCTACACTTATCCAGTGCAAGCAGTTTAAAGCTATTTACTGCTCTGCTTCTTGGTCTACTGTCTACCTGGGGCAGAGTAAGTGCATATGTAAGACAATAAAATGTCCTTTACTTGGATAAAATAAAATGAGATTGTAGGAATTAGGTTTGTGTATGTTTCTTGATCTTCCTATATAGGGGATAACATAGATTAATTTAAAAATGATCACTTATCTTTCAGTCTTGACTGCAGACTGAGGGCATAGAGCTCTGGCGCTGGACTCGGATATGAGTTGGAATACAGATGGGGCAATCTCCTGACATGGCTTGGAAGCCCTTTTTGCAGTGGCAGAAAAGCTGTCACACTATTTCTCTGACAAATGGGTTTAACACTGTTAGCTACCCAAAGGAGTAGGGAAAATTATGATGAGAAGTGTGGAAAAATTTCATGAAACAACTTACAGCCAAAACTGACCTATTTTCAAGGCTTCTGAAACCCCAATCTGACTAAGAAAAAAATTTTCTTTCCAGCTAGGTAGTTCTAAAACTACTTTTTTCTTCATATACTCTCAGTAACCTAAATTCTTGTTATATTAAGAAGAGTCTAGGGCTAGGAAAATGGCTCAAGGGATAGAGCGCCTGCCATGCAAGCACAAGGCCTTGTGTTCAAACCCCAGTGTAGGAAAAAAAAAACAAGTTATAAGGGTGGACTTTCCTGATTATCAAACCTCTGGAGAGACAGAGGCATGATTCAAGTGGTAGAGTGCCTGCCTGGCAATTGTGAGGCCCCAAACTCAACCCCCAGTATTGCCAAAGAAGGACAAATGGAGGGTTCCAAATCCCAAGATCCAGCCCATTGCTCATTCCAGCACCCTAAATCAGGAAAAATAAAATAGTTCCCCATTCCTAAGCAGAAAGTAGACTCCACAAACCTGAAAGGGAATAGCAATGTTGAGTATTTAACGAAAGAGTCCATATGAATAAGAAAATCATTATTTAAAACTGGGTAGCCTCAGTTTCTGGTACCTATATTAGTAAATGCCTTTTTACTGGTTGGTCAATGTGTGGAAACTAAGTGAAGAAGCAAATGTAATGGGACAAGGACAGGCCTCAACATAGTTCCTACTCTTGCCTCATAGCTCTCTTCCAGGTTTCTGTGGCCTACCCATGCGGAGTGAACTAACTGAGCATTTCTCATATTTGCTTATAAATGACACCACTGTGTCAAATTAGTCAAGCAACATTACTACAAGAAGCTGGGTAATTCAAATTCTGACTGATTCATAATCCCAACCTCCATAGAAAATTCTATCCCCAAGTAGGGGGTCTCTCTGTAAGAGATTTTTTAAAGGAGAAGCTGTACCCTCCCTGGGCCACTATTCTCTGTAATATTCTCTGTGTTCCCCCATCACCACCACCACCAGACATGGAGAATGGAATGACTGCTGCTGAGAACTTTTCTGGTGAGTCTACTCTATCCTCCTTCCTTCTTGCTATCATTTTCCCCAAGCTCAATGAAAACAAAAACAGAGAATACACATCCTAAACAACTGGGTGAAGGTTCAGGATAAAGGAGAGAAACAGCAGAAAAGTCTTGACTAGCTCAAGTAGTAGTTGGGTGACCAAAAACTGCAGTGAACTGGCTTCTGCAGGCAACTTAGTCCCTCGGGGAGCAGCCAGGCAACTGTGCATCCTTTGGAGTGCCTGTCAAGCTAGCTAAACTGCAGGATTAACCCAGAGTAAGCAAGCAGAAAGATGCAGGCAAAAGGGGGATGGATGGGATTGAGTGATCATTGAGCAAAGTGGGACAGAGATTGAAAGAGAGAACAGAGGCTGCTGTTGTGGGAGCTCCAACTGAAAAGAGGTTTGGAGTGAAGAGAGGGATTGGAAGTCGCATGGGTGGGATGGAGGCAAGGATAGAGGAAGCTGTGAAGAAGAGTTAGGGAAAACCACAAAGCCAGGCTGACAGTAAACAGAAGGATGGGGCTATGTAAGAGTGAAAATTTGTGGGGAGAAGGCAGGGATGGAAAATGAAGTAGGGGGCAGGAATTGGGGGTGGAGGTGGGAATGGAGTCAAAGATTGGGCAGTGACTGGACTTGTGAGTTGGTACTGGGAGACACAGAAGAAGTAGACAACAGGGCCTTGGGAATGGGACAGAGCTGCAAAAAACATATCAGAAGTTGGAGATATAGGTGCTGGGAGGACAAGAAAGGGGCCAAAGGAAAGGACACTGGGGAAGGCAGAGGCTAGGAAGGCAAGTCAGAGACTTTTGAAGACACAAGAAAGTTAAGTTAGCAGCACTGGCAGGCTGCACTGCGGAAACTCTGGAAGGACCAATGAAGGCGTAAAGTAATGGAGCATGGAGATGGGACTCGGGACTTCTGGGTCAACACAGGTCTTGAACCTAGCTCCAGTCCCATTCCCCTACACGTTTTGACACCTACCGCCACTTGTGAACTGGAGCAGGAGAAGATGCGCTTCATGGCCGGGGCCGGGGTCACGGGGGTGGGGGGTTGGGGACACGCGGAAAGCCGGGCCACAGGTTCCCAGACCCACCGGACTCGGCTGGCTGCCTGTGTAGGAGACAACTGTCAAAAAGCAGAGCGGGCCCCGCCTCTGGCCCCGCCCCAGACCCTGTTCCGTTCAATCAGAGACGAGAACTCGAGGGCTGGGCTTAAAACTCCGCCCCTGCCTCTGCTCCATCCCGCCCCTGCAGAGGCAAAAAGCCCGCAGTCTTCAGCTGCTATATGGGCTTGGTCTCAAGCCTCGCCCTCCCAATTTGAACCCGCCTCTTGAGCCTACCTGCTCAATTGAGAAGCAACGCTGCTAGCAACGGCGAAAACTCCGCCCCAAACCCCTCCGCGCCCGCCGTTCCGGTCTTTGGCTCCGTCCCGAACCCCGCCTAGGCCCCGCCCCTCCCAGCGCCTCGGCGAATCCCTTCTTTTACCAACTGTCTTCTTGAGCCCGTGATGACGACGCTTTATAGCCCGAGACCTTCAGCTAATTACCTCTGCTCCGTCCCCTCTCCAACAATCCCCCGCCAAAAACCCAAGCACAGAAGAGAATTTAAAGAGCAGTTACTGAGCTGAAGGATAAAGAGAAAGGGATCAAGCCTTATCTCAATTTTGACTAAGAAAAGGACAAGGAATTTTTATTTTAGCATCTCCTCTCCAAAAACAAAACAAAAACCCATTTTCTTATTTTCACTGCTCTTTAAGTTCAGACTCAATAATTCTTGCTTGACCAGACAGTCGCAGCCAACTGGTCTTCCCACTTCTCTCCTCCCTACTGCCCAGCGAGCCCACTAAAATGCATAGGATAATCTATGGAATAAAGCCCCAAATTCTACCGTGTTTACAAGACTCTTCAGAAACAGGACCCTGCCTTCATCCTCAGTCTTATCTCGTTATTTTTACACAAGAGCTAAATTGACACTGCTGTACTCTAATTCTCCCTGGAATGCCTCCTCCCACTTGGTGGGTCCCTAAGTTCTGTACAATTTTTCTGTAAATTTCCCCTTAAGTCCCTGTTGCCTTGCCTAACAAAGTAGGCCTTTTGTATGTGACATACTCCCAGTACTTACTAGCATATTATATAACAAGCACCTTTTTGTATTTGCCATTATTGTTTTTCCTACAAGGCTGGACTCTTTGATGGTAGCTGTTGTGTTTCATATTATTCCCATTGTGTAGCATGTATTAGGTCTGATAAGCAAATGAATGAACCAAGAAGCAGGAACAAAAAGGAAGAAACACTCTAATTTGTGGGGAGAGCCTGTTGTCCATGTAGTCCCTTCTCAAACTGGAATTGCTCCAAAGGAAAGGGGTAATAAGCTTCTTGAAGAATAGATTTGAGTTAGAGAAAATCCTGCTCTGGAGCTAAGGATGGCTAGGAGAGAGATCTTAGGTTGATAAAAATATTAAATGTGCTATTTTAATCATATGGATAAATAATTATATGAACCAGTCCTGAAGAAAACTCACCTCCCTGTGGAGAATCACTGGAGTAAAACGCTGAGGGAAGTTTGTCAGCCTAAATGTGGCCTCAGACATCAAATATTTCATGAGGGCTGATCAAGTTATAGCCTATATAAAATGCAGGGAGGGTCACCATGGACCCTTTCCTGTTGCAAAACAACTAGCCGACTTGAAGCAGAATAGTGTCCCTGCCTCACCTAGTAAGCCAAAAAGGCCACCATTTTCAGGGATAGACAACAGAGGCAGAGACATGGTCTCTAGGAAGCCATTGCTGAAGTATACATGTTCCTTGAGGATATGAGAAGAACCTGGGGTAGCTCAAGAGGCTAGAAGACACCCGAGTATCTAAAAAAAATCAGATAGATTTGATTTCTACTGTTAGAACCTTAAGTTAATCAGTTAATTATTGCTTTAGGGGCTCAAAGGGGATGAAGCACAGGACAAAATTCACTGGAAGGAGACAATAGCACATAGAAGAAACAAATCTTCAGAGGCTGGGAACAAGAATACCAACTGATATGTCAATATACCTTCTCACGTAATCCTTACAACACATGGTAAAATAGATTATTTTATAACAAAACATTTTTATAATTATAGTTACCACTTTTTGGACATTTACTATATGTTCCTTTCTTAGATTATCTCATTTAGTTCCCATAATCCTAATAGGCTTAAAGAAAGCTAAAGCTGGAGAAGTTAAATCTGTCTGAAGTCAAAAAAGTTTTAAGCAATATAGCCTAGATTTTGCCCCAAATCTACCTTCGTTACTAACCACTATATTACATAGCTTCTAATTGTTATCGGAGTCTCAGGGAAGTTATGACTTCATCAAGCTAATAAATGGAAGACCTGGGATTTCAGTTTAGGCCTATGTACTTCCCAAACCCACACATTTATACTGCATTCTACAGTCCCATAAGAGGTAAGTATTGTAGGAAGCCAGAGCACATCTCCGATGGGAGAGTCACAGAAAATACTCAAAGTACTTAATAACTTTGCCTTCCAGGTATTCCACTATATAAAGATTCAGGCAAACTAGGAATTTACCCTTCACCCCTGCTGAACAGTCTATATCTTAGGGAACACAAACAGAGCCAGAAGTCATTTGATAATGAACTTTATTTGTTCTGACCATCTGATATATTTATTGTTCACCCTGCTGGGAAACAGAGACAATGCCCAGGAGGGTAGCCCTCAATAGAAGGTCAGATATATGCCAAAATAAACATTCAGCTAGGTGTCAAGAACAGCCTGGGAAGACAGGTTCTGTGGCTGATAGTCAACGCCCAATCAAGTCTTCTCTCCTCTCAGCTCTAAATGGGTGCTGTTTCTTCAAATGGCTGTTAGAGATGCACTCTGCAGACCAATAGCTCTGTCTTGATTACAAAGAAACAAGTTTCCCAGAATCTATGAGAAATCCAATTGCCTTTACTGCCCATGACCAAAATATGGGATAAGAATGGGTAGTTTGTATACAGAAATTAACTTGGGGATTTCCAGTAAACGTCAAGTAAGGGCTGGAAAACTGATTCAAACAGAGAAATTATGACTAGCAAAGTATGACTAGGGTTGCCCCAGAAACATTTTCCTAGGAGATATTTATGCTATACAACCAATGCTGGACAAGTAAGGGCTTACTCCCTGAACCACTCATACCAACAACTCTGGTTTCTTAATGCAGACCCCACTCATTGGAACCCCATGGGTCTGCTGCTTTCCAAAGCTGGAAAGGTGAAAGGGCTTCCCACCATAAAGCAGTAATCCTCTCCCTTTTCTCTGCTTTCTATAAGGAGGGCTTAAGAGTAAAGCCTGAGAGAACTAGGGAAAAGCACTGCCTCGTCAGTCTTCTCTGACATTCCAGTTTTTGCCACTTGGGGGCCCCTAGCTCCAGAAAATTGGGTGCCAGGCCCTGGCTTTGCTTCCAAGGAAGACTGAGGGTTGGGAAGCCCATGCCCTGTAAGCCTGGAGGCAGCTCTGTTTCCCCAGCACCTGAGGGCGTGCAAGTGTACCATGAAGTCTCAGGTTTCAGGAGGGGGTGGCAGTTGCCTGTCTAAAGGCTTCTCTGTTCCTTGGGATTGTACAGAACGTCTCTTGTGGCTTTTCCTCCTCCCTCCTTTTTTCCTGTTGACTCTCCCCATCCGGCTCTATGAATCACTAGACTCCACAGGAAAGCAGCAGATGTTGACTTTACTTCTCTCAAGCCAATGTCAGCTCCCTCCTGTGGAGTGGGGAGCAGGCAGAAAGGTGAAAGAGTGGGGGAATGGAGGAAGATAACCGTCATCCTTTCCAAATTCTGATGGAGGACTAAGGGAATCTGAAAGGAGTCAGGGACCTAGGCAAAAAAATTATTTTGATTCCTGAAGATGGGGACAAACAGGCCACAACAACAACCCCAATATTGGCTGTGGAGCAGGAGGGAAGTACAGGGTGGGAAGTACAGGGTAGGAGTGTTACTGGTTTTGGTGCCAGCCCTTCTTGTCTGAGGTAAACTCTCATCTCTTGCCAGCAGCATCCCCGTGACTCAAAAGTCAAGTCAGGCTGCAGGTCTGGGGAAATACTTCTGAAGCTTCTTCTTGTCCCCTCTGAGCCCCAAACCTCTTCTCTGACACAAGTCTCTTGAAGAAGCTGCCAGGGAAGGCTTTTTGAGCCTTATTCTACAATCATTGTTCCAACTTCTCTTCTCTTTTTCCTTCTTCGGGAATTTTCATACGGGCAAAGAAGCCAAGCTGTAAAAGAAAAGATAAGAGTCACTGCTGAATGGCCTGACTAGGGACCTTTGCCATTAGCCCTCAGACTTATCTGAGTCTTCACTTTGTTCTTCTTCCAAAAATGGGATTCAAATTTATTTTATTTGGCTTAGTTTAATTCAACCAACATTTGTATATTACAGTGAAGGAGATCCTGGCATGATACCCATAGCCTGCTTAGCTGCCCAGCACAAATCCTGTTCTACTTACATAGTAAAAGAGCCATCCACTTGTGGGCACCGTGGTCCACACTCTCTACTAAAGCAGTATTACCTTCCACAGACAGAAGACAAGGAGAGCAAGCAGGAGCAGCCCTCCAAGGACACTGCCGATGAGGATCCATAGGGAGATGAGGACAGGGCGGGTCTGAATTACCTCCAGGAGGCTCTGTGTGGGGAGAAGATAAAGCTAGCTGGCTTTGCTCTCAACATGAATAAAAAACCTCTTTTTAATCAAAAGAAAGAAGCAGGGGCAGAGGCAGTGGAACCGTAGCATTCTCATTTGTCACTGACTCACTGACTGCTGCATAATGGAGATACTTTTGCTTTGAAAAAGCTCATCTCCTACCCCAGCCCATTGCCATGATTTTCACTGCTCTCAAACTCAGTCTCCAGCCCTACCTCACTCCAACGGGCGGCGTCAGTCAGCTGTAGGACACTGCCCTCCTCAGTGTCCAGCTGGAAGGTGCTGACTACTGTCAGAGACTTGAACTTGGCCTGTGGAACAAATGGATGAGAAGATATTTAAAACAAACTATCATCAGGTGGTGTGACTCTTTGGAACCCCCAAGAACAAAGTTGAGGCTGAGTGGCACAATTTCCAGAGTCCTCAAGACCAGAAGAAAAGGTTGAAGACCAATGGAGGAAAAGAGGAAGGGTAACAGATGGAAAGCCTCTGGCCCTTCAAATATGCTGTTTACTCTACCTGAAATTCATTCCTCTCCCCTTTCCCTTGACTAACCTCTACCCTCATTTAGGTTTGAAGTTTACCCCTCTGGGAGTAGGGAGGTGTTTCCTTCTAACTCAGACTAACCCTAATACTATGGTTTGGATATAGTTTAAGTATCCCCCAAGTCTTCCTTTTGTTGAAATTAAATGATCATTGTGAGATATTAAGAGGGTAGAAACTACGGTACTTACAGATGAGATCTTTGGAAACTAATTAAGATTAGATGAAGTCATTCAGGTGGTGCCCCCATGATTGAATTCTGGTGGCTTTATAAAAAGAGTGCGTGAGCCAGGCACTGGTGGTTCACACTTGTAGTCCTAGCTACTTAGTTATTTGGGAGGCAGAGATTGGGAGGATCCAGGGTCCAGGCCAGCCTAGGCAAATAGCTCAAGAGAGCCCCATCTCAAACACAAACAAAACACCAAAATGGACTGGAGCAAAATTTTAAAAAAAGAAAAAAAGAAAAAAAAAATGGACTCTACTCTCTCAAGCAGTAGAGTGCCTGCTTTGCAAGCAGGAAGCCCTGATTTTAAAACCCAGCCCCTCAAAAACAAAAAAACAAACAAACAAAAAAAAAAGCTCATATGCACCTGCCATGACATGACACAGCCACAACAGCTCATACAAGAACTGAGCTGAAGCCAACACCAGGCCCTTGAAACTAATATACCTGTGTTTACTTCTTTGTCTTTTGCCACTAACCTATAAGATCTTTGACATTAAGGTATCATATTAGTTTTTGTGTACCCAGTGCCTACATAGTGCCAAGTATGTAGTGATTTCTACATACTGTAGTGGATTCGATAAATTTTTTGCTAAAATAATGAATAAGCTGGGTGTGGTGGAACACACCTGTAATACCAGCTACCTAGAAGGCTGAACAGGAGGATCTCAGGTTTAAGGACAGTCTGGGCAACTTAGCAAGACCCTTTCTCAAAAAAAAAAAAAGTAGGGCTGGGGGCTTGGCTCAAGTGGTAGAGTTTTTGCCTAGCATATACAAGGTCTTCGGTTGAATCCCCAGAACTGTAAAAATAAAATAAATAAATTAACTAATTAATTCAAATAAAAAGGTTCTGTTTGTAGCTCAATGGTAGAACATTTGCACTTGCTTAGCATATGTGAGGCCTTGAGTTCAATCCTCAGTACCACTAAATGGAAAAAATAAAAACAGACCAAAGAAGAATAAAGAGAGAACCAAATTTAGAGAACAGTGGTTTGCTCCAAAACATATGCCTACCTTCCAGAAATCTTGTGTTATATGGGAATGCACAATATAAACTTCTAGTGCTAAATAGGAATTACAAGTCTTCTCTCTCTCTCTCTCTCTCTCTCTCTCTCTTTTTCTCTCCCCCTCCTCCCCCCTCCTCCTCCTCCTCCTTCTTCTTCTCTAGGAGTTACAAGTCTTTATAATTAAGATTTCATTTCCATGCTCAGGAACTCACATTGACTTCTGAGTGCTTATCATGTTATATTCAGTTTCATCTCCCTAGCTTCAGAGACTTCTTCATAATTTAGATCCCTCTCCTTCCAATACAAATCCTGCATATGTCAGTTATTTTATTCACTCATTTAACAAAAATGCATTGAACACCTACAATAAGTTAGTCATAATGCTAAATGTTGGACATACTCTCTTCAGTGTTGACCTAATATGGAACCTTTTCTGTAATAGGCACTTGATAAATTATTAACAAATTAAATTTAGGTATCTTATAAATGTTAATTAATTACTAATGCAGTAGTAAGGGATGGTAAATAGAGAGCACTGATCAAATGTCCAGCTCATTATTTGTTTATTCTTTAGAATAACTCCATGAAATGGGTATTTTCTTCCTCATTTTAAAGGTCAGGACAAAGATTAGAGAGAAGAAATAACTTATTCATGGTCAAATAAATTGTAAGAGGAAAAACTGAAACTTGAACATGGGTCTGTCTATCTCCAAAACCTGTGTTAATAGAAAGAGAAGGGGAGAATAGTAAAAAAGGAAAGGCTTACCCTCCGGAAAAATTCATTGTGAACCAGCCTCAATAGTCCAATAGAAACCTCAGTCCCCTTTGCCAGCTGCCGGAGGTGACACCTCACAACCTGACACCGAGTATTGCTTTCATTCTATCAGAAAAGAGACAGATCAGGACTCTGGAGTAAGAAGATTCCCTCTTCCCATCTCTACTTCCCACCCCTCTGTCACAATGTATCAGATTCTACTTGCATTTCTTTTCTGGACACCCTTTTGTTATTCATACCAGTCTGCTTGTGTGCTGAAGCTCCTCTGGATGCACAGGGGACCCTGGAGGCTCAGTCAGGTTCTGCACTGTGCAGCTTGCCTAGAGGAAGATCTAACTTGAATGACGCTCCTGATGGGGGAGACTAGCTATTCCAGGCTGAGCTGAAACATACTACCCACACACTCTTATGGTCCTTGTAATCTCTTTATTTCCTCACAAAGAAGCCACCCATGTAAAAGAAAGGAAGAGGAGCTCTGAGAGCTGTGGCCAACAGATAAGGGAGCTAGTCTGGTATACAGTTTTAGTGAGTCCACCAACTCAAGATGGGAGGATTCCACATGTCCAGACTCACATTGCTAGTGATGACTTGAGATAGTGACAGGAAGTAATTGCCCCCATGGGCTACAGCTGGAAGGAAAGCTGAGATGATGAGGCCACTGACCACATAACAGCCGAGATTCTGAACCTGAAAGTAGGATTAGAAATGGGAAGATGTGGGAAACAGAAGAAGACCCTTTCTCATACGCTTCTCTTCATACTAGATACCTCTGAAACATGAAAAACTCCTCCCATCCTTCTCCCACACAGCTATTGCTCTCCCCCTAACCCCACCTCCCTGTCTGCCAAGAGCCTGTCGGCTTCTCACCCTAAGAGTAGTTTTGAATTCAGGGCCAGGACTCACTGGGAGGGTCCTATAGGTGTGAACCTCATAGCGGTGCAGGGTAGACTCACTGTGTGAACACCAAATCAGGAGGTACAAGGTCACAGCCAGGACACAGACACAGAGGCACATGATCAGGACACAGAGATGAATTTAAGGAAGGAAGGGCCAGCACATGGATAAAGAGATAAGGGTACATGGGGAAGAAAAAAATGGCATATAACATAGACTAGATACAAAGTATATGGCCATATCCCGTATCTCCTCATCCCAGCTCCAATGCCTAGGACCTGGCAAGTCTTATACCTAGGAAAGTAAGATGCTTAAAAGAGAAGGTTCATCATGAGTCGGACTGAGGAAAAAAAATGACATTCATGTTTCTTAACACTGAGGCACATAGAAAGAAAGGGAACAAACATAAAGGACATGAGTGTGGGGTTAGAACTAGGGCCCGGCCAGTAGCTGGGACATACCTAGAGAACAGGAGGTGAGGCTCATATTGGATGTGGGCAGAGGTATGGACTGTATTGTCTTGAAGGGTCTCATTTCTCTCCAGGCTACTGCTGTAGGGCCAGGGAGGGGAAGGTTCACATACCAGTCCCTCCCCAGATACCCCTCACTGCCAATAGAGGATCCAATGCTATTCCTCCCACAACCCTAGTCAAGACCCAACAGGAGTTGGCTTGGGAGGATGCTCCCCTTGTTCTCACCTACTGGCAGTCAGCCTCACCATGACCTGGTTCAGAAGAGAGGCACAGCTAAACTCAAACTCTAGGAGAAAGGTCACCTAGAAGCAGGGCACATGAGGTAATGGCACATTCTTCCTTAAGAAACAACTACAGAGAAACAGGAGCCCTGAACTCCCAAACCTCACAGATCCCAGCCCTTAAGCTCCCAAAGCCCCTTCCTCATTTTGGGCCCCAACTTACCTTGGCTTCAGCCTGGAAGACAGGATGCCCAACACTGCAGAATTGGGCATGAGGGGAAGGGGCTGCACATTCCACCTTTACTAGGCTGTCCTTCTGAAGCAGAATAATAGGGGTGGAAGCTAGAGCTGGGGTTTCAACTGCTCTCCCACCCACAGCCTCTAAATACTGAGCCTTTCTCCAGAGCACCTCATGGCCAAAGCCAAATCCCAGTTTTCTTCCTCTCCCCTCTCTCTCCTCCTCTCAAACTCCCTCCTCTAATAATACCTGAGGAGTGAAACTGGCCAGATGGAGGTTTCTAGAGAAGCTGAGATTCAGGCTAGTGTTGTAGGCATTTTCCTTCCTGTTCTCTAAAGTTGCTGATACCAGTACTTTCCGCTGGCCACCTCGAACCACAAATGGGGCTGTCCTAGGAGTGATGGATAAGGGAGAAAGCATGAATTGAAGGTGTACCAAAAGTCTCACTTCTGTTAATGGGGGTAAGAAACAACACGCCCCCATCTCCCTTCAAATCCTTCTGGTTTGTTTCAGGACACCCTGGTTTGCCCAGTTTGTGTCCATCCAACCTGGAGCCTTTGATGTCCATACTAGCTTGAAGCACCAGGTCAGTGACACATTCATTGTCAGGGCCACAATCTTTTGAGAAGGGAACCTGGAAGAAAGAGAAGGTCCTAAGGGCTGAGAAGAAGACAAGGAGAAAGGAATGGAATTGGGGGAAAGTGAAGAGAGAAGAATGGATACCATTGATTAGAGGGGCCCAGGTCAGATTTCACCATTAATATCTTTCCCTCCCCTTCCTCTTGAATTTACTGGGAGGGCAGTGTTGAGACCCAGAAGCAAGGCAGGGCTTAGCACTGCTAACCAGCTTTCGTATAGAGGTGGGTGAACCTTCATCCAGCACAGGTCCTGGCTTTGTAGTGTTGTCCAAGGCAAAGGTCACAGTCAACGCCACTGGTCGGAAATAATCTGATGTATCCTGAGGGAAAGAGTCAGGGATTGTGGGAAACCAGAGTTGAGGGTACAACCCAGGTAGAATGTGACAATTGTAGTGATCATTTATCGAGCCCTTTCAGTTGTCCTAGGCACTATCCTAAGGTTTTAACAATACTATTAAATTTAATTCTAATGCAACTCTAATTATATAGTTATTATTATCACTCTTTTGTAGACAAGGAAACTGAGATTTGGTGGTTTAGTGACTTGCCAGATTTCATGGGGGCAAATGGCAGTGCTAGGATTCAAATATATTGGCCCCCCAAGTCTGAATTGTCTCACTTTCCTTGCTTCATCTTTCTTGCTGATTCAGTTAAAATTCTTCCTCTGAGTGAGCCTTCTCCTCACTCTCAGGCCCCAGTGCAAAGCAGCTCCTTTCCCTTTCTTACCAGCACATGGAAGTGCAGCTGTTCACAAGTGACATTCCCCACACTAAGCTGGAGCCGCCAGCGGGACAGCCTCTGGCCAGAACCATCAAATGCTGCACGGGCCCCAGCCGTCCACTCATCCAGTGATGCTGTGAACCTCACATCTGAATGTGGGAAGACAAGTGTGAAGGTGAAGATGGGTGCAGAGACCAAGGCAGGCAAGGGATTAAAGGTTGCCTAGAATGCACTATAGTTACTCACAAAATTGGCGATCCCAGCGGCCAGGAGTGTGGGAGGTCACTTGGAGGCAAAGGACTGCAGTCAGGCAGGCTGCATCTTGGCCTCGCTGTCTACAGTCCTTCTGAACCACACTGATGGCCGGTGGAGTTATATCCAGTGATGGGGCTAAGTGGACAATGGGCCTGGAGCTGGGAACAGGGTAGGGAAGAAGTTCTAGTAGTAAAAGATAAGCTCTTTGAGAAGTGCAGCCCAGGCTGAGGATGTAGCTCAATGGTAGAGCATTGCCTAGTATGCATGAGGCCCTAGATTGATCCCCAGCACCAGAAAAAAAAAAAAAAAAGGCAAGAAGTGCAAGATTAGTGTGTTTGCCTCCCCATGGTCAAAACAAAGAATGAGGGGCCTGAAGCAATATATTACCTTTCCCTGAACACTGTGACAGAAGTCAGATAGCATGTTCAATTCAATAAGCACCATGTTAAAATCTTTACATGGATTACCTCATTTGATCCTTACATTAAAACTAAAAAGTAGGTACTATTATTATTTTCATTCTATAAACTAGGAATATAAGCACAGGATAAAAAAGACCAAAAAACCCAAATCTAAGTCTGTGACTCCAAAGCCCTTGCTCTTAACAGCTGTGCTGTGCTGTCCTCTGCTATCAGAGCTGGCACTCCTCACCTGAGCAGGATGGCCGCCCCATGGGCACCCACAGCCACATCTACCAGATCATCTCCATCAAGATCTAGCCGGCCATCCACACTTCGGCCAAAGTAGCTGAGAGCCTGTGGCATGGAGACAGCAGCAATCCGCTAAGAGGAAGAGAGGGGAGACTGAGGCAGGGACACACACACCTGTTTTTCCAGTCCTTCTGACAGGTTCTTTCTAATACTCCTACCAGGCAAGGGAATAAGAGAAACTTGCCTATTCTCAGGAGTCCCTAGTTCAGCAATCTGTATCCTACCCCACCACCTCACTTGTTGACCTACAGACAAAAGCATTTGTTTGGTTTTGGTAGCAGTCCAAGGGGACTATAGATAGGCAAGAAAACACCTTCCTTCCCCTTCATCCCACTTTACCCTTCTTTATCTGAGCACTCCTGACCTGAGCAGGATGGCGCCTGACTCCACTTTGGGTTCCATGATACAGGTACAGTGCTCCCTGGTGCCCATCTTCCAGGGGAGCCCCCACAGCCACATCAGCAAAACCATCTTGGTTCAGATCAGGAAGGGCACCCATGGCAAAGCCAAACCGAGCATCCTGGGGAAGTTCTGGCTGAAGTGTTTCTTGGAGCATCAGCAAAGATTGCTAGTGGAGGTGAGAAGATAGATATTGACCTGGCAGCCTCAACCTCTCAGCAAGAACTCAAATACATGTGCCTTCCCTCCTCCCTTCCCTCACGTTGCCTCCCCCACCCCATCCTACAAGGACGGTTCCAGTAAGTCTCACCTGGCCCACAACATACACATAAACACGTCCTGTCTCCTTGTTCTGGGGTCCCAGGAACATGGGGGCAGCCACAAGTAAGACATCAGTTGTTCCATCCCTATCCGTATCCAATGGACAGAGCTCACTGCCAAAGTACGAACCAATCTGGGGAGTGGTGAGTGGTGATGACCCCAGAGAAAAGGGAAGGTGATTGTCAATAAGTAGACTCATTGGGAAGCACTCACCAGCCTGCCAATTGGGTCCTTATTTCCCTGACAGACTCTGCCAATCAGAATTCAGCACAGATTTTTCAGGCCTCTCTTAATCAGGTCCCCTCTCACTCTTCTCCCTCAGCCTGGAAGTCCCTGCAAATCCAAGAATCCCACCCTCTCTTGATTCCATACCTGCTCTCCCTGGAGACTGTGGGCAACCCTCACAGCCCCATCTTTCTTAAGCTGGAAGGCAATGACTTTTCCTCGATGTTTAAACCTAGGAGCCCCTGAGAGAAAGAGGCGTCGTCCACCTTGCAAAAGCATGGAGGAAACAGAGTAACCTGCGTAAGACATCAGAGGCAAAATAGAAAGAAGATGAGATTAGAGTGGAGGACCCCCAAAAACACAGGAGGAAGGCCCAAAGGAAAGAGTAAGAGAGCAAGAAGAAACTGCATGAGTTAAGAGGCAGCACCTCATATCTGCAGCAAGTTTTCTTCCTGCCTCCCCCAGTATTCCACAGCCTCCTGCTACTCACCTAGGTAGGCTGCATGGTTCTGCAACGCAGGGGGAAATTCATCTTCCAGGGCTGTTCGTGGGGGGGAAAGGCGGCGACCTTCTTCAAGCCATAACACTGAGCCTCCCCAGTCATAGGCCCCCACCATCCCAAAGAGAATTCCATCCTGCAGGGCAGAACCAGATAGGGTTACTGAGAACACAGTGGGAAATAAGGAGAAAAACTCTCCAGGAGTGAGATCAAGAGAGTATGCTATAGTCAGTTAGAAATACATGGAAATGCCCACCCAGCACAATAAAAATTAAAAAAGAAAGAAACATCTTTAAGGTTAACATGGAGGTTGGTTAAAGAATGTGAAAGGGCCCTGAGTAAACTGAAGTTGCTAGAGGTTGGAGGGAGTCATGAAGAATTAGAGGCTGAGAGATGTCATGGAGGAATCAGTCTATCCAACCTTCAGTTGATGAGTGGAGAAACCAATCTGAGACATTTCCAGCCCAAAGGAACTTTCATTTTCTCCATGGGACCCTTGGGCATGAGAAAATAGCAAGACACTATCAGGAGAAGAAAGTTCCCTTTTGACCTACTGAACTCATTCTAGAACTTCACCTACACCCCAGAACTCCTCCCTCCCCCTTCCATTTCTCCAGGAGAATCATTACCCTCAAGGCCAAAAATTCGGTCTCCTAGTGCATCCACAATGTCAGTCAGTGCAGCCTCATCTGTGACATTGAAGAAGAATCGCTCATCAGGGTCACTGGCAATAGCTCTAATTTCCTGAAGGAAAGAGCTAGGGTCTCGCTGCCGCCGGAGGTAGTGACCAAGGACCTTAGGTTAAGAGATCAAGATGGGGTCTTTTAGCTGTATGGAATTAGGTGTCAGCACTGATACAGAACATAGCCAACTCAAGCAAAGGGAAGGAAATATGACTAAAGTACAGGAAAATGTTAATGCTCTATTTTTCTCAAGTTCTTGGTCTTTCCTCTACAATCCTTCTAGATTCACAGTCAAAACTCACTGCAATCCCATAGCGTATGACTCTTCCAGCCTCACAGGCCTTTAATGCTGCAGGAAGCTCCTCTCCATCATGTGATTCTCCATCAGTGACAACTACTAGTAGCCTGGCAGCCTCTGGTCGGCCCCCATGGGATTGACTAAACCCTTCTGTGCTGAGAAGAGAAAAATGAATGAGGCATGATCAGATGAATACACACACACGCACACACACACACACGCACACACACACACACACACACACATACACAGGATTTAATAATGTCAGCAGTTCACTGAGATCTTGCCTCTTTAGGCCACTTCCCAACTGTGTCTAACATGGAAAGTGGCACAGAGTAACAGCTCAAATGTTCGAATGCCATAAAATATATGGAATAGCACATCATCAGTGCAAATAAGCACAAAATAACTTATTCATAGATTCATTCAACAAATATTGGATTTGGGAAGGCAAAATATTAAGGGAATGCAGAATAAAGAAGAATGATCAGGTTAGGGGAGTCTTCCCACAGATGAGTTTTAGATCATGTTTAGAAAGAGGGCTAAGACATGCGTACAGGTGAACCTGAGGACCAGGATCAAAGTTGGAGTGGAGGAATAGAGATAGAGTTCCTTCTGCACTGATAAACAAAGGCATGGAGAGACAAGACATAGATACTGTAGAAATGCAGTTAGAGGGAGTACAACCACAGACAACCATAGCCTTCCCCCATGCACCACTGGTGTGCATATAAAGATAAGTAAAATATCTTAGAAGGTACACAATACACTCTAAACCCTCCCATAGCCCTTCTAATCCTTCATCTCTCTGGCCTCCCACATGCCCCTTCACAATGCCTCACCAGGCCACCATTATTGCTTGAGCAGTCTTTGTTTCTCGTCCCTCTCGCCGACTGAGGTTCCTTGCTGCTCTCACCACTTCTTCCTTGGTTCGGAAATCTCCCAGGGACCACTCATGCACAGGGCTCTCCCCATACTGTACCAGTCCCACCTGAGAATAAAGTGTTCACCCAAATGGAATGGATGAAGGAGGAATAAGAAGGAGAAGAAAGGATGTGAAAGAGAGATGAACACCAGGATAATACTGAAGATATCAACTACACATCTCTCTCCCTCCAAGCCCCTTCATATTGCCTTCTCTCACCTGTATCTGTTCTGGATCAATAAACAGTCTCCCTACCAGTCTCCGTAGGAAGGTCTGAACTTCAGACCAGGGGTAGATGCTGTTGGAGCCATCCAAAACGATTAAAACATCCATGTATGTGGGGCAGCCTAGGAGGAGGGGTATGGTGATGGGAAACAATGACATAGGAGGACCTAGGGTCAACAGGGAAGATTATAGTAGGGCATATTCAATTCAAACATTTATCAGGCACTTCTCACATGCAAGGAAAGTACTGTGCCAAGCCCTGGGTAAGTATAGAAATTAATAAAATTAGAGAAAGTCATATATGTAATAAAAAAAAAACCCAAAGAACAAAATAAGCTCTAGATAAAAGCATAGTAACACTCTGTGCTGTGGGAGAATGAAAACCAATCAATTTTTTTCAAGTGCTAGGGCTTCACTCGTGCTAGATATATGCTCTACCACTGAGTTACACTCCTATCCCCAGAGGGTCAATTCTGATGTGGAGGATCAAAAGAGGAGGCAAAGGCCAGGGGTGATGGTACACACCTGTAATCACAGCACTTGAGAGGCTGAGGCAAGCAGATCACAAGTCTAAGGACAGCCTGGGCTACATAGTGAGACCCTATCTCGAAACAAATAAACAAAGGCAGCAAGTCAAAAGGTTATTGTTGGCTGAGGGTATAGCTCAATGATAGAGCACTTGCTTGACATGCATAAGGCTCTGGGTTCAATCACCAGCACCACAAAAAGAAGATATTGAAGACTATAGGAAAATGCATGTAGGCAGAGAATACTTTAGCTCAGACTGGTCTCAAACTCTTGATTCTCCTGCCTCATCCTCTTGGTGATTACCAGTGTGCACCACCATGGCTGGTTGGATGAACAGTTTAAACAAAGGGTATAAAAATAGTTGGCAAACAGGAAAATGGTGAAGTGAATGCTATGGCATATGTGGATGGATAGGTTGAATGAATGTTTTTGTTTGTTTTTTGGGGGGGTTGGTGGTGGTAGTACTTAGGTTTGAATTCAGTAAAGCTAGGCAGGTGCTAGATAGGTGCTTTACTACTTGAGCCATTCTACCAGTCCTAGGTTGAATTTTTGAAATTGGTTAGACCAGATCATGGAGTCTTGATGCCCTGGTAAGGTGTCTGAATTCTAATCTTAGAAACATGGAGTTTTTGCAGGCACAATAGGTAGCAACCAAGATAACCATGCAGACCCTCCATTAATCATACCCTTTTGCCCCCATTTTTTCCCACCCAGCATCCCTTTCTGGGAGATTAGTCCTCATGCCCTTCCTCTGGCTCACGTTGGGCAGTGGGTGCCAGGCTTCCCTGGGGCTGGAATGAAGCATCCACACGGGCACATATTCCGGAACTGAAGACAGAGCTGCCACAAGCACGAGACCAGAGAGGGGCACAGGCCTGGGGATGGGTGGGGGAAATAGTTACTCCCAGGCTTGGGAGAGTACCTTCAGAACATGCTCCCAGTCAAAGGAGAGACTGATCACACTCCCTGAAATGCCCTATCTTTCCTTCTAGATTTTTTAAAACTCCATGACCCCTCCACAAACCAGTTTCCTTTGCCACAATGCTCTTTTCTCTACCACAAACCTTTATAGACCCTGCCACAACCCTTTCCTTAGCTCACCATGAATCCCCCATCACCATCTGTCTCTAGTAGAGACATCCCCAGGTGCATATTCACAGCAGGATGAGATGAATTGCCCAGTTGGTAATCACCTGGTTGGAGGGGAATAAAAGAGAATGAAAGGCGGGGGGCTTGAATTCAGGGTAGTTTGGGTAGAAAATGAGAAAGGATCAGTATCAAGTTGGAGATAAGGAGGGTGTGGGTTATGGGGCAAAGAAACTGACGTATAAGAGGTCAGAGCTTCTAGAGTGTCAAAGTCAGGGGTTAGGAGGGGAAGGGTCAGGCATCTTCTTACCCAAGTGGCCCTTGGCACATGGGGCATTGTGGGTCCCCCCTACAGAGCAGCGATAAACGTCACCCCTCCGGTCGCCTGAAGGCCCATCCCAGGGAGCACCCACCAGCATCCTGGGAGGAGGATGTGAATATAAGTGTCAGGTGAACATGACCCCTGACTTAGCCAGAGGAAAAGTGCACAGAGGTGGCAAGATTAGAGTCCCAGTCCCTTTCAAAAGACCAGATGAAACCCAAGATTGAGACCCATCTATTTTGCCTTTCCTTTCTCAGCACTCACAGACCCAATCCGATGGCCCTCTGGTTTCCTCCTCACCATGGCTGTCCACCCCCAACATGTTGTAAGACGCTGTATCCAAATTCAGCTTCTGGTGGCCCTGTGAATAGGCGTGGGTGATGCACGTCCAAGTTGAAGGGGGAGCAGAGACCTGGGGAGGAGGGACCAGGATAATAGAGTCAGCGTGAACTGGTCAGTCATTGGAGAACTGGAGAGGCACTGCCAGCGGGAAGTCATGAGGGATCGATCCCAGAGCATGTTAGGAAGCACTTCACCACCTGAGCCGCACCATTTTGCTTGTATTTTCTTTTTGAGATAGGGTTTCACTATATAGCCCATTCTGGCCCCGAATTCAAGATCCTCCCGCCCCTCTCAAATTGCTGAGATTACAGGCATGCACCATCATGTCAGGTTTGAGAATATTTTGATTTTAGTGTTTCAGCGTGCTTCTTACTTATAAGCTCTCCTGGACTTAATGTCATATACTCAGAGCCCCAACTGGAATGATTCCTTCCCTGTTTGGATCCTATGGCCCTCTGCCACACCGATGCACAGCTGTATTTCCACTCCCATTCCTGAAATCTCATTCACAGACATGTCTAACAAGGTCAAGTTACTCTTTTCTACATCATTCCTCCTACACATCCTCCTCTCCAAACCATGAGGGCCAAAAGTGGGAGAGATCCTTTCTGAAGCTCCTGAATAACCATTCTTCCCAAATATTTCCAAACCCCAGGACCATAGGGAGAACAAGAGGATGGTGAAGAGTACCATGTGTCTGAATATCTCCTTTCTCTTCCTGATTCCCAGTGACATTGTCACACTCTCACTCTCTCTAATGTGTAGGTCTCTGGTTGCTTCCAGCCCTGGAAACGTCAGTAGTAATTAACTAGGTGGGGCGACCCATCTGCCCACACACATAGTTTGTCATCTATTCTTGTCAAGAGTCCCATCACCCCAAAGTTCCCCACCATTTGCTTTTTTTTTTTTTTTTAATCTCATGCACCCTCCAAACTTCCCTACCTCCATGTTTTCCTCAAACTTTGCCCACTCAAAAGGCCTCTAATTGTGTCCTGGCTGATTCTTCCCTTCTGACTCCAATTCCCTTAAAATCAGAGCTGGTATTTTAGGAAACAAAGATTATAGGGCACTGGCAAGGAAAAATTCGTTTCTCCCATGGTTCTCTTCTCAACTGTGTCTTGCAAGCAACCCCCTCTCAGGCTATCCCTCCACCAACACTACCAATAGCTATAGCTCTAACTCAAACCATGCTCACTTTCAGAAAGATATTTTGTATGTGAGCTTTTTTACATCCAGGAAACTAGCAGGGTTGCATGAGCAGGAACTGTATCTCATTGGTTAGATAAACCTGAGTTGTGAGCACATAGCAAGGCAGTTATGCCTCAAGACCCAGGGACAACTACGGGTAGAGAGTAGTAAGGAGGGACGTAACAGGAATCAGGCTAGCTACGTGGAAGAACAAATCCTGTTTCTTTTTGGTCTCCTTACTCCCACAGGGCTTAGTACAAAGCTTTGAGATAATTAGGTACAACTCTTACACAAGATCCTAGGGAGCTTTAGCCCAATAGTCTTCATATTGTAGTAGTCATATGTGGGACCACAAGAATGTGCATACACATATGAAATGTAGAATCAGTATTAACTTCCAACCCTAACTCCCGGAGAATTTAAGCCCAGTGGCTTCAAGTCCAAACAATCTTTATATCTTTCATTCCCACCAGAAACCAAGAAGTTAACTTCCCTCACCTGTCAGGAACATTAGGCCCAAGAGCAGGTGAGGGAAGAAGGGGAGCTTCACGCTGGTCATTCTGCCCTGTGTGAGAAGTCTTCTGTGCCTCTGTCCCTCTCCTTTTTCTGTTTTCTTTACTTTCCCTCCTATCCTGCCCCCTCCCACTGGCAGCTAAAAATAAAGTTGGAAGGAATGGGAGGAGTGATGGGGAACTGTGGGGAGCCCCAGACCAAGCAAAGGACTGAGTGACCTTAATCTATTTCTCTGCCTTAGTGCTGCCCCCTGGAGGCCTCATCTCAATGAGAAGAACATAGTTTTTGACAATTTCGCTGCTTCTCTTTTTTTCCACCTTTTGTTGCCAGGTCAATAATGGTTTCCTCAGATTTGGCACAGAAAGTAGGAGTAGGCAACAGATTCTTTTTACTTCCTTATTTATCTGAACCTGGAATATGCAAAATAAAAGCTGATGCAGTGGTATCATTTATACGCCAGGAGAATCCCGAAGACACAGTCCCCCAAGTCAAACCTTACCACCCCACTCCACTTAGTTCTGGTGATGCTCATGGTTCTTAGCCTATGCTGCCTTGTACTGTTAATAGTTTTTAGAAGGACTATGAACTGGTATGAGGTGTGTTTTATGGAGTCAGTAGAATTACTTTAGCTTAGACCACCCCTCCCTCAATTCATTTAGGCTATAAACTTCTCAAGAACTGTGGGAACCATGGAGCTTCTTAGCTTTTGCTATATCTATTTTTCCCTGAATAGGTTTTCAATGAAAATCTGTGAGTGATGTTAGTGGTCAATCCCATGGAAAACCCCAAACAATAGTGTCAGGAATAGGGGCTTCAAATCTCAATGAATGGCTGGATGCAGTGGCACAGAAGGCTGAAGCAGGAGGATTGCAAGTTCAAAGCCAGACTGGACAACACAGTGACACCAAAACTCAAAAAAATTTTTAAAAATTAGTCAATGAGCAAACTGATCTTTAATTTGCTAACCTGGAAGGCTTGCTCTTCATTGTGGGCATAGGCCACACCTATTTACACAGAATCATTATACAGTATTTACAGCAATGCTAGACATAGCATCAATCTGGATAGGTAAAGAAGGGGTAAGATTGCTCATATCACAGGTGTTTTGTTTTTTTTTTTTTTTTTTAAAAAAAAGGAGGTGGCTAAGAACCTACTAGGGAACAAAGCTCTGAGATTAAAGTGTAAGCAGAAATCTGAAAGTGTGATATGGGGAAAGAGAAGGGCTAAAACATGAGGGGGGTTGGTGAGGTAGATACAAGGAAGCATCAAATAACTGTGGTACAGAGATATGAGTCCACTGGGACATCACATAAAGTTTGAAAAACTATGGAGTTTAAAGGTGAAAAAAAAAAAAAACTGCCACAAGCCACCTCTGTGAGAAAAAAAGAAGACAGTTAGAACCTTACAAACCAAACCTTATACCTCCCCTATCAAAAGAGTAATTAATTCTGTTTAAATTCCTGGACATCAGACTGAGAAGGTGAAAAAGAAAGATGTATACAGAGAATCTTAAAAAGACCTAAGACAGACAGAGTCAGAGAGACTCAGACAATGAAGAGGAAAGGAACAAAAACTCAGGCATCTGGACACTAGAATCATTCTGTTGACAAGTCATCTGTCCTGACTTCATCTACCTCAAAGCTCTTCCCTCCACCCCTAAATCTCTATATTTTAACTTTAATCAAGGAACAGAATTAGAATGACACTGGCACATGGGGGACAATGTAAGATTCCACCTCACCAACTCAGGTCCCCTCCTTATTCTGTACTAGAATTTCAGGGCTTGAGTCGTAGCCAGGGACAGATTAGGGTAAGAATAGATAGGATGGAGATATCCTCCTGGGATTACTCCTCCAGAACCTTTCAGTCGCCTGCTATAAGCTGAAGACTCTTGTTCCATCAGTAAGCGTATTTCATAAGCATCACGGCTCAAATTCATGATGAGGGAAAACAGATAGTACCTAAGATACACAGAGCAAAAGGGTTAGAAAGTGTGTGTATTTATATTTAATATATCAACATAGCACTTAAACATTTTTTCACCTAGTACAAAGGGATTCCACATTAGAACATCAGAAGCGAATGCTATAACCCATTATTAAAAATGTCCTTCCTTGCCAGGCACTATAATCCTAGCTACTTGGGAGGCTAAGATCAAGAGAATTGTGGTTTGAGGCCAGCCCAGGAAAACAGTTCAAGAGACCCCCCATATCCAAAATACCGGAGCAAAACGGACTAGAGATGCAGCTCAAGCAGTAGAGTGCCTGCTTTGTAAACACAAAGCTCTGAGTTCAAACCTCAGTCCCACCAAAAAGAAGTCCTCTCTTAAGGATATTATGCCAAGTGAAATAAATCAGACATAGAAAAACAGATACCACATAATCTCATTTATATGTTGAATCTAAAATAGTCTAATTCATAGCCAGGTGTGGTGGCTCAAGCCTATAACTCTAGCTACTTGGGAGGCAGTGATCAGGAGGAGCATGGGTTGAGGTTAGCCATGGAAAAGTTCACAGAGACCCCATTTCAACCAATAGCTGGGCACGGGGGCATGTGATTGTCATCCCAGCTATGTGTGGAAGCCCAAATAGGAGAAACATGGACCAGGCAGGCCTTGGAATAAAGCAAGGCTCTATCTCAAAAATAACCAAAGCAAAAATGGCTGGTGGAGTAGATCAAGTGGTAGAGTATCTGCCTTGCAAGTGTGAAGTCCTGAGTTCAACCCCCAGTCCCCCCAAAAATAAAATAGTCTAACTCATAGAAACACAGAACAGAAACATGGTTACTGGGGGCTAGGAAGGGGTAAAGGAAATGTGAAGATGTCCATCAAAGGGTACAAAGTTACAGTTAGGCAAGATAAATAAATTCTGGAGAGCTAACATACTGCTAGCATGGTGACCACAGTTAACAATACCATAGGGCAATGATGGAAGGGGTGAATTCAACTATGATATATTATAAGAACTTTTGTAAATGTCATAATGTACCTCCAGTACAACAATAATATAAATAAAGTAAAAAAATAAGAAAGAAGAATAAGAAAAGAAAATAATACTGAAACATATACTTTTTGTTTGTTTGTTTTTGAGACAAGTTCTCAATGTGTAGACCAGGCTGGCCTTGAACTTGAAATATTCCGGCCTCACCCTCACAGGGTTCTGAGGTTACAGACATGCACCATTATGCCCAGCTGCATTACATACTTGAAATCTGCTGAGAGGATAAATCTCAAGTATTCTCACCACTGAAACAAAGGTAAGTATGGGGTTATGAATATGTTAACTAGCTTGATTGTGATGACCATTTTACAACATACACATACAAAACATCATGGTGTACACCTTAAATACATAAAATTTCCATTTGTCAATTATACCCCAACAAGAATAAAGAAAGAAAAATAGCCCTCCCACCTTTCTGCAACTGGTGTTTCTGTCAACCTTAAGATCCTGGCTTAAAGGCTTGGGGGGCACAGCTCAAGTGGTAGAGTGAAAGCATGAGGACCAGGATTCAATCCCCAGTAGCTCAAAAATAAATAAGTACATAAATAAGTAAAATGTCTTGGCTTAAAATTCATAAGCATCATGAAATCTTCTGGGATCAACCTTAAATTACACTTTTGAGGCTACCCCTTAGCACACAACACACTCAACTTGAACCTAACAGTGCAAACCTGTTTTGAAAAAACAAACTTCAGTTGTTTGAAGAGACTCATACATACATCCTCTAAATTCAATTATTTAAGAAAAAAATCTAACCTGGGTTCTAGTGGCTTGCACCTGGAATTCTAGCTACTTGGGAGGCTGAGATCTGCAGGATCACAGTTGAAGGCCAGTGCCAGCAAATAGTTTGTGAGACTCCCATTTCCAAAATAACCAGAGCAAAATGAACTAGAGGTGTGGTTCAAGCTTTACAAGCATGAAGTCCTGAGTTCAAACTCTAGTCCCACCAGAAAAAAAAAAAAAAAAAAAGCTAAAAACTAAAAAAAAAGAGGCACAGAAGTCTTAAGTAACTGCCAAATGTGTTAGATTGTAAATTCCTTAAGTACAAAATCTTTTAAAAAATTTTTTTACATAGGGTCTCATAGTAGTCTCAGTCCATCTGCTTCTGCCTCCAGAATGCTGAGATTATAGGTGTGAACCACCATGCCGGGCCCTTAAGTACAAAATCTATGTTATTTTTAATCTAATCTGACATCTGTGATCTATAGTCAATAAATTGTTCTAGTTTAAAAATATATCCTGAATCTAATGACATCTTTCTACCACTCTCCACAATCAATGTCTAAAACACTATCACCTCTTTTAACTGGTCTCTCTGTAGCCATTCTTGTCCCCGCCCCCAACTATTTAATTTCATAAAATAGCTAGCATAAATGTAAATCATTATTCCTGTTCTTAAAACTGTAGATACCTTAGACACGCTTACAGACTCAACATCTGGCCCCTGCCTCTTTAACTTTACCTTGTACCATTCTTTCCCTCAATCACTATGCTCCAACTATGTTTCTTTTTATGCTTTATATTTTGATTCATCAAGCTTGTTCCTGGCTTTGTACTGTCTAGACCTTCTACTTGGAATCTTCTCTCTCAAAAACTTCATGTGGCTGGCTTTTTCTTGCTCTTCAGAAGTAAGCTTAAATGTTATGTCTTCAGAGAAGACTTCTATGACCTCTCAATCTAAAGCAGTGGGCCATTTACTCTCTACCATATGACCCTATTTCAATTTCCTGCACAGTATTTGTCACTATCTGATATTCTTTTTATTTGTTGTTTGTCTACTTTCATTAAGTTCCATGGGAGCAGAGACTTCATTTGTCTTTAACCACTGTATCTGTGTTTCAACCAGTGCTGGACAGATAGTGAGAGCTCAATAAATATTTGTTGAATAAATATGGCAATGGACTCTTCAGGGAATTGCTTGTCCATACCACTCAGCCATGCCTCCATTCTCCATCCCTTATACATCATAAGCCATGTAACAGTTGTAAACTACTGAGAAAGATGAAGAGAAGAGCAAGGCAGAAATGGAGATGGAAAGATGCCACTATAATAAAAAAGAATAAAAACAATCGTAGGGAAACAAGAACCAAACACAGACATTATATACAGCCATCCCTCAGTATCTGAGGGGAATGGTCCCTGAACCCTTCTCCCCACAGATAGGAAAATGTGCAGATGCTCAAAATTGTACATTATTTGTATACAACCTATACACATCCTCTGGGATAATTTAAATCATCTTAGATTACTTATAATATTGAATGCAATGCAAATGCTATGTAAGTAGCTGGTTTACTGTATTGTTTAAAGAATAATGACAAGAAAAAAGTCTATGCATGTTGAATACAGACACAACATCTTTAAAATATTTTCGATCTGTGATTAATTGAATTTGCAGGTGAGAACCTGTGGATCTAGTGGGCCAACTGTAATAGAATTTTACTCCCAAGTCATATTTCTCTCTACCCCTTAGACCAAGCCAACATTATCTCTTGTCCATTTTCGGACACCTCCTATCATCATTCCACTGCAATCAGTTTTCCAAATCACAGTAATACAGACATTCTTCAAATACAATTTTAATCATGTCATCATCTCTGGATAAAACCTTAGATAATGTTCCATTGTACTTGAGCTAATATTTAAACCAAACAAACAAACAAAAATCTTACCATTGCCTACAAGACTCTGAATAAATGATCTGGTCCCTGTCAAATTTGAACTTAATGTACTTTACTCAATACCATCCACCATATTGGCTTTTTTTCTATTTGTCTAATTCACTGCAGTCTTTCTTTTTCTTTCTTTTTTTTTTTGGCGATAGTGGAGCTTGATCATAGGGCCCCACAGTTGTTAAGCAGGCACTTACCACTGAGCCACTCTGCCTGCCCTTTTTTGTACTAAGTATTTTTGAGATAGGGTCTGGAGAACTATTTCCTGGGGGCTGGCTTTGAACTGCGATTCTCCTGATCTCTGACTCCTCAGTAGCTAGGATTACAGAAGTTAGCCACCAGCACCTGGTGATACTGCAATCTTTCTTGATCTGAGGTCTTAGAATGTGCTATTTTCTGTTCAGAAAGATCTTTTCTTGCTACTGTTTGGTTTTGTCTAACTACTACTCAGACTTTAGGTCTGAACTAAAATATTACTCTCTCAAACAGTTCTTCCCTGACCCTTCAATCCAAATTGTCTCTTGTAATATCCTGTACTTTTCTACAAGTATATGTAAGTGGTTACTTTACTATCTGACTCCCCTCACTAGACTGTAAACTTCATGGGAGAAGGCACCATATCTGTTTGACTTTTAGCTTTATCACCTGGTACACCTAATAAATATTTCTGGAAAAAAGCTGGACTCCAGTGACTCACACCTGTAATCCTAGATACTCAGAGAGGCAAAGATCAGGAAGATTGCGGTTCGAAGCCAGCCAGAGTAAATAGTTCACAAGAACCTATTTTGAAAAATACCCAACTCAAAAAAGGCCGGTGGAGTGGTAAAGCACTTGCCTAGTAAGTGCGAGGCCCTAAGTTCAAGCCCCACTGCTGCCAAATAAATAAGTAAGTATTTCTGGAAAAGCTGAACATGGTGGCAGTAGTGTGTGCCTGTGGAGTTCCAGCCACTTGGGAGGCTAAGGAAGGAGTTTGGACCAACCTGGACAAGAAAGTGAGATCCCCATCTCTTTAAAAAAAAAAAAGAGCTGAGTGTGGTGGTTCATGCTTGTAACCCTAGCCCTGGGGGACACTGAGGCAAAAGAAAGTATGTTTCAGGTCAGAAACAGAACTGGAATCAATGAATGAACAGATAATGAACAGTAAGGAATACATCTCCCATCTGCCCCCATTAGTTATTCTCTGATAGCTTATGGGAAAGACATCTATGGTTGTTTCTTGGTCTCCATAGGGGATGGATTCCAGGACCTCCCCTGGATAACCAAATCTACAGATACACAAGCTCCTTATAAAAAATGGCATTATATTTGCCTATAACCAGATGTGGAACCCATGGATATGAAGGGCAGACTGTATATCTGAGAAGATCTTGAGAGATTAAAAGGTTATATAGTATGGAGACTAGAAAGTCTTTTAAGATAAAAGGATAACAAACCTGAATGAACGCTGGGCCCACTTCTCCTGATCCACATTGGGAGCTAGTCCAGACTTTCCAGCCCACAGGACATTGTCACAGGCAAAGTACAAGGCTCGATTGAGGTGACTAACAGTGATGCAGAATCTCAGGACAACATCTGATAGATGCACAGCTCTTTTGGCTGATTCAAGAGCATCTGCTGAGTTACCCAGGCGTAAAACTTGTGGAGATTAACAAGGAAAGTAGAGAGATAGAGAGCAAGACACAAAAAGGGGAGAAAAGGTGAAGCAAGTGGTAGTAACAAACAATTTTTAAAAAGCAGAAAACATTCTTTTTTATTAAATTTAATTAACATTTGCCCCAGTTTAGTTTTCTCAAACTTGCCCTGTTCTCCCAGGTCATTCATTACTTCCTTATACCTGCTCTCTTATCTCAAGTACAGGCATTCAGAAAATGTGCTCAGAACCAAATGATTGAGAACTGTCAGTGGCTAAAAAAACAGGAAGGACAATAGGGATGGAAGAAAGGTTGAGGTGATAAAAAGAAAGATACAGTGGCTTACGCTTTCTTCCAAGGCTCAAGTGGCCCTCCAGTTGTCGAATCTGATTCTGTAACTCAGGACTGGCCCCATGTCTCTGCAGTGCATGGCCAAGAAGGGAGCAAGCATACTGGGCGGCCCTGGAGGAGAAGACAGGCAACGTAAATTGGAGACCTCCTCCTCAAAAATGTCCTCCAAAAGACAGGGATGGACTTTCCATTTCCTCCTCTCCATATCTCACCGTTTCTCCTCCAGACCACGGGAAGATAAAAGCATAAGGATAAAAAAAGCCTAGGAGGAGATGGGGAGCACTATTTAGAGTTGAGAAAATAAAAGATTTGACAATGATGAGGCCTAAAGGGGTCAGGTGACAGAAGGGGCCATCACAAGCCACATCGGTGTGAGGTGTAGGTGACATATGGGACAGAGGGGGACAGCTGGAGGGCAGATCTTTCTGAATGGAGATCAAGACAGAGAGAGGGGCAGAGTAGCTCCCAGGTGACAGGGTAAGGGGACACAGAATTGGAGAACGTCTCCTCAGCTCTGAGTACAAAGTCCGGTCGCTATCCTCCACGGGGCATATCCTCCAGTACAGCCCAGGGAGGAAACTGTTGATCTTATGTGGCCATAGCTACCCTGGGCGGCCTCCCCGCTGGCCCACTCGTGCCTCAGTTTCCCCATCTTTCCCAGGAGCAGAAAAGAACCATCCCCTCACGACCAGCTCAAATCTGCGCCTCACGGTACGTTCGGGGCCCCGTAGCCCGAGTTGACCCTTTCGGACCCCCGTAGCCTGGCTCGACCTCACCTCACCAGAATTTTCCTCGGCCCACCCCCATCCCCCATCCCCCATCCCTATTTCGGCCGCACCTACACAGCCGCTCCCGGGCCTGGCTCTGAGAGCTGAAGCGGACCCAGGCGTCCATGTCAGCGGCCGCCGCGGCTCCACAGCACCGCTACCGCCCTCCTTTCAGCTCCTAGTCACGCCTCTTAGGCGATCAACGGTGCTTCGCGAGGGACAAACTATATCCGAGCAGAAAGCTAGCGGAGTCGGCCCTTGAAGTGGCATTTCAGCGTGCCAAGCACTTCTCTCTAAGCCCGCGCTTGCGGGTTAAAAGCGCGCGTCTTTACGACCGATCACCCATTTATAAGACGGACTCACTGCCTGAGCCCTCCGCCAGCCGCACCTTCCACTTTAAATATTCAGGAAGGGCGGGGCCTTCGGGGAGCGTGGCCAGAGGGAAGGGCGGGGCCAGAAAGCACCGCAGTGATCTTCTTGTCCGCCGCGGGGCGAGCCCGCCGGGGCACTGGCGGAGCACCCAGCCTCCACTCATGACGCGAATCCAGGGCTCTCAACGCTAAAAACGTCTTAGGCGGTACAAGCCCGAAGCCCAGACTAATCTTTCCAAAGGAAAGGGGGGCATGATCAGCACCCGATTCCTGTTTGGTGACCTCCTCTAGAATAGATAGGAGACTTTAATTGGACGACTTTCGCAATAACCAGCTTCAGATCCTAAAAAGAGAGCGAAGAATCAGCGGCCAAAGCTAACGCTCCATACCCACACTTCATCCTCCTCACCCTTTCCTTCCAGGCCATGTCTGCAGGCAAAGACACCGCTTGGGGGTCAGCAGTGGGGGAGGAGGTCTGGGCGGGATCAGGAGTGGAGGTGGAGGGCGCAGAGCTACCAACCTTCTCAGATGCAGCCAAAGTCCGAGTGGGAGTGACCATTGTGCTCTTTGTTTCTTTCGCTGGAAGGAACCTGGCAGTGCTGTGGTCAGTGACTGGGCCGCAACCCAGCCAGCTCCGTCCCTCTCCAGTCCGGATACTCTTCGCCCATTTAGCAGCTGCCGACTTACTGGTCACTTTTGTGGTTATGCCCCTAGATGCTACCTGGAATGTTACTGTGCAATGGCTGGCCGGAGACATCCCACGTCCGACACTTAGGTTCCTGAAACTAACGGCCGTGTATGCCGCAGCTTTCCTGCCTGTGGTATTGGGCTCCACCGCCAGGCGGCAGTACTCATCCCTCTTGGGTCCGGTTCAGGTGGAAGGAAACTTCTGGGGACAGCCTGGGGACTTAGTTTCCTGCTTGCCTTGCCCCAGGTAAGTAACGTGTCAGGACTCAGGACTGCTGGGCTGGATAGCATTTTGGTTACACAGTATGAACCGTGGGAGTTAATGTGCACTAGGTTGTCATTAGTCATTATCCTCAGGGAGGGAGCCTCTGCTATTTCTGGGGCAAGTTAATATGATTTTCATGTTAACATACATCTGTTAAGAGTCTATCTTTTTTAAAAGCAGCACCCTATTGTTAGTGCCTCTTCCTTTAGATTTGACTCTGCCTGGCTACCATCTCCTTGCATCATCCACCACCACCTCCTTCAGGAAATTGGTGCAGAAACTCTGGGAGAGGCAGGAAACATATGGGGGTGTAATAAGAAGTGAAGTGATCGCCTTTGGGTAAAACTTTGTGGTACATTCATGGATTCAAAAGATAATGTGTGTCCTGCCTTTGAGAAATGTATAGGTTAGTGCAGGAGATAAACTAAGCAATTACAGTATGGTGTGCAGCCAAGCATTATGCTAAAGGAAAGGAGTTCAAAAACAATAGAATGTCTCTGATGCACTTATGGTCAGGAACAGCTTTCCAGAGATGATAAAATTTAGTGGGAGTTTTTATTTATTTCTTCTTCAAATACTGGAGTTTGAACTTGGGACTCTGCACTTATGCAGGGATTCTGCCCTTTGAGCTATGCCTCCAGCAAAAATCTTGTTCTTGAAAGATAGAAAATTGTTAAATTAAAGCAGGAGAAATGCTGGCAGGATGAGGAATAGGGAGGTCTCAAAGAGTTGGTATTGAAGTTGAGAACTAGGAATGGTTGAGTTCAATAAGCAGGGAGGGGAAAGGTGGGCCAGATCACAAATAAGATTAAGAGGTAAAGAGTGACATAGTTTTGTATTTCTCATGCTAGTGTATTGTTGAATGGGTGTTAAAACTAGGAAGAAGAGAGCACTTGAACTTGAGTACTGGTTAATCAGATCTCAGCACTGAAAAGGAGCTAGAAATATAAAGACCTACATGTAGAGCATTTCCTTCAAACTTCAAAACAAAAGCCACTACCAATGCATAGCAGCATCTCGAGACTGCAGAGCTAGGGTTATGTCTGGAAAGAGGCCAAAAAAGGCCTATGATTTTAGTCTCTGCAATGATCATATATTATAGTCAGATTTAAGATTTGATCCTGAAATCCTAAAATATTAGAAATTTAACTATTAGAAATTAATTATTAAATCTGACTGTAGGGCTGGGACTGTAGCACAATAAGTTAGTGTTTGCCTAGCATGTATAAGGCCCAGGGCTCAATGAACGGTACCACAAAAACAAAACAAACATACAAAAACCCTACTTGCATCAATGTCACACAAACTGGGCCTTCACCACCCCACACTTTAAAAAGGCTATTGCTACAGTGCAATTGGAATTACAGTTCCATTTGTTTACGTGAAACATATCTGAAATGTGGACTGGGAATTAGAAGACTTGTCTTTTTTGCACTGACTGTTTTACTTTTTTCTTCCCTCCTTCCCAGTCTAGGCGGTAGCACTAACTAGCTTTTGACTTTCACTGAGTCACTTGAAATTCATGGGGTACAAGATGATAGAATAGGAAATTAATTTCATCCTCTTACCTGGCAAGCTAACAATGGCAAACTGGTTGTGACATATGTATGTGCAAAAGGTTATATATTTGGTTCCAGATTAGTGTCCTGTTGGATACATTCTGCATTGCCATATGCTACAACTTAAATTTTATGTATTTAAAATATTAGTGTCAATAAAAAAAATTTAGTGTGATAAAAGTATGCCAAGGAAGTATTAGCATAGTTAGAAATTACTTAATTTTGTAGACTCAAGCTTTCAAGTTACTAATAGTTAAAAAGAAGGGTTTCTACTTCAAGTGGTAAGTTACATAGGAGAAATGAGAGGTAGAAGGCTATGAACCAAACTGTAAGTCCAGAAGCTTTGACTATTTTTTACACTTTCCACAATAAATACTACTAGACATAATGCAAAAAACAAAAACAAAACAAAAAAACAGGGCCGGGTGCCAGAGGCTTGTGCCTGTAATCCTAGCTACACAGAGGCAGAGATCAGGATCTTGGTTCAAAGCCAGCCAGGTTACATAGTTCCGAGAGACCCTATCTGGAAAAAACCCATCACAAAAAGGGGCTGGTGGTGGTATACAGGCCACCTGAGTTCAAACCACAATACCGCAAAAAAATAAAAAAATCAACACTCAGAAATAAGTGGACACAGGGTAGGGAAAAGACTACTTCCCAACCAGGTCAGTAGCCTGGGTTGTATCTCCAAATAGTTCATAAAACTGCCTTTGGCTGATTGATACTGTTTCACCTTTCCCAGAAGTCCCTGGCAGAACTGTCTCAAATACCTCAGGAGTATCTAGGAATCTGATACCTACTGGGCTTACCTTCTATCAAACTAATATTGACTCAATCTACATTCGTAGAATCAAGGCACTTTAACCCTATAGTGTTTTTCTAAAGTGAAAAATATTCTGCTGATAGTCACAAAACAAAAACAACCCAGCAATTTAAAAAAGGTGAGGGGCAGCCAACATTTGGAAAATGCTAAATTTTATTATTCACCATAATTGTTGTACCTAAAACTAAAGGTCATTTGAGAAGGACCACAAAATAGCCGGAAGTTTTAGCAACACCTATTATTCTGTGAGAAAATTTCTTTTTGCTGGGACATGGTGGTGCATGCTATAAATCTCAGCTACCTGGGAGGCTAAGGTAGGGAGATCTTGAGTTCAAAACTAGCCTGGGCTACACAGCAAGACCTTGTCTCAAAAAAAAGAAAATTTTGCTTTTTCCACAGAATTTATCATAGATATACCAGGAACACTGTATCAGCTAAAAGTATGGGTGAAGTGATAGATACCATTTTATGAAGTGCAATGTTAGAATATTTGAGGAAGCAGGATTTCTTTAAGTTCCAGGATTTAACAAGCCTCATGCTCAGCTCCATATTCAAGCCTCTAGGAGACAGGCATTTTCAAGGCACATTTTTCACCTTTTTAAAGTTGGCACCATAGCCAGGTGTGGGTGGCTCATGTCTATAATCCTAGCTACTCAGGAGGCAGAGATCAGGAGGAGCACGGTTCTAAGTCAACCTCAGGCAAACAGTTCACCACACCCTGTCTTGAAAATACCCAACACAAAAAAGGGCTGGTGGGGTGGCTCAAATGGTAGAGTACCTAGCTAGCAAGTGTGAGGTACTGAGTTCAGACCCCAGTACTAGAGAGAAAAAACCTCCCAAACCAATAAAGTGGCACTATGTATGGACTACTCAATACCATTCTGAATAGGTGCTGCTAAAATTTCAGGCTATTTTACAGCCACTCTTTAGTGACCTTTAATCTTAGGAACAGTAACTATAATGACGACTAGTAACTCCATGAGTAAAGGATGAATTGGGAGATATTGTGATGCAGGTGGATAGTTATGAGGGTGTGGGAACCAGTTCTAATAGTTCTCAACTCCACTCTAGCTGTTCCTGTTTCACACTGTCCACCGAGCTGGCCCAGTCCCCTTCAGTGTGTCACCAAATGGAGCTTCAAGGCTCAATGGCAAGAAACCACCTATAATCTCTTCACCTTCTGCTGCCTTTTTCTGCTACCACTGACTGTCATGGCCATCTGCTATAGCCATATTGTCCTCAGTGTGTCCAGTCCCCAGACCACAAGGGGGATCCATGGTGAGAGTCCAATTTAGTTCCCAGGTCTTAATCCTTACCACTAACATCATTTATTTATCAATCTGCCTGATATCTGTCAGTCACTAACCCAAAGTGACATGCTAACTATATTTCTATCACTGATGCTGAAGAATTTATTGAATGCCCTTAACTCTAAACTGCCTCTAGCTAAATTGAGTAAACTGAGCAAATATTGGAAAGAGAGGTGATCAGTATTCTTTTATTCTTAAACACCAAGTGTTAAATAGATTTGGTGGCTTAATCTAATACACCACTTCAATCAAAACCTTTTCTCCACTGGGTGTCAGAGAAAGGTTCATGCCTGTAATCCTAGCTACTCAAGAGATAGAGATCAGGAGGATGGTGGCTTGAAGCCAGCCCCAGGCAAATAGTTCATGAGACCCTATGTCAAGAAACCCCATCACAAAAGTGGGCTAGTGGAGTGGCTCAAGGTTGTAGGCCCTGAGTTCAAACCCCAGTACCACCAAAAAAAAAAAAAAAAAAAAAAAGAAAAAGCCATTTCTCCAACATGTCTGTCACACGGCCTGGGAACATAGTCCCATGTTGGGAAAGAGGGTTTACAGCATTCTTCTCCTTGTGGGGGTTGGATGGGAGCTACATCTCACTGTCTGTACCTCCATCAGTTCATCCCATATATAGCTCAGAAGTTGAGCAGTTCTGAACTTGAGTATATTTTCTAAATTCCCAGCCCCTGACAGTGAATTTGCCCTCTGCCGCTCCTCACACATTCATCCTCATGTTCGCCTTTGGGCCCTGTGGTTCTCTGCTGGACACCTTATTATCTACTGGTTCTATGGTACTGGTTTTCCCCCACCATGATAACTGAAGTCCCTCCCAGCCTCAGCCACATCCTTTTTCTCTTTGGCCTCCTCAATGCTCCTTTGGATCCTCTCCTCTATGGGGCCTTCACCCTTGGCTGCAAGAGAGGGCACCAAGAACTTAGAATAGACTCCTTCAGGGAAGTAGGATCTGGAAGAATCCTCCTTGACATGACAGGAGATTCAAGCCCTCAGACAGCTGGAAGTACAAATAAATGTGACATTAAGAACAAAGGAGAAACAAAAAGAGAAATCTTATAATATCCATCTGTTCACAACAGGGTATATAGGAACAGAATAATTATTCTCTAATACCACAGTAATGTCTCACTGCTACCCTTGTTCTTTTAACTCCCAAGAAAAAAAAATTGCTGAGCAGAATCTCTACTTTAACTTTACAAGAAACTCATAGAATTTCATCCCTGGCAGAAATACCTTCACAATGACCTTTACTGCCTTACTGCAAAAAGTGCTTCAGAGCTTTCAATTTTAGAAAAAGAAAAGTAATGTTAAATGTAGAAAACAAAAATGGAACATTTATTTGTAACTCTAAAGAAACACTAAGCAATAAGGGTAAGAGATTAAATACAAACACAGCCAGTTCCACCCTAGCCCTGTTTCTCCAAGGCTGTTATGTCCAAATGGAATCTTAGAGAGACCGCTTCAACAAAGGACTTGTCAACGACGTCTCCTATCTGGACTCCTACTACGTCTTCGGCCACCTCTAAGAAAAGAGAAAGAGGAAAGGGAGTCCATTAGTGGTACACAGTACCTTGTACTTTGCTCATTTCCATTCACCAAGATAGTGTTGCCCTCTCTCTTTACCTCCTCTTGCCCTTGGGTGGACCCCGAACAAAACACCAGTCCACGCTGATTGGCTGTCCCATCAAATCCTGGCCATTGAGTCCCTCCATGGCAGCCTGGGCCTCTTTGTATGTTTCATACTCAACTAGAGTATACCCCTAAGACAAGTGAAAAGACAGATATCAAAACCCTCTTATTAGGAGCTGGTGGTGTGTCTTAAGTGTAGAGTACTTGTTTAGCAAGTGCAAGGCTCCTCAAATCCCAGTTAGCCACACACCCCCAAAAAAACCCTCCTATTTTACCAATCCTCAACAAGTACCCTCTTCCTCAAATCCAAACTCACTTAACAGAAAAACTTATTACACAATGAATGTACATATATCCCTATGGTAATTGTCTGCTTTCTTTCTGAATGTTTCTTTTCTGTGTCTAATAACATAGTTCCAATGTTATTTTATTTCAGCTTTCTTCTTGGCCAACCACTGTAAATATAGGTAAGCCACCAATACTGTCTAAGGGTTATGGGAGAAGGGAAACAATGAAGTATAATTTAGGATACCTTCAGGTATCCTGTACGCCTATCCAGGTTGAGGTGGATGTTTTTAATTTCCCCATATTCGGCGAATTTGTCGTGGATATCTTCTTCAGTGGCTTCCTCATGGACTCCAGTGACAAAGAGAATCCAGCCTTCAACAGCTGTTGGGGAAGGGAGGGTGATTGTAGGAACAGGAGAAAAAAACTTCAAGAACAGCAGGAGTGCAGTGAATATGGACTCTAAGAGACTTTTTAAGCGATCCCATTCCTACTACATTCATTTTTATTGGATTTTGCCTATAGACGGATCCCCACAGGTTCCATTTTACTCACAGCGTTGTGGTCCGGGTTCATCGCCATCCTGCTCCACGCTGTCATAATCCTCCCGCATCCGAGCTCGGGACCCCTCTTCTATAAAAAACACACACCAGATCACCGAAAACTCTCCCTTCCTCCTAGTGTTACCCATGAGTCGAGTGGGGACTCAAAAATTCGTAGCTCTTACCCTATTAGATCACTCTACCCGTGTTCCCCACACTCACCGGAGCCGAAGCCGCGGCCCTTTCGTTTCTTCGCTTTTTCTTTCAGTTTGTGGATGCTCTCTGGAGCCCCAGAAAAGAATTGAGTAACAAAGACAAGAGTCATTTGTAACAACTGTCTCTTTCCCAAGACAATATTTTTTTTACTTTTTTGCAGCACTGGGGTTTGAACCTGGGGCTTTAGCTTGCTAGGCAGGCGCTCTACCACTTGAGCCACTCCGCCAGCCCTTTTTATGCGTGTTGGACATTTTCAAGATGCGACTATTTGCCCAGGTTGGCTTCAACTCGCGATCCTGCGAATCTCTCCTTCCCAAGTAGCTAGAATTACAGGCATGGCTGTGAGCCACTGGCGCTGGGTTCTAAGACTATGTTTTTTTTTGTTGTTACAAATTGTGCCACCTTTTTCAGTGCTCATAGCCCACAGGCCAGAAAGCTACGCAATGGTTCGAGGCTGCAGTTCTGGCATGTGTACACTATGACAGGCCCACAGAGAAGGATGTGCCATAAATCCATTACCCTGCTCAAGACAATATCTGGAAAGCGTACCCCATCCCTTCACCTCATAGTCCTTACCGCGTCCCGCCCCAGTTCCTGCCAAAGGGGGCGGAGTCTCCGAGACCCAGTTCCCTTGCCCCATCCACCCTCCCGGGGAAATTTCTCCCATCATATTCTTCTCTCGCACCTTCCCCTCTTCCCGCAGCCGCATCCACTGTCCTCACCGTCCCCATCCTCATCCATGGCGAAATCTTCGCCGCCGGCCTCGTGAAGATCTAGCACGTCCGCCATCTTGCCTTCTTCCGAGCTCTGGTCTGTTCTGCTAAAGAACTAGGCACCTCGGAAACTGTCGCAGAGGGGAAAGGTCACCAGTCAAGCTGACCAATAAAGTGCTAACTCTTAGCCCCGCCCCTGGCGCGGAAAAAATTCGTAATAAAGGCGGGTCTAGTTTAGAAAGGTGCCGGAAGTCCTGTAGCCATCTTGAGCAGGTCGCGAGTTTAATGCAGCCGCCTTTGGGCGGACAAGCTAGGAGGGTAGGTGGAGCCAGTGGCTTCCTCTTAGCAACTAGAAGTCCTACTAGCTAGAAATCCTAACAATGAAGCCCGACCTAATTTCCTTATAAGAAGGTGGTTTTCTGTGTCTCCACCCCAAACTAGGAAATGGGAGTTGAACGTTTTTTTTTTTTTATTTCAAAACTTCCAGGCCTGTACTTTGTCCAAGGAGCAGCTGCCCGATCTATGATAAAAAAATTTTTTTTTTTTTTAAAAAAAAAGGTCATTCCGCAATGCTGGCTCAAATATCTGTCTCTGGAACGTACAACAGCACCAATTTCTTTCAAGAAATCTAACGGACCTGGTGCAGTTGAAATTTGATTGGTGAGACAGCTTTTTCTTTTTTAAATTACAAATTTTTTAAAAATTAAGACAAACCTCCCAATTCTCCTTGCCATCTTTGGGAATTGAAGAAAAAGGTGAGGGGGGGAGGAAGAGTCACGGCTTCAAACAAAAACAGTGTCTTTAACTTCTTTGAGGATGTTATAGGTGTTTCACGTTTAAAAAAGCAGGGTTGAGGCAAAACCCATATTGCCTCCAAATTCTGGAATCTTGATGTAAGCCTTTAACAGCACTGGACTGTGGATTCACTCATTAACTTACCAATCAAGTAGTTATATGTGTCTAATATTAAAGAAAGTGCTGACAATAAAAGGATAAATAACTGCATTGCCTACATTGACTTTGTAGTTACAGTGCACTATGAAAGTGATAATTGCTATCATGAAGTGTAATGACGGGCTGTGGATGTAGCTCTGTGGTAGATGGGTTCCATCCCCAGCACCACATAAAGAAAAACCAAAAACAAAGTGCAATGACAGCACAAAGAAAGTTTTTAGGGTGGAGGAGGGCTTGGCATTGGAAATGGCCTTTGAGGCTGAGTGATTTTCTAGCCAAAACAGTTATACTGAAACTAAAAGACACTAAATCACTCTACACAATAGTTAATGCCATCTTTTAAATAATCAGATGGTCACATCTTTACTAAAAACCTATCCTTGAATTTTTGTTGCACTTAGAATAGAGTCTGTAGCTGGGCGCTAGTGTCTCAGGCCTGTAATCCTAGCTACTCAGGAGGCAGAGATCAGGGGGATCTCCCGTTAGAAGCCAGTCCAAGCCAGCCCAAGCAAATAGTTTGCAAGACCTTATTTGGAAAAAAAAAAAAAATCACAAAACAGGGCTGGTGGAGTGGCTCAAGGTGTAGGTCCTGAGTTCAAACCCCAGTACTGTAAAAATAAATAAAAATTAAAATAAAATTCATACACAGCCTGCTCTGCCTGTGTCTCCAACCTTTTCAGCTACCATTCTCCCTCACCCATTAATTCCCTCCCTATATTTTCCCTTTACTGCAGTCTTTCTCATCTCAGGCCTTTTGCCACTTTCTGTTCCAGATGCATTTCCTCCATCTCTTCACATAACTAGCTGAACCTCACCTTTTAAGTCTCAATACTACTGTCACCTGAAGGGGTGCTACCCTCCTATCATTCACTTTATCTCTTCCTTAGAATTTAAATCAGAATCTTCAATTACCTTGTTTAGTTTCCAACTTATCTATTTTTCCCATGAGGATCTAATCTTTATGGCTGAGATGCTTATTTACAACTATATACCCAAAATTCAGCCCATGGCAGCTCATGGCAGAATAAATATCAGAAAGAGATTCTGTATGCCTGATGTTATGTGACTGGGAAATAAATCTAGAAATACAGTTTAGGGTAAAATTGCTATGTTAAGGATTGTGGTAAATTAGTTTTAGGAATTTATCCTAATAAATTTGAGTATTTATGATTCTGTGTGTGTGTGTGTGGCAGTACTGAGGGGTTAAACTCACACTTACAGGTGCTCTACCACTTGAGCCATTCCACCAACTCAAGTAGTTACGGTTTTTAACATTTGTTAATAGCCCCCATGGAATTTTTGCTTAGTACTTTTTCTTAAATTCTTTTAAAACATAAGTCTTTACTAAAAGGAAATTTCAATATTACTATGTAAGTGGAAAACCAGTATTTTTCTACTACAAATTCAGATAAAAGTATAACTATTAAAATTGTCCATCTATTGCCTAAAATAATTTCAACACCAAGGGTTCACATATAAAACTTTGAGAAATGCTGCTAAAGATAGTTAAGTGATAGTTAAACAAGGGAATGGCACAGTCATATGTAATTTTAATAAGAAATATTATAGTGTGGAACATATTAAGAATGAATGCAAAAAAACCAGGAAGTTCTTATAGTCGTCCAGATATGAAAAAGAATTGAAAGCAGTATATATGAACAAAACAGATTATAGTATATAGAAGATAGACTCAACAGCAAGTGACTAAATGGTGATGACAGAAGTGAGGATCTAAGGGTTCTGGCTTAGATAACTAGATAGATAATTCCAATAATGGAGTCAAAGAGGAGTAATTATGGAGAAATGGAGTTTTATTTTGGGTATGTGAATTCACAGTTCTTTTTTTTATATTCAAGTGGTGATGTGGAAACATATATGTAAAAGCTCAAAACAAGTTGAGGTGGAAGAACCAGATTTGAGAATCGTGTATAGAGGAGTGTAAACCACTATAGTGGGTGAGACTGCAGTACGAGTGAAGTAGAGCTTGAGGAGAAAGGGTCAAGGACAGAATCCAGGCTCCTTAAATGTGTGGAGAAGGGGAGGCAGGCTGCCTTTTCCTAGAGTACAGTCTTATTTCTACCACCCTCAAAATACTAATAAAAATTATATTTTTGGTACATGTGTAAATGAATGGAGCCATTTTAGAGCTCCTCAAATATACAGGTTTCAAGAAAGAGTCATTCTGGCTTACTAGACAAAAATCTATTTTTAATTGTATAAAATTATACATATAAAATACATAGGAGCTACTAAGAAGATGACTAAAATCCTCAACACCAAAAGTTGACATATCAGAGAACATTTTTTCTTAAGTTCTTTGGGATCTTGGGTATTTGAGAAAAATAATAAATCCAGGAGGTGCAAGGACAAGTCTTCCTACAACTGATAGCCCTAACACTTCTCAAAGAAAGGAGCATAGGAGAAACTGGAGAATTTATTATTTCTGGGTTATAAATATTAATAAATACAGTTAGATGTACCTATTATTTAATGTAGGAGCTTGTACTCCAATCCTGCATGTGTTTCCTGAAATACAAAGACGGGACTTGGGAAAAATCAAAGAAGCCCCTTCCAAGCACTAATGTAATAGTAGCTGGATTAGTTACCTCTGATCTTATGTGTACTAGTCACAAAGATGATTTCAAAAGCAAGAATGCTGCTTTTCATCTTGCTTCTATATAATCCAAAAGAGCAAATTTGGTCTGTTTACTAGTGTACTTCAGAAAGCAAACTATGTAATTGTAAAATGGAAAGTCCAATTGCAGGGGCATTAAACTTCCCAAACTCAGTTTAGAAAGTACATGGAACAATACTGTAGTATAAAGTACACAGAAACAAGAGGAAAAATACATCTTTCTACATATCATTCTCCAAAAAAATTTTCTAAAAGGACAATGTTCTAGCTATATTCCATATCTCTCTTATCTCACCCAAAAAACCACAAATAGCTGATTATTTGCTCTCTTTTCCTCCCTGCAGTCTCCCAAGGTTCCAATTAGGAAGTGCCTTAGTGCCATATTCTTATCTAATTTTCCTGATCACCTCATGCCCTAATAATGTGTAGGAACAGAAAAAGAGAAAAATAAGTGAGAATCTAAGGTACATACATCTAAGGTAACAACTTAATGGAAGTGAGAGGAACATGGCCCTCACCAAACAAACATTGCTTTCAAATAGACACTGCTTTCAAAGAGTACAATGATGGGAGTGGGAAGAGTATGTTTTATCTTCATCTAAACACCACAGGTAGGAAGGTTTAAATATAGTATTTAACTAAATTGGTGAGCAGGGGAGAAATGAAAGGAATAGTGAAAAAAAAAAATCAGCCTTAACACTGACCCACTTGTTACTGTAGAGTATATCCAGGAATCTGGAATGCTGGAATGGTATAGATAGCCCCAGAAGCAACTGCGGTGATTATCTCCATGAATTGTGTTTAAATTCTCTTCTTCCTGGGCAGTTTCTCCTTCTGAATAGTAAGCTAGGGAAGCCTCAAAACAAAGGAGTGTTTGGAGGAAAAGGAGTAAAGTAGTGGTGGGGAGAGGAGGGGTACCAAGCAGGACCAGCTAAGATAAATCAAAGTCAAAGGATTCTTATTCATATCCTGTCTGAGTTGAAGAGAAAGCAAGAATGATGGTAAGGGTGAGAAGGGTGAGGCACATAATCTTTCAGCCTACCTGTTATTTTAAAAGAAGGAGACATGAACGTTTAGTCAATCTGGAAATTTAAGAACCAACAAAGCTCAAAAGTGGTGTGAGGATGTTTCAAATGAAACTATATCCAAAAACTGGAAGTTTTTTTTAAGGGATCGCTTAGCAAATAGGAATCCAGGTGTAGAATTTATACATACACACACACATATGTATATATATATATATATATATATATTTAAAGTACAAAATTGAGAAAGTATATACAGAAATCATCCTAAGTCTTAAAAAGGAGACATATAAAAAAGATCTGAAGAAGACGGGGAATGTGAGGGTATATGCCTAGCAGTTGGAAGAATGCATATTGCCCAACTGCCCAGCAGCCAGCATGAGAATATCTTTCTTCTCCTTGTGGAAGCGTAGCTCCTTGCCTGCCAGCCGGGCTTCATCCAGCTCCCGTTCAGTGGAGGCCAGCTCTCTAGACAGTGCTCCAGGCACACTCTGCTCCCGGCTCACCCAGTCCAAGGCCATTTGGTGGCGAATATCATCATCCAGAGCTCGGTGTGAATAATGAGCCAACACCTCCTATGAGGAAGGGGAATGTGAAGATCACTGAGAAGGTAAAGGTACGCATCATACCAAATTCATGCAGCGGGGACTAAGGTACTCTTAGCCTTGGAGTCCTGAAGTCAGCATCTAAGTCCTCCAAGGAGATTTTTTTTTTTTCACACAGGGTCTGCCTCAGCCACCTGAGTGCTGGGATTACAGGTGTACACCATCATACCCAGCTCTCCAAAGAGATTCTTAAGGGAAATTTCCTAGTGGGGAAAGCAAGGCAGGCACAATAATGACAGTGAAGATTTAAATAGCAAAGATTACAGGAATGAAAAGAGAATTTAAATAAGGTTTTCAATAGTCACAACTTGGTAAGCATAGGCCTACTTATTTCTAACATAGCAGCCACCTTAAAGTAGTCCTTCTTCCCTATTCCCCTCACCCATAGCATCTCTTACCTGCCGAGAGCACTGTCTTTCCCTCATAGCCTTAAGGCTGCCATTCCAGTGCAGCAGTTGAAAAACTGTCATTAGCTCCTGGAGGAAGATTTGAAATAGGAGGACAGTAATTTTATATTTGGAGGTTGCATCAGAATCACTGGGAAACTTTTTACAAAATGTATCTGTAGTAGCATCTCTAATCACCAACTCTGATAAGCCCATATGCCCTTGGGGAAAGAAAGGTATGTATATTTTGAGAAGAACTCTAGCAACCTTCTTTTCAGCATCAGTGAGTTAGAGACTAGCATATAATATATACATATACATATATATACATATACACATATATATATGGAGGCTGACCCATGTTATTAGAGAGCCTGGTAAGTAGGTGGACCAGTACCTGGAACTCCAACATTGACTTGCCCTTGTTGGATTCCAACATAAATCGGAAGGCACCAATCCCTGTATTTGGGTTGTCAGCTTCCTCCCTGTTGCCCTGGTAACAGAGGAAAGGAAAAGACATGGATTTTTAATCAGGATTATCATTTCAAGCAGCATTACCTAATAGAAATATAATGTGAGCCACATAGTTAATTTTAAATTTTCTAGTTGTCACATAAAAGTAAAATAAACAGGTAAATTAGTTTAAAATTTTTCAAGCTATCACATTAAAGTAAAAATAAATAAGTAAAATTAATTTATTTTTATTTAGCCCAATATATTCAAAATATTGTTTTCCAAATGTGGTCAGTATAAATATTATTTATAAAATATTTTGTTATTTTTCTTGTACCAAGTTTTTGAAATCTTTTTTGGCCATAATGGGTTTTGAACTAAGGGTTTCACACTTGCTAGGCAGGTGCTCTAACACTTGAGCCACTCAGCCAGCCCTTTTTCTTGTCGTTGTTGTTTGGTATTTTCAAGATAGGGTCTCTCAAACTACTTGTCTGGGCTGGCTCAAACTGCAGTCCTCTTGATCTCTGCCTCCTGGGTAGTGAGAATCACAGATGTGAGCCACCAGCACCCAGCTTGAAATCTGTCTATTCCTAAAGGACATCTCAATGCATACAAGCAAATGCTCAGTAACTGTATGGCAAGTGGCTTATTTGTCAGCACAGGCCTACAGGACTCCAAGATTATCACACATTTTACCTTGGCTGATAAAGGGCAAATCTAATTTTCTGTTTTACAAAGGAGAAACACTGAGGCATAGAACAATATTCTGATTCAACCAAAATAACAGTGAGTGGGTTAAGTGTATAGGATTCTATATTAGAATAGACTAAAGAACAACTGAATAATATACTTAAAAGGGAAACAGTAGAAACCATAAGCATGGGAAATTCTGGGTAGTAGTTTGGCCTCCTGGACATTTGCCTGTTATGTCTCCTATTGGCTAGATGACCCTGCAAGGGTAGAGCTGAGACATACTGTCTCATCTTCAAGTCTAGTGTGTACAAAGAACAACATAAAGGTTAATAGCATTGCTATGGATGCAGGTGGCTCACACCTGTAATCCTAGCTTCTTGGGAGGCTGAGATGGGGAGAATTGTGGTATGGGGCCAGCCTAGACAAATAGTTTGTGAGACCTCCATCTCCAAAATAACCAGACAAAATGGACTTAGAGGTGTGACTCAAAAGTAGAACACCTACTTTGCAAGTATGAAGCCCTGAATTCAAACCCCAGCACCACCAAAACAAACAAACAAAAAACAAGTAAAAGTTAAAAGCACAGACTAGTGCTTCTACTAGTTGTTTGGCCATGATGAAGTCATGTTAATTTCTATGTTCCTTAGTTTCCTCATCTATAAAATGGGAATAATCATAGACCTACCATACAGGGCTGTTTTGAGAATTAAATACATTTTTTAAGTAAAATTAAATCAAGAGGGTGAGGCTGGATGATTGCAAGTTTAAGGAAGGTGCAGTGAAATTCTGTTTCAAAAAAAATTTTTTGAGTACATGTGGCCTAAAAAATCATAAAATGTAGGTATATTATTATACTGGACTTGGTTACACAATTCAAATCCATTCTGGAACTGGTGATAGTTTGGTTATATTTGGTAGTGATTTTTCTCTTTGGCTCAAATACTAGGGATCATCTCAGACCATAGAGCTGCCTAGGACTTCTAAAATAGGGCATATCCTGGTTTACTGGGGACCCTTTTGTCAGCTTAGTCTAGGAAAATAGAGCCAGGAAACAATTGGGAACACCGGGATCCAACTTTCTTCTTCTGCTTCCTGAGTAGTTGCCTGCTCTTTCTAGTCAGGCCCCAAGATAAGAACTTTATTCTGCAGTCTTTGAGAAAGAGAACTGGATAGAGATCAGAAGCCAATCAGGTTATATTCAAGTTCAGTTTATTGTGCCACTCTTCATCATGGGGTTTTTGTGTATATGTGTTACACCATCTAAATGCCAAGCACTAGCAAGTGCACCACAAATGCTCACAACAACAGCTTCCTCCTCTCCCTGATCCTCATTATTGTTGTTACTGTGTTAGAATCAACTGGAGGTCAGAACTACTCAAGATCAATTCATATTGTTTTGTGGCTCATAAGAAATCATGCCAAGCCAGGCGCTGGTGATTCTCACTTCTAATCCTAGCTACTCAGGAGGCAGAGATCAGGAGGAGCATAGTTCAAGAGCAGCCTTGGCAAATACTCTGAGACCCTATTTCAAAAATACCCAAAAAAAAAAGGCTGGTGGAGTGGCTCAAGTGGTAGGGCACCTGCCCAGCAAGGCTGAGGCCCTGAGTTCAAACCAAGTACTGCCACAAAAGAAAAAAAATGATCACAAAATTTGGACTTAAAAGGAAAAAACTGGAGGGGCTTTAACTGTAATCTTCAGAATTAGGCCTTAGGGCTCTTAGACAAGCAACCATTTCATTTGTTCCAGTAATGATTCAAAATGATAACTTATTCAATGCAGCCCAAACTTTTCCATGACATGCACATGTAAAATAATGATCATATCTGTATCAAGTATACCAGCAACCATAGGAGGCTGCTAGCAGCCAGAGTTGAACACAAGAGACCATCTGTTTCAGGCCTTGCCCAATCTCCTGAGAGCTGAGGGGGAAATCAATATCATGGCACACCTGTAAACTATCTGTAGTATGACAGAATAGTATGACCTACTGCTTGGGAAGTTCTACTTCATATTACCCTTCCACATCTAACATGGTCAAATGAACCCCACTTATTTAATAAATGTTATTTATTTATTTATTTGTTTGTTTGTTTGTTTGCAGTGCTGGAGATCAAACCAGGGCCTTGTACATGCTAATGAGCTATAGCCCCACCCTACCCACTTTTTTTTTTTTTTTTTGAGACAAAGGTCTCCCTGTGTTGCCTGTGGCTTCAAACTCACTGTCCTACCTCAACTTCTCTGGTAGCTGGGATGACAAGAATGTAATCAGATAAGTAAAAGGATCACTAGAATATAATTGGAAAGCTGAGTATGGTCATACATACCTGTAATCCTAACACTTGGGAGGCTGAGCCAGGAGGATGGAGAGTTTGAGGCCAGCCTGAGCTACATAGTAAGACCCTGTGTCAAATATAATTGAAAAGAGATTAGAAATAATTTAACTTAACTGACTTGTTTTACAAATGAGAAAACTCAGACCCTCTGAAGGTAGGTGATTTATCAAAATATTGTATGATTTAGTGTCAGATTCAGGATCTTTAAAAACAAAAGCTGAGCGCAGGGCACTAGTTGCTCACATCTATAATCCTAGCTACTTTTAGTAGGCTGAGATCAGAAGGATCACTGTTTTGAGGCCAGCCCAGACAAATAGTTCAAGAAACCCCATCTCAAAAATAACCAAACCAAAATGGGTAAGCAGTAGACTGCCTGTTTTGCAAATGTGATGCCCTCAGTTCAAACCCCAGCCACACCAAAAATTAAAAAATTAAAAAACAAAACAAAAAGCTGAGGCCAGGTGCTAGTGGCTCATTCCTGTAATTCTAACTACTTGGAAGGTCAAGATTGGAACAATCACAGTTTGAGGTCAGCCTGGGAAAAAAGTTCACAAGACTCCTTCTCAACAGAAAAGGCTGGGCATGCTGGTACACACCTATCCCAGCTATTGCAGGAAGCAAAAATAGGAGGATCTTGGTCCAGGCCAGCCTGGGCAAAAAGTGAGACCCGATCTCAAAAGTAACAAAGCAACAGGGCTGAAGGTGTGGCTCAAGCAGTAGAGGGCCTGCCTGCCTAGCAAGCACAAGGTCCGAGTTCAAACTGATGAAAAATCCATTGAATTCTCAATTGGGGGGAGGGGGTTAACCAAAAAGGATTAGTGGAACAGGAATAATAATGGTTCACATTTCTTAAACACCTTGTAAAAGATACCACAGGTAATCTACCTGACAATGACATCTCTTACTTTCTTCCTTACTATAGGACTTTAACCTTGTTTAAATTAAAGAGTCTTGTGTCTCAAAGAAGAGTGATCTTATCAAATCTCCAGATTACAAATCTTAATCCCCTTTACCACTAATTTATTTTAAGGTAAGGATTCTGGCTTTGGGAAGTGAAGTCTGGTGGAGGGCTTCCAGGAAATAATTCCTTACCACTAATTAGAGGTGCTAGAAAAGATGGCCCTCTGTCTCTGAATGTAGATATGCTATGTCTAGAACTCTATAGTCATTGTACACCCTGAGGGGAGCCAGCCTAAAGATAAAGCCAACATCTAGAGGATGACTAGGTGAAGAGCTAGAAAGAATCTGAACCAGTATATGACTTCCTTTGTTTTAGATGGTGTCTTGCAATTGGCAGTATTGCACAGGCTGGCCTTGAACTCCTGGGATCACGTGATCCTTAGCCTCAGCCTTCTGAGTAGGTGGGGCTATAGGCCTCTGCCACTGCACCAGGTTTTAGATGATAACATTTCCGCACCCCCCTTCTTCCCCCACCCCCCAGACTGGCCTGAAACTTAATAGCCCAGATGGCCTCAGACTCTTCATTGTCTTGCCTCAGCCTTTGGAGTGCTGTGATTGCAGGTATGTTCCACCACGTCTGGCTAGATGACAACATTCTTGATCCATGGAATCAACCAGCCCTGAAATCTGCCCTACATCTGGCTTTCTGACATGTTAAGTAATAAATTTCCTTTGTTTCTTTTTCTTTTTTTGGGGGACTGGGGTTTGAATTCAGGGTTTCACACTTGCAAAGCAGGTGCTCTATCACTTGAGCCACACTTCCAGTCCTGTGTATTTTCTTAAGTCAATTTGAAGTGAGATTTTCTATTATTTGCATTCAAGGACATCTAAACAGATAACGTGTACGAAGTACTTAAATATCTCTTTTATCCAGTGATCATTTTTATCCTGTTTTGCAGATGAAAAACAGATTTAATGAAATAACTCTTTCAAAAATGTAGCTGGTAAAATCATAATTTCAATACAATGAATTCAGTGTCCATGCTTATAACTACTAGACATCCTGATTTCTATAATCCAAACTAACATTTCATTTTAAAATAGCACTGGACCTTAAGAGTGTCAAATGTACTTTCCTAATTTTAATTGGCTTTGATTAAAAGTATTTTTATTCCTTCAGATGCTATTAATTGGAGAAAAGAAGAATGTTAGAAAAAAGATGGGTTCTAAATAATAGAGAAGCCTATTTATGATTTAAAGTGTTTAACATCTCAGTCCAAAAAGTGATAAATGAAGCAATATAGTATATGTAATTACATCTTAATACAAAGAGAAGAGAAACAAAAGGTTGGTCTGACTTTATTACCCTATCAATGAGTTTGTTGGGGAAGAAGGAAGAAAGCAGTGGTAATTTCTAAAATGTACCTCTCAGCTAAATCTGCTTGTGTTCTAATAAGTTAGCTCTACCACTAACTTGCTGTATCACTTTAGGCAAAAACATCATTTCTGTAATTTTAGTCTCATCTGTAAAATGGGGGTAATAATAATATTTACACCACACAGGATTTTTGGATAACCAAATGAGATAAAAGTACACATAAATCCCTTGGATTAGTCCCTGATAGTCATAGTATTAACATCATCATCCTTGAAAAAACAGAAGTTCTTTTTTTTCCTTTTTTTTTCTTTTATTATTCATATGTGCATACAAGGCTTGGTTCATTTCTCCCCCCTGCCCCCACCCCCTCCCTTACCACCCACTCCGCCCCCTCCCTCTCCCCCCCACCCCCTCAATACCCAGCAGAAACTATTTTGCCCTTATTTCTAATTTTGTTGTAGAGAGAGTATAAGCAATAATAGGAAGGAACAAGGGTTTTTGCTGGTTGAGATAAGGATAGCTATACAGGGCATTGTCTTTGTCTTCTTCAGATGTTCTTTTTAAAGAAGGCAAATAAATTATTCTCCCCATTTCTAAAAGAGAAAAAATAAGATACTGTATAAAGGGATTCTTTATAAAAAAGATGAAGTAATGGAGGCAGGAGACAAGTAACAATAAAAGCAGTCATTTGAAAAAAGAACAGCTTTCATACACTCCCTGTCTCTTGTCACCTGATACCCCAAGCTACCTCATAAGTGAGGAAGCCATCATGTGATGGAGCCCCCTCAACCTTAGGACAGAACCATGAGTTAAAATAAACCTTTCTTTATATCCTAAAAGATAGATTTGGGTGTGTAGCTCAGTGACAGAGATACCTAGCATGTGCAAAGCCCTGGGTTCAATCCCTAGCACTGCAAAAAATATTTTTAAATAAAAAATGACAAAACAGCAACCACAACAAAAGCCATACAAATATCCACACAAAATTAAAGATTGAGACATATGGAGCACATGACACACAAAAAAAATGGACAGAATAGACAACAGAAATGTAGACAAAAAAGACAAGAAGAATTCATGCTGTTTCTCAGTTCTCCTATAGCCCACTCTCCCTGTTTCCAATTCCAGGTTACTTACATTGAAAGATGCTAGGGCCTCAGAGACACTCTTCTCAATGAACTCATCAGTGATTCTTCGGGAAGGATGTTCATTGAACACAGAGTTCATCAATGCAATCTTTGCAGCACTTCTCCGGGCCTCAGCTTTTGTGGGGCAAAACTAGGCAGGAGAGAGAGAAAGAGAGACTATGCATATGTGTGTATCTAAGCAAGAGGAAGAAACAGTGGTAGAAGTCAATTAGAGACTCTGAAAGAATCTGTTGTATTCAACACACTTTCCAAAGTTTAATTGTAAATGGTTGGGATGTTTGGGAACATAACTTTTTAAAAATTTTTTTGTTTGTTTGAGACAGGGTCTTGTTATGTAGCCACGATGGCCTTGACTTGAGATCCTCCTGCTTCAGCCTCCCATATGCTGGGATTGCAGCTGTGTACCACCAAACTTAGCTTGGAAACATAGTTTTGATTCAACATCCTGAAGCCATTAAGGAACTGAAGATGGCTGTAGTTCATACCAAATTGAATGCAGAATGAGGAAGGCTGCTGAAGTCAGCATATAACTGCTAGACATGAAAAATACCTGCATTTAAATTGTCAACAAAACTAATTACTCAAAAGCCAGATTCTGGCCAGCTTGTTAGAAATCATGTTCTCTTGTTCTGTGGACAGGCAAGGTTTTTTTGATTCCTCTACATAACCAAGATTAGAACAAAGTTGATATAGGCTGCTTCTGCATAGGAGGCCTCTGGGATTCTTGGACTTCACTTTTGGCTATGATGAGGCAGCTTCCCCAATACTGTAATGAGCAGAAGTTGCTGTCCTTAAATAAGAGTCTAAGTCTGAAGAAGAAATTTAGCTTTTTTTTTTTCCTACCAATAGAAGCAAGGAGGAGAGGGATAGCTACAGGAAGGAAAGTTGACCTGAGGAAAGCAAGAAAATATTAAAAATTAATTTGTGTTTTTAAGTTATTAACCAACGTAGGTAACATAGGACAGTCTAAAACAGGACAAGTCTTAAACCATTTAACTTCAAGTCCCTTGCCACCACAGTTTTGTTTTAATTCATATTCACTGGCTGCTTCAAAGGCTTCTGTGCACCCTTTGTCATTTATGATTAAAATTAGAAGAAAGGAAGAAAGTGATTTTTTTTTAGGGTTTTTTTTTGGGGGGGGTAGGACTGGTGTTTAAACTCAGGGCTTCACACTTGCAAAGCAGGTGCTCTACTGCTTGAGCCACATTGCTGATTTTCCAGTTTTTAAAAGGAGACCAGGATATGTATAGTATCAATTTTCCTAATTTCCTTTAGCAGATAGCATAGGGAGTTTTAACTCTGTCTTTTTTGCTTCTTCAGTTTCTCTGCCTCTACTTCTTTATTACTAGCCTACTCTCCACACTGTCGCTGAAAAAGTCAGCTGTGAAGAAAACTGCCAGGAAAAATTTCACCTGCCAAAGTGGATATAAAATGTATAAGCTAAAAGAAGCCAACATAGATCATTTTATTATTTTAGAAAAAATAACAAAAATCAAATTACTATAATGGTTCAGTTATGAGCATCATCATAAAATTATCAAATCATTATTAAACATTGTGATGAGGTGGGAAGAAGGAAAGATCTTATTCTCTAATAAAGGAAAATGCAAACATTAGTCATCCCAGGCATATATTTATTTCTCCAAAATGGCTGAGTTCTTAGGGAAAAAATGTACTCACATGATTTGAAACAAAGCTTCCTCAGGATTATTTCTGTTCGAGGCAACCAACATGCAAGACATATGTTAAGTGCCTACTTTGTGCTGGAATCTGAACTTGGTGGTAGGGATTTAATAATGAACAAGAAGATTTAGTGTAAGTGAGGCCCTGGGTTCAATGTTCAGCACTGTGAAAGGAAAGAAGGGAGGGAGGGAGGGAGGGAGAAAAAAACAGAGGAAGGTAGGAGAAATAAATAGGAAGAAAGGAAGAAAATACAATCTTTGCTTCCATGAAGCCTAGTATACTTGAAGAGAAAATCAATTATGGTAAGTGATATAATAGGGGAAGTTCAAGGTGCTATGGAAACACATAGCAAAGGTTCTAACTTTGTCTAAGGGTAACACAAATCATAAAAACTAAACAAAGGTGTCCAATTATCTTCTTTAATTTCCCATTCAGACTCTTTAAGTTGACATTTCAGAAAGCTGTCTTCTAGCTGGTGGAGTGGTTCAAGAGGTAGAGTACTGCCTAGCAAACTTGAGGCCCTGAGTTCAAATCCCAGTACCACCAAAAAAATTAATTCAGCCTCAGAAAGCTGCCTTCTTGTATGCAATGTAAAAATCAATTTTTTATAATTTCATACTAGTGCATAATAATTTTTCACTACCCCATAATAGCAACCATTCTTTTCATCATCATAGGTCTTTCATACAAGTATAGAAAGTTAGCAGTGAAAAAAGACCTTAAAACAATGTAGGCTGTGCATAGTGGTGTAAATATGTATTCCTAGCTTCATGGGAGGTGTAGGTAGATCATGGTCTGAGGCCAACCAAGGCAAAAACTCTAGACTCTATCTGAAAAATAATGAGTGAAAAAGAATGGGGGTAGAAGTGGTTCAAGTGTGTAGAGTGTAAGTACAAGGCTCTGAGTTCAAACCCTAGTACCACCAAAAAAGAAGAAGAAGAAGAACATAACCTATCTCCTTCATGTTATAGATAGATAAAGGCCCAGAGACTTTTAACTGATTTGCCCTACTGACAAGGGAATGAGAATTCAAATCACCTAACTCTGTACTGTGTCCCTCCCCTATAATCTCTTAGAGAACTCAAACATTGCTTTCTTTAGTAATTGCCTATGAAAAAGGAGTAGCTTTAGAAATACTATTCTAGATCCTGAAGAAGTGAAGTAATGGCAGGAAGTTGGAATGCATTAATAGAAGCCGGATCAGGACAAGGTTTGAGTGCTGGTAGTGTTGCATATTAAGCAAGGATATAATCTCAACTGATGAAATTCAAAATAGGTTTGAGTTTTTGCAGGCTGAAAGAAAATTATTTGAGCTGGGGGGATGGCTTTGTGATAGAGCACCTGCATCAAAGATGAGAAGCCCTAAGTTCAAACCACACTACTGCCAACAAAGAAAAGCATGCTACTGAGGTTCTCCTTCCCTCTGTGGTAGTAGGGTTGGAATCAGGGTCTCGCACTTGCTAGGCAGGTGCTCTACTGCTTTTGCCACTCCACCAGCCCTTTCATGTGCTTGGTATTTTTGAGATAGGGGCTTGCTTTTTGCCCTAGCTAGCCTTAAACCTTTATCCTCCTGATCTCTACCTCCTGAGTAGTTAGGATTATAGGCGTGAGCCATTGGCATCTGCACCTGGTGCTACTGAGGGTTTTTTGTAATCTAATGAACCTCAGGTACTTGCCAGAAGGATTTGTTCAGAGTTGATTTCGTCCTCAAATATGTGAATTCAAGCATATATTTAATGGCCAAAGTGGTAGCACTTACACATTATTTTTTTGCTACTGCCACCTCACAACTCTTACCTGGAAACTCCCAAAGCAACTTCCTCCAGGCAGGGTGACATAGCAGACATATGGAGGACTATTGGAGGGAACCATCTCATAAACCACTAGAGCCCCATTCTTCAAGTCAGCCCCACGGGACTGCTTCATCTGCCAGAATTCCTGAAGTGCTTCCACCACATTCACTACAAAAAGAGAAGTTGTTATGTTCAGCAATGAGAATACTTCCAAATGGTGCTGTATTTCAATACAGAACCTATAATCTGTACCTACATTAAGAGACCCTTAGCTCCCCATCTGTCACCATTTAAAAGCATTTAAATTAATAAATTTAGGCTGTGGTTAAGTCAATTTGCATTGAGAGACTAGACTATGCCTGCCCTCTTCCCCCAACTCCCTAAAATTCACATTTTTATTAGTCCCAGCCACCAAAGGGAAATAGCAAATTTTGGAGGTAAAGTTTCCAAGGTCAGCAGACAGTTATCACTGTGTGATGTATTATCCCACACCGGTCAGCTGGCCTAGGACCATAATAACCACCACGATAATAAGTAGCCACAATCAGATTTACTGTATGTCATGCATTTCCATAAATGTTTTACCCATCTAATCGTAACGACCTTATGAGGCAGGTTTTTTTGTTATTCCCATTTTACATCTGAGGTAAGTTTAAGACAACTGGCCCAAGGTTATAAAGATGAGAAAGTTGCAGAGTAAAAACCAAACTCAGGCAGTCTTGTTTTCAGAGTCAGTGTGTTTTGTTGTTTGTTTTTTCTGTGCTGTAGATCAGAGCTCTGTACATGTGAGGCAGGTACTTCTACCACTGAACTATTTCCCCAGTCCTTGTTTGTTTGAAATGGGATCTCATTATTGTTATCCCAGGCTGGCCTCAAATTCAACCATCCTGCCTCTGCCTCCAGAGTGCTAGGATTACAGATGTGCACTACTATGCTGCCTGGCCCATAGTCTTAAATGTTCTCAAAACACTAGGCAAAAAAAAAAAAAACCACTAGGCAATATGGCACTATTAGCCATTCTCAAACTTATGCTTCAAGTGAACAAACTAATGGCCAGATTGCCTTTCCAGCCTGGAATATTATAAGAGTGGGGTATTGATTCTCTTCTGAGGCTTTACTTGGGTTTAAGTGATTTTTGGAGGAACTGTATGCTGGGAAACACTCCTCCATGGATCTTTTGTGTTCCTTCACACTTTGCTAGGCATGCCAACATTACAAAGCTCTGACTGCTCTTTACTTGAGCCACTTCTCAGGATTATGTTTGCAGCAAGAAACTTTGAGGGATGAGGTAATGATTCCTCTGGGACAAAGAACAAGCTTGTTTACTGACTATGATAAAACGCAGGTTCCACCAGGTGCTGGTAGCTCACACCTATAATTCTAGCCACTTGGGAGGCAGACATCAGGAAGATCATGGTTTGAGGCCAGCCTGAGCAAATAGTTGTGAGACTCTATCTCGAAAACACCTAATACAAAAAAGGGCTGGTGAAATGGCTCAAGAGGTAGAGCCCCTGCCTAGCAAGAATGAGGCCAAGTTCAAATCCCAGTACTGCAAAAAAAAAAAAAAAAAAAAAAGGAGGGAGCAGTTCCCCAAGCTCAGTGTTCCTCTCTTGTGAAGTAACCCATGGCCCCATAGCCTACACAAGCATCCACCTGAGCCCTCTGCATCATACTTGGGAGGCCAAGTGAACTGATGTAACATGATGCTCATGCTACTTGCAGAGTCTCATCTCTGATCCAGAAATCTCTTGACTTTTGCCAGCATCCATTAAACAGTAACTGGCTAACTTATTAGTTGTAAGTGGAGTAAAATCAAATTCCAAATCTGCCACTTTATTCTAGACACTTTCTCCCATCCCCAGTTCTTAGGCTCAATCATTCCACAAATACAAATCGAGTGCCTACTCTATGCAGACTATGTGCTGGATTCTAGACTACAAGAGTGAGAAAAACCATACATGACTCCTTTTTTTTTTTATATGACCTACAGTGTATAGAGAGAAAAATAATCTCAAACACTGACAAAATTGCCCCTGTGATAAATGCTACAGAGGGGTGATAATAGGAAATCTGCAGGAGTGTCTGATCTCCTAGAGAAAGTAGATAAGAAAGTGAAAGAAAGCTACCATGAAGATGTAATATCTAAACTGAGGTATGAGTAGGAATTCACTGAGCAAGAGGAGAGAGAAGAGTGCTCTGGGCTTAAGAAACAGCATATACAAAGGCTATGTCATCATGGAACATGGTGAATACATAGACTAAAAGAAGGCCCTGTGACTACAAGAGTGAAGGGAAGTGTAATACAAGACGAGGCTGCAAAAGGAGGCACTGACTAGACTGAATTGAGCCTTTTAGGCCATTTTAGAGTACTGGTTTTTATCCTAGGGCAAGATGGGAAGCAAACAAAGGATTTTAAACAGAAGGGGGGAAATGAGATAATTTTGAATTTGGAAATGATCACTTTAATTGTAAGGTTCCAAACATTTCAAATGGCTTTAACTGAAGCTTCATAATAAATTATGATGCTCTGTGATATCTTGCAACAAACACACTCCTCCTTTTATTTTTGGTAGTACTGGGACTTGAATTCATGGCTGTTCTTGGGAGACAGGCACTCTACCACTTGAGCTATGCCCCAGACCTTTTTGCTTTAGTTATTTTTCAGGTGGAATCTCACATTTTTGCCCAAGCCAGCCTTGGAATGCAGTCTTTGTACCTACAGCATCCTACCTAGGCCTCCCAAGTTGCTGGGATCACAGGTATTAAGATTACTGATCGAGATGCAGTGTCAATAACTTTTTGCCTAGGCTGGACTTGAACTATGATCCTCCTAATCTCTGCCTCTCAAGTAGCTGGGATTATAGGCATAAGCCACCATGCCTGACCTCCTACTCTTTTTTACTGTGTGGCGGTACTGGGGTTTGAACTCAGGGCCTCATGCTTGCTAGCCAGGTACGCACTCTACCCACCACTTGAGCCACTCCACCAATCCTTTTTTGTGTTGGGTATTTTCAAGATAGGGCCTCACAGACTATTTGCTAGGGCTAGCTTTGAACCTCAATCCTGATCTCTGCCTCTCAAGTAGCTAGGATTACAGGTGTAAGCCACCGGCACTCAGCCTGATCTCCTACTCTTAATTATAAGAAACTCATTCATTCTTTCATATTGTGTTAGTTCATGTATGCCAGGAAGACATTAAAATGGGATACTCGTGCAAAGTATTTATTGGAAGGGAAGCAGGAAAATGTAGGGACAGCCTTCAGATCACAGTAAAGGTCTGACACATGTAAAAGAGAGGAAAGGAAGGAGGTTTAATTATGAAAATCTTAGACTGCAATGCAGTTCCAAGAAAGGTTTAGCCAACAAGAAGTCCTTATGCCAAAGGAATTCCTTTGGCAGGATGTGCCAGCATTAACATACTTGTTGTCCTCATTGTGGCCTCTGCAAATGTGGCAATGGACCTAGAGGGGGCAGCAGTTACGCTCCCTACAAGCAAGAGGTCTGCTCAGCACATTTTCATTAAGCAAACATTTGAGCCCTTTATAGGTATAACTCTATTCTACTCATTAGGGATGCAAAGAGTAACACATTCTCTACTAGCAAGTTGTTCAAAATTTAGTGGCTGCTCCACAGCTGAAATAAGGACCCATATTCCAGCCAGAGTTTGAAAAGCAGCGTTAAGTTCTTTTCTAATATTCTATAGTTAACTGACTTTTTAGAATGATCATTCTTCTACTAAAAGACAGCATGAAAAGAAAATACTCTTTCCCACTCTTGGTTTTGGCAAGTGCTCCTCAAAGGTCACCGCTGCCCAGCTTAGCCATCTAATCTCCACTGACATCTTTTCAGCCCCAGTTCCCTTTTTGAGACAATTTAACACAATGCACTGGGTGACAGCTCTCCTGACATGTAAACAACAGAGAGAATAATGAATAAAAGAGAAGGGGAGGAGACCACCATAATTGGAAAGGTCCTACTAAAAAGCCTATGTCCAATTCCATATCCAGTTAAATCCTTCTTGGCATAGAGTATAAACATTTTTTTTTTTTTTTTGGAAACAGTCTCATTATGTAGCCCACGTAGACCTGGAACTCAAGTCTTCCTCTCTCAGCCTCCCAAGTACTGGGCTTATAGGTATGTATAACAATGCCTAGCTAAGACTGTTTTAAGGATTACTCCAAGTTGAAGGAACTGTGAGTCTTATTTCAGAAATATGGGTATGAAATGAAAAACTGGCAAAATGGTCAAGAAAAAAAAATTGTGATTTTATTTTTTAATGGTACTGGGGCTTGAACTCAGGGAATATGCCTTGAGCCACTCCACCAGCCCTTTGTGTGTGTGTGTGTGTGTGTGTGTGTGTGTGTGTGAAGGGTATTTTCAAGATAAGGTCTTGCAAACTATTTTCCCAGGTTGACTTCAAACTGTGATCCTCCTGATTGCTTCTTCCTGAATAGACAGGATTACAGGCATGAGTCACTGGTGCCTGACATTTTTTTTTTTTGGTAGTACTGGAGTTTTAACTCAGGGCCTCACCTTGCTAGGTAGGTGTTCCACCACTTGGAGCCACACACCCACACACATTTAAAAATGCTCATAAAGTGATTTTTAGAGCTGAGTGAAACTTTAAAGGATCATATAGTCCAGTTTACACTAAGGAAGGGCAAATGACTTGCTGGAGGTCGCAAAGCCTCAGTTGGGACAACTCTTTCTAATTTGGGAATCTCTGTTTTTTGTTGCTGTTTTTATTTAGAATTTAGGAATCTTAACCCAAGGTTTAAGATCTAGTCCATGTTTAAGCTTTACGGGAGCTCATAGCTCCGTAAACTTAAGTAAAATTATATATCTATATATGATGTACACATGTGAGGAGATACCCATAGTATTTATTAGACTTTCAGTGGAGAACCATGGATATAATGGCCTATATGAGGATACTTAAAGAACAATGAGAGAGGAAACACATACTTGACAGATAACAGGTGATTTCTGGAAGTCACTGACATGCTGGGCTGAGACAAGAAAGATCAAGAAAATGGCTGGGCATTGAGGACTCACGCTTGTAATCCTAGCTACTCGGGAGGCAGAGATGAGGAAGATCGTGGTTCAAAGCCAGTCCAGGCAAATAGTTCTCGAGACCCTATCTTGAAAATACCCAACACAAAGCTGGGTGCCAGTGGCTCATGCCCATAATCCTAGCTACTCAAGAGGCAAAGATCAGGAGAATCACAGTTCGAACCCAGTCCGGGCAAACAGTTCGAGAGACCCCACCCACCCCCCACCCCCGCAACTCAAAAAAACCCATCACAAGAAAAAAAAAAGGGCTGGTGGAGTAGCTCAAGGTATAGGCCCTGAGTACAAACCCCAGTACTACAAAAAGAAAATACCCAACACAAAAAAGGGCCTGCCTAGCAAGTGTAAGGTCCTGAATTCAAAACTTAGTACTGCCAAAAAAAAAAAAATCCAAGAAAGTGAAGAATATATAGGTGCTTAACCATGATGTTGAGAGCACAAAAGAGAATACTCTGTCTTTAACTCCAGAAGATAAAATATTAGATGCATGTCTAAGTAGAATAGCAATATCATTTATCCACCACAATGAAAACATTAAAACAATACATAAGGACTGGAAGTATTAGTCCCTATGTTAGAATGTGTGTTTAACATGCTCAAAGCATTGGTTCAATCCCCAACATAAAAAAAAAAGTCTACAGAAAAATACACTGGGCATGGTAGCTTAAGCCTGTAATCCTTGCTACTTGGGAGGTAGGGAGATAACAGTTTGAGTCCAGCCAAGGAAAAAAGTTCAAGAGATTCCATCTCAACCAATAAAAGCTGGGCATGGTAGCATATGCCTGTCATCCCACCTACTCAGGAAGCATAAGTAGAGGGACTGTGGTCCAGGCCACACATGTATAAAGCAAGACCTATTTGAAAAATAGCTAAGACAAAAAAAGGGCTGGGGGCATGGCTCAAGAGGTAGAGAGTCTACCTAGCAAGTGAAGGCCCTTACTAGGTTTTGTTTTGTTTTTTACGTCACCAAAAAAAGAAAGGATAAATACAAGCCCGGGGTGGTGGTACACCTCTGTAATCCCAGCTCTCAGGAGGCTGAGACAGGAGGATCACAAGTTCATGGCCAGCCTACGCTACATAGTGAGTTCCAGATCAGAATGATATGGTAAGACCCTGTCTTAAAAAAAAATCTCCAATCACATAGCCATATTGTAACATAAAGGGAGAGCAATAATTCCAAAACTATAAGACTGGAAGAGAGAAATGTATCATTTACAGAGAAAGGAAAGTTATTTGTTGGATCATGCCAGTTCAGGGATTGCCAGATATCAAACATGCAAGAAGGATCGATATGCCCTTCTGGGAGCAGGGGCAGGGGAAAAAGGTAATGTTAACAGTGTCTATTACATGTAGTTTTCAAAATATTTCTAAATGCATAATAATAGTAACCACTGTTGAATACTATGTGCTATATGCTTTATATTCTTTATCTCATTTAATGCACACAAAACTATCAAGACAGGTATTATAATACCCATCTTATAAAAAGTAAACAAGGAGTAAGGCAGAAGTACCAGAACCAAGATTTAGAAACAATTTTCATTTGGCTCCAAAGCTGGCCCTCTTTTTTTGTACTATCCTACTTTATTGCACCATTAATCCTCACATATGTTCTGTAAAACAGACTATGAGCTCCATCAAGATAGGAACCAAAATATCTGCCTTGCTCACCCCTACATCTGTTGATCAGTAAATATTTGTTAAATGAATAAATGGAACAGATGAGGCATACAGAAATTAAGCAATTTCTCCAAAATCACACAGCCACTCTTTGACAGGGCCAGGCCCCCTGATTCTGAATTCTATACACTGTAAACTGATTAATATCCAACAGTATACTGAACTATGTGTCTCTTGGACTGGTGGAGGCAGGGGAGGTGGGATAATAAAAGACAAATAGGTGAAATAACAAAAGAGGGGTTTTGTGTGTGTGTGCATGTACGTGTGTGTATGTGTGTAAATGCTGGGACCCAAAAGGAGTGAAGGTAAATCTAAAGTAACAGGGTAATAGCTGGAAATGGTGAATTTGGAGTAGTCAGGAAGCATAAGAAACAAATGAATTAAAGATGATGTATAAGACATTGCTGGATCGGAGAAAGATCTGGACAGAGACCAAAGTAAATTGTATTCAGGGGAATATAGCCATCCCCCAAATACCATGCCATCAGTCACAAGGGTATATGGGTACATGCCAATAGCAACTTTGCCTATTAATCAAAGCAGAATAAGTAGTTCCATGTGGTGAAGGACTTCTGAGCCAAATCAGCAAAGATTTTGCTTGCCTGAAGCTGAACTATCTGCCAAACTCTCCTGAAGTACTGGCTGGACACCCAAACTGGAAATAAGAAATTCGAGAATAATGAGGAATTGGGGGGAGGGGAATAGGATGGAGGAAAAATTCACCACAAAGTCTAAAGTCTGACTTCTTGCTCTTTGTCAACACAATCCTTTGTTCCCTTGTTCTTTCTAAGGACACTAAAAAAGTTTTTACAAGACATGCAGTTTAGAAACTAAACTAATGACTCTCCAGGGCAAAGAAACACAGACAAGAAAAAGGGGGCATTTCTCTGTATTTTTAGCAAATGCCTCTAAGTTTCTAAGAAGAAAGCTTCAGAGTTAGGATGATTGTGCCAGACTACTGCTATGCCCAGAGACAAAGAGCTTCTCTTAGTTTAACCTAGAGACCTGAAGCAGCAGGATAATAGCTGTGGCAGCGCCATCACATATCCTTGTAAAATCTAAGAAGTGAACTGTAAAGATATCTATTTGCTCGGAATGAGTTTTACAATCATATCCCCAGCACTCTGCAGAATGCCTGCCACATGGTTGGAGGTCAAATTTTATGAAAAATGAAAGGAAATTAACAGTAAACGAATCACTATTCACATACGGCAAACTGAATCAAAAAAAATCTGTTCCCATTGGAATATTTGGGTATACAGAGATACAGAGATTTAAGAATGGAAGAAAATGAGCCAGGCACTGGTGGCTCACATCTGTCCCAGCTACATAGGAGACAATGATCAGGATTGAGGTTTGAAGCCAGCCTGGGCAAATAGTTTCAGAGACCCTGTATCAAAAAAACTCATCACAAAAAAAGGGCTGGTGGAGTGGCCTAAGGTGTAGACCCTGAGTTCAAACCCCAGTACCGCAAAAAAAAAAAAAAAAAGGAAGAAAATGAAATATGTTCTTTTTAAGGAAGTATGAACCAACAATTTCTGGGGGGTAAAACTAGGGTTTCAACTCAGGATGTACAGCCTGCAAAGCAGGTACTCTAGCTGCTTGAGCCACAACTCCAGTACACTTTGCTCTGGTTATTTTGGAGATGAGGTCTTTTGAAGTATTTGCCCAGGCTGGCCTTGAACAGAGAGCCAGCCTCTCAAGTAGCTAGTTCCAGGTGTGAGCTACAGGTGCCCAGATGAACCAACATAGTTGAGATAATAAAAATCATTTTTAAGTACTATGTGTTAGTTGCAGTATCTCCACTAATCCACATCATAACCCTCGAGGAAATCTAAACTCAGTGAAATGAATCCCTTCCCTAAAGATAGAGTTAGCAAGTGACAAAGATCTTCAAAGCCTTTATGTGTTCTTTACACTAAAAGAAAGAAGAAATTATTGTCTGTAGAAAAAGCTTCTCGAATTTTCTCTGCTTTTAAAACCAGAAAGTTAAAGATGGCCACTTCCAGATTGAGCAGGACAAGAAGACAGAAGTGATGTGTTGGAAATTCCAGACTTAAATTCTGCATCCTACATCTTTCACTATATATTCTTGCTACTTAAACTATAAATTTGGAACTAGAACGCTGACAGAAAATTCTACAGTGGTTAAACAAAAACAACAAAGAAAATCCTCACACCCCCTTCCCAGAAATTAGGCGTCTTTAAACCAAAATGAGGTTTCTGCCTGGCTCATTTCCACATAGAGAGAGCCAAGCCCCCTCAGTTCCTGGACAAGGGCCAGGAAAACAGAGCCAGACAAAGAGGCTGGAATTGTGAAGCTCCAAACTAAAAAAGACACAGGCATGGGCTCAATGTTATGGGTACAGTTTTAAAGGCACAATTATTAGTGACTTGTGAAGATACTACTTAATTCTCCAGCAAATCTGAAGTTGCACTGGAAATTTCAGAGTAAAGATAAGCAAATAAAGGACTTAAAAAATCAGCCAGGCATAGTGAGGCATGCCTGTAATCCCAGCACGAGGTTGGGGTGGGAGACACGACACAGGAGGATCTCCAGTTCAAGGCCAGTTCAAGGCGATCTCACCGCCTTCCCTTCCCACCCTCCCCCACCAAAAAAGAAATCAGGGTTAAGGATATGGAGTAACTAAACGGAGCCCGGGAATTGCTGGGATCAGAGTAAAAATTGAGAAGGGTCTGGATAAGGAATGTTTTGGATCTAAAAAGACAGGAGTGCACACAATGGGGAGGGGTTCTCAAGGGTAGAGATGTTAAAACTTTGTAAACTACAGGAGGAATTCCAATCCTGACAAATTAGGAAGAATACACTATCTTAATAAAGGGAAAGGTGAGACGCGTGTGCGCCGCCCAGAAGGAAGCTCCCCAAAAGGAAATGCATGCGAGGGCTCCATGCCAGCAAAGGCGCCCGGAGGACGGGGAGCAAGGCTCGGCTGAGGATTACCCGCGGCGGCCACCCCTCGGACTCACCTCGGCCGTAGCCCTGCGTGTGCTTGGCGAAGCTCCTCACCACGGCCTCCACCGCCTCCCGCAGCACCACAGGGCTGCCCGCGGCGCCGGGAGGCAAGGGCAGCCCTGGGGCCCCCGACAGGAGCAGCGGCGGCGGGGGCGGCGCGGGGGGCGGCGGAGCCGGCGGGGGGCCCACGGGGGGTGTGGCAGCGGTGGCCGCGGCCCCAGTTACCCCGGGCCGCAGCGCTCGAAGAGTTCCCCTTCCGCTGGTGCCCACTCCAGGCTGCAGCCGTTGCGCTCGCATGGTCTCCATCCCGGCCGCTGGTGAAGTAAGGCCGGGCCTGCCAGCCTGGCGAGCTAACGGTCCCAGCCACCCGCGTCAGCAACCTCCTCAGGACGGAGGGCGGTGCCGCGGCCCAGCTGTCAATCAAGTGGAGGCGGGGACGATCCAGGTCCCATGCCAATCACCAGTGAGAGGGCGGGAAGGGGCGGGCCTTTCTCCACCATAGGCCAATGATTGAGGAAAGTGGAGATCCTGAAAACCAATTGCAAAGAGAAAAGGCGATACCCTCTAATAAGAAGCAGAGCTTCCGTGAATCCTTGGGAATCCTGTGTTGAGCACTAAAAATCTGGCTAAACCCCTGGGGCGGGACTTAAGGAAAAAATAGGCCTGGTTGAAAGCCTGGGGAGCAATGTGGACAGAGTGAGAGGATTGTTACAGATCATTTGTCTGACTACTTCATTTTATAGTTGTAGATGAGGCAACTGTGGCTGGAAAAAGTGATGTGACTTATTCAAGATCACATACAATTGGTAGTGGAGCTAAAGCAGGGAAAGATGCTAACATTTAATGAGCATATACTCTACAGTGTGTTTTAGTGCATTATTTATTTAACAATCACAACCACGAACCAAATTTTATTATTTTATGAATAAGGAAACTGGCACTCAGGGATGCTATATAAGTTGCATAGCATCAGGGGTTCAGACATAGGTGTTCTGATCCCAGTATTTTCATTCTGACACATTATTGGATATTGTTCTGATTTCATCATTAAAGTTAATTAGGGAGTAAGAATGTTAAATGGGTGTTCTGTTTTGTAAGAGTGAGAAAGAGCTAGAATATATGTGGGGAAAAAGCAAATTGAGAAATTCAATTTGGGCAGATTAAGAAAGGTACATAGAACTTAGGCTGGTCTCTCTGATTACCCACACATATGAACACACATGCATGCACAATACATACCCTTTGTCAGTTGACTATCATGCCACTTGTATGTAGGTAAAGTTATACTAACTGCCCCCTAAACCTTCCCTACAGTGGTTCAGAAATTAAAAGATGGGGTGACGGAGGTGAGAAATAAGTAGGAGGAAATGGATGAAACACAACTGGTGACATGAAAATTAGTCTGAGTAAAAACTCTGAGTAGTCAAGAAATAGGAAGCTTGAACAAGGGACAGTTAATCTACTGGAATATACATGCTGATGGTGGAGGGAGGGAATCTATAGGAATTTCAAAGAATTAAACGTGGGTTTAGGAAAGACTGGAAGAAATGAAGCCTACCAAATGCCTTAAAACCTTCAGGACACAGAACACTTGCTTTTTCTTCTACAACTACAGTTGGTCAGGTGGGCTCCTAGAAAGAAGATGGCTGTAATCTATAAGGATTTCCCTGGATCATTATAGCTATAAGTTAGTATCACCCTCCCTCCCCATCCCTCTTTCCCTCACCCCACACCTCCAAGGAGAAGTGACCAAATAGAGATTTGTGAACACATTTATTTGACATGTCAAGTGGAGAGAGGAGTGATTTAGGATTACTCCCCACTTCTACCTGTGGGGGTGTTCATAAGCTCAGACAGACAAAAGAGCAGCTTAGAGCCCATGATCCATCCCCTGGAAAAACAAGACAACCTATTGTAGTGTTTGGGGGAACTTGGTGGGAATAAAAATCAGGAAGTTGAGGGGTGAAGTTGAGAGCATTCGGAAGGGCAGCAGCAGAACTGAGGCTGGGAGTTGCTTCAAGAACCCCAAGGAGAGTGAAGAAGACATCCTGAAAAGTGGTTGGGGTGTGTGTGTGTGTGTGGCGGAAGTAGTGTGTGAACTGGAAGTCAGGCCTGAAGAGAGAAGCAAGACCTGCAGAATGGGATGAGATTTTCATGAAGAGAGAGTAAAGTGTGCAAAATCATGATAAACTGGGTTGCAGAGCATACATGGAAAGTAAGGAATTGCTTCTGTAGGAGGGCAAAGGTATAGGAGGGGTTCCCTACTGCTTCTGAACAACTGCAAGTGACTCTGGGACTCTAGCACAAGTGGTCCTGTGTGCTTATTGGTGTGCTGTGCCTGTGGGTACACAATCCCACATACATGTGCAGTAACCAGGATATGAATGCATGTGTCCATTTACCCAGTAAATAGAGTATTTATCCTTCCTTGCTAATAAATCTACTGCGCTTGTAGACACAGTTTACTCCTGTGTGCATGCACAGTGCCATGAGCACATGCAAGAGATCCTTATGTCCGTGGTTCTCCCACCTGTCCCATCAAGGTCCTCATCCTCGCCCTCCTTAGCTCCTCTCTCTTCTCTCAGCGACCTGGTTCCCCCGGCCCGCCTAGACTCTGGAAGCCCCCTAGCAGACGGATCTGCTCAGTCTGCATGGAGTGGCGTCTCACCAATTTACGCTTGGTCCTGGGAGAGCCTGGCGCCCCGGCGTGAGGAGGGGCAGGCAGTGACGGCGCCCGACCTCCGGGTTGGGGGCGAATGTCAGGGATGGGAGGGTGGGGACTGACGTTGAGCGGGGGCAGGAAACCCGGCCGCGTTTGCGAGATGTGATCCAGGAGCAACGTCCCCGAGCCCCTCCTCTCCAGCAGCCCAGGACTCCGCCTCCGTCCGCTCAGCGGAGATACAGCCCCTGGCAGACTTTCCTGCGACTGGCGCGGCGACGGAGCCGAGCCGGCTGGAGGGAGGGTCAGCGGGGAGGCGCTGTATCGGCGGCGCTCCAGGGACAAGCGGCTGGACTCGGGCGACTCGGAGCAAAGATGTCCGGGGGTGTCGAGCTCCACCGGCTCCATGCGGCTCAGTTTTTGCCTTAACCCCGAAGGGGCACCGAACTCTTGAGCCTCGGGTGCGGTGTTTCGGCGCGAGAGAGGACCCCCGCCCGTCACTTTCTCCGCCCATGGGGGTGGGTCCTCCGGGCCTTCAGTGCTGTGACGCCGGGAAAGACGCGGTCGACCCGTGAGGGTCAGACCGTTGAATTCAGTTGTCAAGCGCTCGATCCCCGGCCTCCCTTCGGCAGGAAGGACCGGTTGGGGAGGAGCCACTAGACCCCAGGGCTCGGAGTTGAGCCTTTTGAGTGGTTTTGGGGGATGTCGGGGCGGTTTGGGGAGCGGCTCAGAAGGGGAGGGGTCATCTGGAGGCTTAGGAAGAGGGAATTCAAATACGTCCCGCTTCTCCTCTTCTTCCTGGGCGCGAGGGGATAACACGCCCCGTCCTCCTCCTGCAGTCTGTAGTTGGATTTCCGAAGGTGACGTGCAGACCCCTGGGCTAGGAGGAGCTGGTGCAGGGTCTTCTACCCCCGGGGATGGTGGAGAATTAAGATACTGCCGGGTCTTCTTGGTGCCCGAGGGCGAGGTATCGGTGGTTATGATGATGACCTCCGTGCCCTTAGCCTTGCAGGCGTCCAGCAGCGTGGCAAGGGTCTCGCGGTCCCCGCGGTCCAGGGCGTGGACAAGCGCCGAGGCACCCGCGTGATCTCGGACTGAGGGGTCTGCGCCGTGGGCAAGGAGCAACGAGGCCACTGCGGCTCCTCCGCCCCCGGCGCAAGCGTGCATGAGCGCCGTGCGCCCTAAGCGGTCTGCGATGTTGGGGTCCGCACCTTGCTCCAAGAGGTAGCGTACCATGCGCGCCTTGTTCTGGGGGTCGTCGTAACGGGCCCGACAGGCCGCCATTAGTGCAGTCTCCCCCTGGGCATCACCCTCATTCACGTAGGCTCCTCCCTCCAGAAGCAAACGGGCCAAGCGTAGCTTACCCTGACCCACGGCCCGAAGAAGAGCGTGGCCCTCAGTGTGCAGCATAGCTGCGGCTAGGGCGAGAGCACCGATAGAGCCGGAGCTGGGAACTGCCGAGGATTGCTAGGGGTCTGGGGGTGATGGCTGGCAGAGATCTGAGGTCTCAGTGATAAGGACTATCCCTGAGAGAGAGAGAGAGAGAGAGAGAGAGAGAGAGAGAGAGAGATATTATTGGCGGATTCAGCAGGGAAACTGAGGCAACGATAGAGGCACCCGGCGTGTGGCGGGGGAGATCTCCACTACACACAGTACTGCCTCTAACTCCTGCCTTGGAGCCGCCCCTTCCTCACCCCCCAAAGCGCGTGCCTGAGGAGGTGGGAAGGGTGCACCCGCACTGAAGGACGAGCGCGTGTGCACATACGTACATGCACGCGCAGGGATATTCGCACCCCCACCCTCACCCCACGGCTTTTCAGACCTTACCAACATCCCCCTTTTCTTCACCACACTTGGAATCCCCCTTTCTAGGCTACTGAACGCTATCCACCCACACACATGCACCGGTACAGCACACACATATTTTCATTCCTAACCTCTTTTAGATTGCCACAGCCCCCCAAAATTGAATAGGGGGAAGGAAGCAGCTTGCATTCGGGACCCAAAAGGGGTGGAGGAAGAACTGAGGGTGTCTTTTGCCCCTGCTATGTTCCCCCATTGCTCTTTGCCCCCTCCTAGATTGTAAGCCCAGATAGATACCTGAATATCCGCAGACTCTCTGGCCAGGATTGAGGCCCGGGCCATGGGGCAGCCGGGGTGGAGAAGCCGAGTGCCTTGGGGGCCCACATGGCCTGGCGTGGGGGGGGCGCACCCGGATTCCCTTGGTATCTGCGCCCCTGCACTGAATCCTAGTCCCTCCTCCCGGTGCGTCCCGGGCACAGCGCCGGCTCCAGAGGAAAGAAGCGCAAGGGGGTGGGGAGGCGGGGGGGAGGCGGAGCTTTGCTTTGCTATTTATAGCCCAGTCTGTGCGAGTGGGGGCGTCCGGTACCAAACCATGCACACATAAACCCCAAAAAACCTAGAGGCTGCAATCCTGACTTCCCTTTCTTAACTGACCTCCCCTCAGTCCCAACAATCGTAAACGTTCCATAGGGGACTCCTCCACGACCCATTCAGGGACCAGCCGGATTCTTCGCTGAGCTTCAGCAGATCTCCATTCTCCACACTTGGTGTGTTTATGCCTCCTGTGCGCCAGACCTGACTGCCACACATGGCATATGGCACACTGTGCAGAGAGGTGTAGGGATGCAATTGGGATCTACTTTGGCGTCCACGCTGCAGAGAGAGGCAGGAGATGTAGCTGCCTTCTTGTAGTTAAATGTCAGGAAAAGCACAGTCCAACCTGGAGTCAGACACAGCAGTACATTCCCACCTCACCTCTCCCAAAACAGAGCACACATCACAGAGAAACTTGTCTCTTGTTTGGCCCTTGTAGATCTAAGTGTGAGAAAGATGGATATCCAGGGGCATTTTTAGATAGGGCAAGGGGCATTCCCAAATATTTCTTTCTCATATTTCTGATGGGAGGATGATAGGAATGGGGCAGGTTGCTGAGCAAACCTCGTATCACATCCTTTCTCATTTCATCTCTTTATTCTCCTCCTTTTTTTAATTAAAAAAAAGAAAAGAAAAAAACAGGGGTTGGCTATGTAGTCCAGGCTGGATTCCACCTCACGATCCTCCTGCTTCCTCCTCCTGAGCGCTGGGATTATAGACGTGATCCATCACGCTCGGCTTCTGTACTGTCCTTGCTGAGATTCATTTTTCTATCTTGCACGAATGTCCCTGTCCGAATCATTCCTTATGTCTTCTCTCTTCCTATCTGTCGTTATGGGTTTCTTTCACTGTCTCTGCTTCTCCTTGCCACCTGCCCTGTCTCCATGGTTACCATAGCTTCCATCTGCATATTTTAGGAATGAGTTTGTGTCCAGCTGGAAGGCACCAAGGGAAGTGGGGGATGAGGAAAAATCCTAAAGATTTGGAAAGCTCACCTAGGATCCCAGATAATTCAGAGGCTGGAGGCCGTCAGACACAAGATTCTAAAAATAATGTTTCCAGGGAATGAAGAGAGAGAAATATTGCAGGGGAAATTAACCATTTTTACTAGCTACTGACAACTACGTGCCACGTACTTTACATGCATTATCTCCAGTCCTCACAACTGGAGGAACCATTATCTTCTTGTAACATATTGTAGTAAGATAAAAGAAGTTCTCCAAAGCTTTACAGCTATGTTTTTGTCCTATTCCAAAAACAGGGCTCTTGCCACTACACCTATGTACAGCCTCTCAGCCTAGAGGCCATTTTCTCTGACATCTGGATATTCTTGCTAACAAGAATCTCCACTTGAACTCCTTCCCTCTGTTCTGACTTCTGTGAGAGTAGGACTGCTTCTTCCGCCCTTCCCAATTAGCAAGAGGCATGGAGGGGATGGAAGGCTGTGGAAACTGCAGCAATCGCTAGGATCCTGCACCCTGCCTCCCCAACTCTGCTTCTCTGATCCCCAGTGATTCCCCAGACCCTCTCTCCCACCTTCTCCCAGAAAGGGCAGCAACCCACAGAAAAACATTTTTAGAAAAGAAGTATTTGGTGCTGGAGAAGATGGGTAGGATTGACGGGGAAGGCTGAAGTAATGGAGAAACCAAACTGTGCATCCAGAGTCACCAAACGACTGAAGACCTGTAGAGCAGCTTTCATAGAGGTACATTTCTCTGTAGGGGTTATTCACTTTTGGCATCTCTTGGAGGCTCTCTCAACCGAGAGATCTGAGTGTCAGGTTATCTCAGCGAACTTTTGCTATCCCGGGGCTCCTGGAGTGGGGTGAAGTCGGAAATAGTTAACTGGCTTCTGGAGATTCTGCAACCCTATCTCTGTCTGCCGGGCTTCCCAAGCCTTAGTTCCGGCTGACTCTTCTCCCTGCTTCTTCTCCTCCTTGGCTTCTAGTGGGCGGACCCTCCTCCTCAGCTCTCCTTGATTGGCCTGGAGAACCCACCAATGGAGAGCTCTGGGAGGCGGGCTTAGAATACCAAGAGCTTGAGGAAGACAAGCAAATTTCAAGTTGGCTGCAGCCTGGGCCCGCCTCGGGGAAGGACAGCAGGTAAGGATCCGACCTGGAGACTGTGACCTGGTTCGGTTCCATACTTCCCGAACTGGTCCACCTGGGGCCGACTGCACGATAGACAACGCTTTCCGCAGACTCCTGGATCAGCCCCCCTCTGGCTCGCTACGCCTTCTCTGCTGGTCTCCCATTACTGTATGGATTGTGTACCAGAGAACCGTAGTTTTCTGTCATGCGTCGGGGACTGATGTTAAAGCAGAAAGCGAGAAAGGCTCACTCTGGTACCTCTGCCAAGCCCTGATTCTATTAACATTATCTCCTTGTCAGGGAGCCTGACAAATTCCTGTTATCTCTTAAACTGAGCTGAAATATTACCTCCTACCTGTAGCTCTTCTGTACCGTCTTTGTTGCAGAATTTAACTGCAGAATTTTAGTGTTCTCTCTCTCTCTCTTTCTCCTCACCCCCCATATCCCCCCTGCCCTTCTCCATCTCTCTCTTTCCCTTTCTCCCTCTCTCCCTCCGTCTCCTTTTTCAGACAGGCCTTATTGTGTAGTCCAGGCTGGCTTCGA